TTCCCACAGGCGAAGACAGCCGCTGTGTGTTACTTGTGCAGTGACACACAAACGCAGGTGCCCCTACTGTGAAAACACCCCCTTCCCCAGGAAAAGCCATGGGGCTCCTGGAACCCTGTCTTCTCAACCCCTTCCTTGGGGCTGGGGCTGCAGAGCGACTCGGTGCCAGCTGCCACTCCTCAGGAAGCCTCTGACCCTGCATGGGTGGAGCAAAGGCCACTGAGATGAACTGGTGATTCTTAAGGGGTCCTAAGGGTCTCTGGGAAGGAAGAGGTTTTTCTCTGATTCCTTGTGAAGGAAAATGGCCAGGCAGAGTCAGGAGAGAGAGGGTCTGTGCTGGGAGGGGACAGTGTGTGACAGCGAGGGGTGGGCCTCAGGGATGCTGGGTCTGAACACAGAGGAGTCAGCACCTTCTCCTGCAGCACTGGGGAGCCCCAGAGGGTGATGAGTGTGGGATACAGGCTCTGGCCTCAGGCAGCTCCAGGGAGTGAGAGGCAGGCTCAGGACCAGCCGTCCTTCCTCAAGGTCACCTCAGGGAAGTGCAGAGGTGGCGTGACCTACACTCCAGCCTTTCCAGGGTGGTTCTGCTGCCCTTCCTGGGCTAGGTCTGAGAGAGGAAGGGGCTTCAGTCATGGAGTCTGAACAGGCGGGAGTGCCTGGGGCATGCGTCTCTCCCCACTTACCAGCTGTGTGGCCTTGGGCAAGTAATGTAACCTCTCTGATCCTCCACATTCTCATCTATAAAATGGGGACAATAAATCCTCCCTCGGGGGGCTGTTAACATGAGTCAATAGCCCACAGTCGTTTCGGGAATTGTTAGTTCTCTATTTATTTCCTTACAAGGGACATGAATCTATAGATTGATTTCAACAAAAGTTATGTAAGAAAGAGGGGAGAGAAAAACTGCAGATGGGCAGGCACGGGAAATCTCATTTGCACATGTTTGAGCAAACCGATTTCAGCCAACTCTGGGTATAAAGAGGACGGTTCCAGTCTCCAGACCACGGGCGACCTGGAGAGCACTGCTGTGTGCGTGTGGGAGTCCCTGTCACGCCTGCTGGCGCCTGCCGCCACGCACCCCCCAGCTCGGTTAGATCAGGTCTGCTGCATTTCCTTGTGGGAACCCTCTGCAGGGTCCCCGGTGCTTAGAGCAGCTGTTGGCGCACAGTAAGTGCTCAGCAAACACTCGCTGCTCACTAGAACTTGTTGAGCAGTTCCTCTGCCCCAGGCACAGGGGTGTCACGGTGAGGCAGGCACAGTCCCTGGCCTCCAGGAACTCCCGGGTCAGCTGGGGAGAGACACAGACTGGTCACAGGTCGCCATTCCATCCAGCCAGTCGGCCACCGGGCCGTCTGTGAGTGCCAACAGCATGCCAGCCTCTGTGGGCCTGGGTGGGGCCTGGAGGTGAATCTGACTTGTTTCCTCCTTCCAGGGAGTTCCCAGTCCAGTCAGAAGCGTGGGAAATGCTGTGATGGAGCTGGGTGGGAAGAACGCCTGACCAGACTGCAGCACCACGGGGCTTCTGCCATGTCCCCACCCCGTCCCTGTGGCGGGTGCCAAGCTCCCAGCCTCCTTGATCAGATCTGGGTGGAGAGGGGCTGACAGGAAGCCCTGGGTCCTTCACACCTCCCTGAGCAAAGGAGCAAGGAGGGTAAAGGGAAGGCGGGGAGAGCCTGCAACAAGGATTTTCAAGGGAAGGAGGTGGTCAAAGGGGCCAAGGACAGGGACCCTGAGAAACCCAACCCAGGTGAGCCAGGCACAGAGCCAGGCAGTGGGCCTGTCAGGTTAGTGCCAGTCTGCTCCCAGGCATCACATCTGTCCCTGGCACCCTGAGGATGGCCTCCCGATCCCTCAGGCAGGTGGGCAACAGGTGAGGGGCCAAGACGCCAGGGGCCCTGGCCAGAGCCTTGAGGCAGCAGCTGGAGGGGAGAGTGCAGGTGCCTTGGCAGGTTGAGGGGCAGGGTTGCCTCGCATGAGGGCGAGGGCTCTCCCTGGCACACCCCAGGCAGGTACTGCAAGTCTCGGCTCTCAGGTCCCAGCACTGACAGGTCAGACCTGGCCAAGCCGTGGGTGTGGTTTGGCCACTGTCCCCATGGGGGCCTCTGAGGTGCCACAGCCAAGCTGGACAAGGTTCCACCTGGCTCAGGCTTCCTCAGACACACTACATTGCCACTGGACCCTCCCCTGCCTCCAGGAGCCCCGGGCAGGGTGACCTCCCAGTGGGTGTGCTCCTCTGGGCCCCCCACAACTAGGGGCCAGAACCAGCTTCTCCTCCCCACCCCTGGCCAGCCCACAGCCAGCTCTGAGCACGAAGAAGTCTGCCCACCTTCTGCCACCGGTGTGCCTTTATATACACTGTCTCAACTGTGTCCCTGCACACACACACAACACACAGCACACACGCAGCACACACAACACACAGCATACAGCACACACACACTATATACAACACACAGCACACAACAGCACACACACAGCACGCACACACAGCACATGCACACACAGCACACACACACTATATACAACACACAGCACACAACAGCACACACAGCACGCACACACAGCACATGCACACACAGCACACACAACACAGCACACACACAACAGCACACACACACTATATACAACACACAGCACACAACAGCACACACAGCACGCACACACAGCACATGCACACACAGCACACACACACTATATACAACACAGCACACACACAGCACGCACACACAGCACATGCACACACAGCACACACAACACAGCACACACACAATAGCACACGCACACTATATACAACACACAGCACACACACATCACACACACACTATATACAACACACAGCACACAACAGCACACACACCACGCACACACACAGCACATGCACACACACCACGCACACACAGCACATGCACACACAGCACACACACACTATATACAACACACAGCACACGACAGCACACACAGCACGCACACACAGCACATGCACACACAGCACACACAACACAGCACACACACACAACAGCACACAGCACACATCACACATGCACAGTGCACACATCACACATATGTACGATACATGTGCACACACAAGCAGTACACACAGTGCACACGCTCAGCAAACACATGCCGTGAACAGCATACAACACAAAACCACACGCAGACTCCACACACAGCTGGTCAAACACAGAGGACACTTTCCCACCGTTTTTATTTGGAGCAACGAACCACCAAAAAAAGCACTGGAGAAAGACTCGGGTTTGCGAGAATTGTCCCCACTCCCCACACCGTCTTCCCCAGGGCCCGTGTGGCATTTGGGAGGTGGCCCCAGGGCCAAGTGCTGGTCTTAGCTCAGTCAGCTTCCTGCCCTCGTGTGGGCTGGCCTGGCCAGGTGCCCTCCCCGGCCACTCCTCACACAGGTCAGAGCATGGGGCCTCCCTAGCCCTCCACCCCTTGCCTTTACCGCCCGCCACACTCCCTGCAGACCCTGCTGTGTGCGGGTCACCCGGGAAACCCTCACTGCTGTGTGTGAAACCAGCCTCTCTGGGCCTCAGGGGCCAGGCTGTCTGTGGCTCTCTAGTAGCCTCTGTTTATGAGCGAGGCCCCTGTCATGGAGTGAGTTGCTGGTACCCCTGCCATCCCCGTGAGGGCCAGAGCCAGCGGTATGCCCATTTCACAGCTGAGGGTCTGAGGCCCAAAGATGTAGGTCACACCAGCTCAGGTCAAGTCAATTGGCTGAACCTGTGTTCTTAACTGGGGTCAAACCACCCTGTCTGCTTCCTCCAGCCTCGTGAGGGGCCCGGTGTGGGTGTGCAGGCTTCTCACCCTACAGGGCGGTCAGTGCCAGGAGCTTATGGGGCTGACCCAGCTACTTGGCTTCCTCAGGTGCCTTCTTCCACCTGCAGACAGTGGTGACACCTTCCCTGTGGGTGGCGGCGACACTGAGAAGTTAATCCCTGTACATCCTGCCACTGTAATTAACTTACTCCTGGCCACCACTGACTCCTCCTCCAGGAAGCCCTCCTGAAGCCCGAAGTCTGGCTCGGATACCATTCCCTCCCTGGTGCCGGCCTTTCTGATGGCCATTACCTGCCACGGCGTTAACCCAGCCTACACTGTGCAGTGGTCAACACTTACGCTTCTCAGCATCCTCTGTGTCCTGTGTGGCCTGTGTATGTCGGGAGTTTCCTTGCTGTCCTCTGGCCAGTGCATTCTCTCCCCTTCCTGGGCCCTGGTGGGTGGGAAGCAGCACCTCCTTCCTGCCTCCTCAGCTGAGCCTGAAGCTGGGGTCACAGGATCAGCAGGGGCTCCAGGAGCTGTCCTGTGACTGATCACAGCCACGGAGCTCCTCCTACCCCCAGAGCCTCCCCACGGCACACATGTGCGCAGGCCTCCATAGATGGCACAGACACACACAGCTCCCCATAACGGCCTCATCCGAGGGGGCACTGTCAGAGGTTCTTAATCTCAGGAGCATCTTCAGGATACTCCTCCGCTGAGGCGTCCAGGGCTGATGCTCCCTTCCAAAATGAGGGCCCTGTCACACCAGGACCCCCAGTTGGTCAGGAGCACTCCTCTCTTCCTGTCTGCCTCCACTCTGCCATCAAGAGGATGCCGGCCATTCTAAGTACTCACAAGCCTTGCCAAGTGACCCTGCTGGCACCCTCCATCCAGGACACTCTGTATGGGACATGGATGGCCTGTGGGGACCCCTCTCAGCCACATGTCCCATGCCACTTCCAGTCCCATCAGGCAAGTCAACCCTCCCTCAGGCACTGATGTGTGGCCAGCCAGGACTCACTGCATAATGAAAAGGACCAGGGCAGGGGGCAAGATGAGTCTGCCCTGGGATAGTCCCTAGGAGGTCTTATGTAAAGAGGGGGGTGGCTGGAGTCCCTGGAGCCCAGGTGTGAAAGTGTGTGCATGCTGTGAGTGTGGGTGGCTGTGGTAGGGGCAGGGCTTACAATCCTGGAGAGGCTGGTGGGGCCACCAGGAAGTCTTCCTGGACGAGGGAAGTCCTGGGTAGCAGTGAGAGAGGCACAGGCTCTTTAGGAGCCAGGGGAGGCAGGCTGAGGAGAGACCCAGGTGTCCCTGTCTGAGCCTATGCTACTGGACACCCTCCCCCCAGCACCCGCCCCCCTCCAAGGATCCTCCCTTCGGCTCCCTGTGGCCTCAGCTCTGCAGCACTCGGCTCAGCTCCACTGGGCTCAGCTCCACTTCAGGAAGGCCACCTCCTCCTCCTGCTGTCACCACTCACCGCTCATAACCTCGAGGGGGTGGGGACCCCAGGGCTGGACACACCCCACTGTGGCCCTAGAGCTCAGCCTGTCGGACGGACGGACAGTTGGACGCAGGACCCCAGAGCCCGAGGTGGGCAGTGTGCCAGGGTCCCTCGCGGACTCCTCAAGGTCAGTGCCAGCTGGGGATGCAGCTACTCTGGGGCTCTTGAGACTCGCGGGGCACACCCCAGGCCCTCAACCCAAATCACAGGCCCCAAAGGGGGTTTTACCCCAAGGGCATCGGGGCAGGCAGGTCCCGGGGAAAGGGGATGCCCCTGTGTCCACAGGCCAGCCCCCATCCGGGGGTCTGTCAGGAGAGGCCCCAAGCTGGGGGCCAGCTCCTCACACAGGCCTCGCTGGGGACACCCCGCACCGGCCATGGGGAGCTAAAATTGGAAAGTGGCGAGTGGGAGGCAGCTGACAAAGCTATTTCTCAGGCTCTTCACCAAGCTCCGGTTTCAAGCTCCTGCTCCATTAACCTGATCCCCAGGGCCTCTCCACCCCCACCCCGCCGGTGAGGAGGTCCCTCCACCCTTGGGCCGGCAACCTCTGCTGTGGGCAGGGACAGTGGTGGTCTTCTCTCACGCAAGATTCCAGAGGGGCTCACTGAGAAACCCGATCCTGAGGGGAGGTGGGCAGAAGCCTGGCCCAGGTCTGCTGTGTGACCTTGACAGGTCCCTGCCCCTATCTGGCCCATAACCCCTCCATCTGTACGAGGAGACTGCTGACCTCGGAGGCCTGGGGAGATGGCTGCAGGACTGGGAATTTTGGGGAGGATCGAGGGTGGGCAAAAGGGCCACATCAACCACCTCTTGGCCCCGTCAGCCCAGGAGGTGCCTGGTCAAGGTCATCCCTTTAATTTGCACGTTGAGTCAGTACCTGTGGGGTCCTTAGGAAGCCCCTGGGCCAGGTAGAAGCAGAGTAGGAAGGGTAGAGGTGCCAGCTGAGGCCACAGGGAGGCCCAGCAGGACTCCAGGGGACAAGCCAGGCCCTGGCGGGAGGGAGTGGCCAGGCTCAACCGGGGCCTGATTCTGGTCAGCACCTTGGACAGCGGCCAGCACCCTCTCGGACTCCTGCCGGGCCCCGCCTCGCCCCACAGCCACCTCTTCAGGGCACCTCCTCAAACAGCACAGCCGCCAGCTGGCGCCCAGGGCCTGGATCCACGGGGTGCTGAGGGAGTGGGCAGTGTGGTCACGGACACGGGCAGGGACTGGGAAGTGGCAGCTGGAGCTCCGGGCCGTGTTGGGGCAGGTGTCAGTGACAGGCTGGAGGCTCAGTCGAGTGGTGGAGTCTTGGCTCTAGATGCAGCACCGGAGGAGTCACGGGATCTCAGGGAGGGGCGTGGGAGTCAGAGAAGGGGTCTTAGAGAGGCTGGGGCTTTGTGAGAAGCTGAAGGAGACTCACTGAACGGGGCGGGACTCTGCAGCCAGAAACCTGATTGCAGTGATAGAGATGGGGTTTCTCCGCATGCACGAAGGTCATGGGGGCCTTGGCAGGAGCGGGTTTGACAGGGGGCGGGGCCTCTGGAAGGCATGAAGATGTAAATTAAGGTGAGGAAGGCAGGCTGTGAGTGAGGGCTCTGCCCGAAAGAGCCTTGATGGGTGGGGTGGGGACAGAAGCAGCAGCTGGGATGGGCACGGTGCTGGGTGGCCTGCGAGCAGGTGGGGGGCACAGGAGCAGGCAGAGTGATGGCAAAAGGCCCCCAAGGGGCGGATGGGGCAATCTCTCTTCAGAGCGGGGTCCTCACTGGGGTGACGGGTCGGGAGGTGGGGTGAGGCAGGGCTGGAGATGGCAATGCCCTCACAAGGCCTGTCTCCCCACCCTTTCCAGGGTATGCGCATCAAGACAGCATTGCCGGCGGCTGAGCTGGGCCTGTACTCTCTGGTGCTGAGTGGGGCCCTGGCCTATGCTGGCCGTGGCCTCCTTGAGGCCTCACAAGGTAATGGCTGTGCAGGGGGCAGGGGGACAGGACCCTTCTTCCCCTGGGGGCCTCAGGGTTCCAACCAGCAAAGCCAGAATCTTAGAGGCTCCAAATCCAGGGTAATCCTTCTAACAGGGCTGGACCTCCCTTTTCAGCCTGGGGCTCCCATCTCAGGCAGGCACTGGGGGCTGGGCTGAGCCAGGTACAGACACACTGACAGAGACATAGACATAGAGTCACACACACACACAGACACACATACACACACAGACCACACATACACAGAGGCCTGGACCCATACACACACACACAGAGTCCTGGACCCATACACACACACACACACACACACACAGACCTAGACCCAGACACACACACACAGTTGGAGACCTGGACCCAGACATATGGACACACACACACACACACACAAACACACAGACATATATATACACACAAGGACACACAGAGTCCTGGACCCAGACACACACACCCCGACACACACACAGACATAGTAGGAGACCTGGACCCAGACATACACACAGACACACACACAAACACACAGACATATATACACACAGGACACACACACAGAGTCCTGGACCCAGACACACACACTCCAACACACACACACACACACACACATACATGCACAGAGGCCTGGACCCAGACAGACACACACACATACACACGTAAACACAATATACACACACACACAGACACAGACGCAGTCAGAAGCCTGGACCCAGACACACAGCAAAGCCCAGAGAGAAGCAGACACAGTGCCCTGCTCCCGACGCCCTCACTCCCCAGGGTGGGGGCAGCCTTGTCCACGGGGGAAGTGGGGCTGGGTGTGTGCAGGGCCCCTCTCCCTGAGGCCACACTGTGTTCTCAGATGGGGCCCACAGGAAGGCATTTCGGGAGTCTATACGACCTGGCTGGGAATACATTGGCCGGAAGATGGTAGGTCCCCCACACTCCAGGTTCCCTCCCATCCCAGCCCTTCTCTGCTCGCTGCTCATGTTCTGGAGGTCCTCAAGTTACACGGCGCTTGGGGGGGTCTCCAGCTGGAGCTTCAGTGCCTTCAGCTTCTCCACTGGCCCCTCCTGTATCCTCCTGGGGCAGCGAGGCTGCCCGCGCCCTGCTCCCTTGGGAAATGGGTGGCGTTGGTGGAGGGTGCTTCAGCGGAGCCTCCAGCACCTCCCTTCCCAGAAACAGCGATAAGGGGAATCGCAGGCAAGGCGTGGAGGCAGGGAGGAGCCCCACGGTGCCTTCACTCCTTTCTTCCCACCTGCCTGCGCACTTCCCTCGGAGAGGACTGGGGAGACCTGGAGGCCCTGCTCTTGAGTTTGCATAGAGGACGTGTTGGGTTAGCCAGTGGTAAAAATAATAATAATTATTAAATTTAAACATGATAATAATAAAAGAAGAACACGAAGGCAGGAAGGTGCTGGGCTCTGACCAGCCCCCTCTCCTACCCTAACCTGCCCCACCTCCTGCCCCGGCTGCCCCACCTCCTGCCCCGGCTGCCCCACCTCCTGCCCCGGCTGCCCCGCCCCCTGCCCCGGCTGCCCAGGATGTGGCCGACTTCGAGTGGGTGATGTGGTTCACATCCTTCCGAAACATCATCGTCTTCGCCCTCTCCGGACACGTGCTGTTTGCTAAACTCTGCACCATGGTTGCCCCCCAGGTGAGCTGGGCCAGGGCCTCTTTCACCACAAGGGTTGTGGGAAACCCCTCTTGGGGTGGCACCCCCACTTATGGGGCAAAACTGAAGCCTTCTCCCCGTCCACAGCTCCGCTCCTGGATGTACGCCGTGTACGGGGCCCTGGCCGTGATGGGCACAATGGGGCCTTGGTACCTGCTGCTGCTGCTTGGTCACTGCTTGGGCCTGTATGTGGCCTCGCTCTCGGGCCAGCCCTGGCTCTGTCTTGGCCTTGGCCTGGCCAGCCTGGCCTCCTTCAAGATGGACCCTCTCATCTCCTGGCAGGTATGCACTGGTGCAGGGGTAGATGGTGTTGGGATAAGATCCCAAACCTCTCACGTCATCCAAAGTCCTTGCCCCCCAAGTATCCCCAAGTGTTCCCTTCACTTTCCCACTTGTCTTCAAGCCTTTGGATGTGCCCTGGCCACAAGGTGACCACCTGAATCGCAGGAGGAGCTGACCAGCTCATTCCGGGCTCCTCACATTGCTGGGATGGAGCAATGGCCAGTTAACTGGCGCTGGAGGAGAGGAAGGGGCAGGACCAGGCTGGGCCCCTGTGGAAAGCCAGGGGGCGGGGAGTGGGTTTCCCAGAGACAGGAGGCACCCGGTGAGCTGGTGGCCTGTTCTTTCCCTCCAGAGCGGGTTTGTAACAGGCACTTTTGATCTTCAAGAGGTGCTGTTCCATGGGGGCAGCGGCTTCACAGTGCTGCGCTGCACCAGCTTTGCGCTGGAGAGCTGTGCCCACCCTGACCGCCGCTACTCCCTCGCTGACCTGCTCAAGTACAACTTCTATCTGCCTTTCTTCTTCTTCGGCCCTATCATGACCTTCGATCGCTTCCACGCCCAGGTGAGGGGACGCACTGCGGGCGTGTCTAGAACAGACTCAATCTCCCTTTCAGATTCGGGTTCCCAGGTAGAATTTCCCATCCTCAGGTATGATCCCAAGATGAAGCATGTGTCCCCTCCCTCCTCAGACCCCAGGATGGGGCATCCTTTCCCCTCCAGTAGAGATCCCAGGGTGGAGACACATCTCTTCTCTCAGACGGGGCTCCCAGGCTATGGCTGTTCCCCTCCCACTCAAATAGGGCTCCCAGGACAGTACCGGGTCTCCGGTGACTGGCTGCAAATCTTCCCCTGACTCCAGGATGACTTGTGTCTCCACCCTCAGGCAGGACTCCTGGATAAAGCCATGTCCCCTCCTGCCCCTAGTAGTTGGTGAACCCTCTCAGACAGGGCTCCACAGGCAGGGCTTGCCTCCCACCTCAGACCCTTCCCATCCCCCCAGGTAAGCCAGGCGGAGCCGGTGAGACGCGAGGGTGAGCTGTGGCACATCCGAGCACAGGCGGGCCTCAGCGTGGCAGCCGTCATGGCTGTGGACATCTTTTTTCACTTCTTCTACATCCTCACCATCCCCAGTGACCTCAAGTTTGCCAACCGCCTCCCAGACAGTGCCCTTGGTGGGTTCCCAGAAGAGGGATGGGGCAGGGCTGCCACCCCAGGAAAATAGGCCCCCTGCACCCCTGCAGTGCCACAGCTGGGGAAGCACCTGAGGGCATAGGAGCAGGGGCTTGTTCTTTCTAATGCACGGGTCTCAGCATTAGCTTCATCCTGTGGGGTTGGAGCAGCATCCACAGAGCCCACCCACCTCGCCAGCCATGGCTGGTTTCCACACATGGGGGTCTCCATGGGGCAGGCAGAGCCTGGGTCTCCCAAAGTAAGTGGCGGGACAGGGTGCCCATGGGTACAGACCCCACGAGATGAAGCCCAGGCAGTGACGGTGCCCTGCCCCCAGCTGGCCTCGCCTACTCGAACCTGGTGTATGACTGGGTGAAGGCGGCCATCCTCTTTGGCGTTGTCAACACTGTGGCATGCCTCGACCACCTGGACCCACCCCAGCCTCCCAAGTGCATCACCGCCCTCTATGTCTTCGCAGAAACGTGAGTGCCGGCCAGGGTGGGGAGGCGCACCCCGGGACCACACCTTCCCCTGGCCTCCTCCCCACGCTTCCCTGGGGTCTGCACCTGAGGGCTCATGTCCACCCTGAGGCTCATGCCCACCCTGAGGGCTCATGCCCACCCTGGGGCTCATGCCCACCCTGAGGGATCATGCCCACCCTGAGGCTCATGCCCACCCTGAGGGATCATGCCCACCCTGAGGCTCATGCCCACCCTGAGGGATCATGCCTACCCTGAGGCTCATGCCCACACTGAGGCTCATGCCCACCCTGAGGGATCATGCCCACCCTGAGGCTCATGCCCACCCTGAGGGATCATGCCCACCCTGAGGCTCATGCCCACCGTTTTCCTCTCACAGGCACTTTGACCGTGGCATCAACGACTGGCTTTGCAAGTGAGTGGGGTGGTGTCACAGCCATCCTGCCAGGTGTCTGAGCAGGGCAGTGCCAAGATGGGTCCACTTTTTAAAAGATCACTCCTGGGCCAGGGGAAGCATAGAGCACAGTAAGGAGGTTTTAGCAGAGCTCTGGGTGAAAGATACAGAAGTTAGGACTTCAGTGAGGGCCCCAGAGGGGAAGAGAGGTGGCGGGAGGGGTCACACAGCCAGCAGCCTGGGCAGGACACGGTGAGTATGGGTGTCAGGAAGGAGAGGGAGATGATGCCTGAATTCCTATCTGCAGCCTGGATGCAGCCTCGCATCCTGGGAGGACGGAGGGCAGTTTCCAGAGAGGGCTTCAGTTTCAGAACTGTCTAGTTGCAATCCGGGAGATATCCCTCTGGAGATTCAGGGAGGTGGCTGGGCCTGAGGGTCTGGAGGACTGACGGGACTCAGAGCGTCCTGAGTGTGGGCAGGTGGTCCTAGGCGTCCAGAGTGGGGGAGTCCTCAGGAGAGGGAGTGGAATGAGAAGAGAGACGGGGATGGCCGAGATGAGGCCTGCAAGAGCTCTGCTTGGAGGGAGAAGGAAGAGCCAGCGGAAAAGACGAGAGAGGCTGGAGGACAGGAGAAGAGTCAAGGCCTCGTGCTGCCCTGGAAGCCATGGGAAGACCGTCCAGGCCTGGTGGGGGCAGCTGGGTCAGACGCCGCCGAGCCGCAGGGAAGCTGGAGGCCGGGATTAGTGCTGGTAACATGGAGGTCTGCGGCCTTTCACGGGGAAGGCAGGGCCAGGTGAGGAGGGAAAGTCGACTGAGGAGGAGAGGAGTGTGGGGTGACCGCAGGGGAAGAGAGGAGTGGCTGAGGGAGGAGAGGGCGGTGTCAGAGATAGGCGAGAATGGGGCACCCTGAGAAGAATCATTCAGCAGAGGAGATGGTGGTGCAGGATACCGGGGTGACCGATGGAGTGAGGTCCCTGAGGAGGAAGGAGGTGACAGCGTCTAGTTCCTGGCAGAGGCCTGGCTTCAGCGGGAGGAGGAGAAGCCAGTGTGCATGCGGAGGAAGGCAGGTTAGTGCAGACAAGCACGGATTCTCCTGAACGCTCAGCCTTCTCCACGAAGCAGGAGGTACGACCGTCCGCTGAGAAAGGCAGGACTGGGGACGTGGAGAGGCAACAGCCCAGCCTGGATCTCCCCACTCGTGCCTGCGGGGACATAAGGGCACAGTGACCCTTGCAGAGCATGGGAGAAGCAGCCGACTACAGAAACACTGGCACTAAGCGCGCAGGTGGTATTGGAGGTGGTGGGCTTATGAACTCCAGCATGTGAAGCTGTGAGGCCTCCCCCGTGGGGCTTAGCTGCCCGGGTGGGTGTAGCTGAAGGGAAAGTAGGTGGGTGAGAAGGAAGAAGTCAAGAGTAAGAGTTCTCAGCTTGTTTATAGTGACGACTCACCGGATCAAGCCTACTAAGGATGGTGAGAAGATGAGAGGGTCACAAGGACAATGGGATTGGATAACTGAAGCTGGGGGGCCAGGAGGTCAGGAGGGGTTGGGCAAAGACTGGGAATTAGGAAGGAGTGAGCTTTCAAGTGGTGGCAAAGTTGGGGTGTGGCCATGGGTGTGGGTGGTTGAGGTGGAACGGAGAAAAAAGCCACGGGAAATGAGGAGGTCGAGGAATGGAGAGGCTGGTTGTTCGTGGGTCTTCTGCTGAGTTTATTGAACAAATGTTTATTGAGCGCCAAGTGCCAGGCACTGTTCTAGGCACTGAGGATACAGCCATGAACACGGCAAAGACCCTGACCTCGTGGAGCTTAGTCTCGTGGGGAGAGACAGACCATCAACAGGTCAAACCCACGAAGGAGGAGCTTTAGAGACTGGTCAGTGTTACGAAGAAGCTAAAACGAGCAATGGGACAGAAGTTGGTGACAGGTCGGGCTTCTCTAGTGGGGTCTGGGCGGGCTTCTCTGAGGAGGTGGCATATGAACTGAGATTTGAGTGGTAAGATGTGGGGCAGAGAGTACCAGGTGAAGGGAGCAAGACGGGCACATCTGGAGCGGGGTTTGAGCAGGGATGGGGACACGGCCAGTAGCCGTGAGACACACCCAGCTGTGGAGGTGTGAAGGCCAGAAAGGCCAATGATCGGCATCATGAACGGGGGAGCATGGGGGCTGACGAGGTCCGGGAGGGAACGGAAACCAGGCCACGTGGGAGCTTCTAGCCAGTGTAGAGAGACTGAGTCAATTCTGCTTGTAATGGGGAGCTATTCAGAGGGATTCACCATGGAAGTGACGTGACCTGAGCTGCACTCTTAAAAGATGCCTCTGGCTGCTGTGCGGAGAACGAACTGTGGGGGCAAAGGCAGAAGACAGAAGACCACTTATGAGGCTCTTGCAAGAATCTCTGTGAGGAGAGAGATCATCTTGACTCGGTGGTGGTGGGAGCGGAGGTGAGCGCTGGTCGCGACTGAGTGGAGCCGGCAGAATTTCCTGGCTTGAGTGTGGTGATGAGGCAAACGGAGAATCCACGTCGGCACCAAGGCTCACACCCTGAGAAGCAGAATGGATGGTGGTGCCGTTCACTGAGATGGGACAGAGTGGGCTTTGGGCAGGGACAGGGGCATCTGTCACTCAAGTCACACGGCTGGTAACAACTGGATATGCCAATCAGGAGAGATTGGGCTAAAGACAGACTTGGGGGTCGTGGCACAGAGACAGTACTTGAAATCTTGGGTCCGGATCATCTGGGGCATAAACAGCTGGGGAAGCTGTCACACCCAGGCTGAGCCGGCCACCATTTGAAGTTGGTTGGAGGAGGAGCAGCTACCTGAGGTCAGAAATGTTGAGGAGGTCGCCCTGTTGTGTGTGCTCCCCCATCTCATCCCTGCCCTTCCCACACTCCCGGTGGTCTTCTCCTGCTTTTCCTGCAGATACGTGTATGACCACGTCGGTGGGGAGCATTCCGCCGTGATCCCGGAGCTGGCAGCCACAGTGGCCACGTTTGCCATCACCACTCTGTGGCTTGGGCCTTGTGACATTGTCTACCTGTGGTCATTCCTTAACTGCTTTGGTCTCAACTTCGAGCTCTGGGTGCAAAAACTGGCGGAGTGGGGGCCCCTAGCGCGAATCGAGGTGAGCAGAGAGGTCTGGGGCTGGGACTGACTGGGTCACAGAGGGCAGGGGGGGCACTGCTGCTTTCTGGAGGCGTCCAACCCCTCACCCCCAGCCCCTCCTGGTTGTCAGGGCAGTGGCGTGCTCTGTGGGAATCCGGCCCTCCCGCCTTCTACGGGGTGGAGCGCCTGGACCTCGCTGTGCTGGTCAGGCCTTGCCCTCTCTCCGGACCTGCCTCCCGTGTTTAACAGGGAGGGGGAGCTGGCCTGGGGCTCCCCGAGACCTGGCCGGCCATGTGGGCCAGGCTGCTGACCCACCACGCCCTCTTTCCTTTGGCCTCCCTGGGCCGGACAGGCCTCTCTGTCAGTGCAGATGTCCCGCAGGGTCCGGGCCCTCTTTGGAGCCTTGAACTTCTGGGCCATTATCATGTACAACCTTGTGAGCCTGAACAGCCTCGAGTTCACAGAGCTGGTTGCCCGGCGCCTGCTACTCACAGGTGAGGGACGGGTGTGGAGATACAGAATGTGCTAGGCATCAGCCTCAAGGACAGGGACCTTCCAGAATGCCTCCTACCCCATCATCACCCCGGGGACCCAGCAGGGAGGGCCCATCACGCCGGAACAAGGATGGCAGAAGTCGCTGTGCATGCAGAGCCTTCTGAGTGTCTGCGACCCCTTCCCCACAGGGTTCCCCCAGACCACGCTGGCCGTCCTGTTTGTCACCTACTGTGGTGTTCAGCTGGTGAAGGAGCGTGAGCGAACCCTGGCACTGGAGGAGGAGCAGAGGCAGGACAAGGAGAAGCTGGAGTAGGAGGGAGGGCAGAGGGATGGGCTCTGCTCAGATCTTCCGGGCCGGATGAGGCCGGATCACAGAATAAATGACTTTTCTACCACAGCTTGGCTGCTCCCCGCCCCTTCCCTCCACAGACCCCTGGCTCCACATTCATGGTGGCTGAGGGGCTGGCGGCTCTGGGCCTCGGGAGGGGGACAGGGGTTTCCACCCATGGAGTGGAGGAGACACCAGTTGGAGGCCAGAGACCATGGACTAGGCAGCCCAGCCGTGAAGTCCCGAAGCCCCAGGTCTTCAAAACACCTGCCCACTGGCTCTTGGAGCGCAGATGCAGACCCTGAGCTGCTTGCTCAGAAGGCACTTTATTCTTCTTAGAGACACTTGATGGGGACGCTCCAGCCTGACAGGCAAGACTCAGTTCTGTGGGAACTTTCCCAGAGCTTCAGCCAGGCTGGGCTACCGCCCTGTGGTTCTGGCTCAAGGGTCAAGACAACCAGGGAAACATGGCGACAACGGAGAAGCCTCTAGTTCCTCATCCTTGCCCAAAAGGCCAGGGCCAGGCAGCGTCCCTTCCCTTGGCTGACAAAGCCCCTGGGGCACCGTAACCAGGTCCAGACTCTGGCATCTCCTAACCTCTTCTCTGGAGCCCCCACAAGGCCAGACCTATGAAGGCCGCAGGATGGGAGGGGTACTGAGCTCAGGCCCCGGGCTGGTCACATCTTGGTCAGGCGAAGCACGTTAAGCCGCACTGGCAGGAAGGTGGCACCTGCCGCATAGGCGATCTCCCGCAGGACACCCTCCCACTTCTTCTCCTCCTCATTATACCTGGGGTGAGAGAGGGTGGGGACAAGGACGGGAAGCTCAGCCAGCTGAGTCCAGAGTGGAACACAGCAGAGAGGGCGGCTGAGCGCACTCAGGCCATCTGCTCCTGAAGGTCCCCAGGCTCTGGGAAAGGAGACCCCACAAGACCCACCCAGGAACACCCACCCACACTCCAGGAAGGGCCTTGCTCCCCAGGAAAGATATCCTCTCAAGTGGTGTTCCCATATTCCTCAAAGCCCCCCTCCAGAAAGGTCTACACTCCCACACCATCCCCTCAATGTCCTTGAGAATTTCCACGCTCCATTTTTAGGAGGTCTCCAGTCCCCTCCAGCAGCACTGCTCCCCAGGGACTGCCTGCAGCAGGGGGATGGCTGCAGGTCCAGGGGATGCCCTAGAGGCTAAAGTCTCCTTCCCCCACCCGGAGAAGGACCAGCAATCGAGAGCAATGGTTCTGAAAATCCCAGCCTCCAACTGCTTCCCGGTCCTGGTGGCAGCCCTTGCTCCAGACCAAGCACCCAGAAGGCAGGAGAGAGGAAAAGCCGGCTGCTGCTTGGGGCCTGTTTCTGTGGGTCTGTGGCCTAAGCGTGGGTCTGCTCCTGTCTGCAGCATTGCTGCTGCTCCACCGTGGGGCACGGTGCCATCTGTGCAAGCCCGGACTTCCCCAGCAAATGGAGAAACGGCTGAGCAGGGTATGTTGGCTGTTCCTCCCTATAGGACTCCCCGGAAGAGGGATCCGCTTTGCCCCCAGAGGAGCTTGCCCGGTGCCTCGGTGCCACACCATGGTGCTGTGGGTGTCAGCTTTGCTCCTTGATTCCCCTCACCTCCCTGGGGCTGGACTCACCTCCAGATGTCATTGAGCTCTGTGGGAACAAGCTCTCCGGACTCAGTCTCCAGTGTGGCAAAGCCACCGATGGCATAGAGCGTGCCCACCAGGCTGACCAGGCTGAGGGAGCTGCGTTCCTGTGGGAAGGCCTCGAAGGGTGCCCACCTGGGGTGTGAAGAGGTGCATCATCGGGGTGCCTCGGCAAGCGCAGTGCTCCAACTGCACCCCTTTGCAGTCCACATCCCAGGCACCCAAGCCCCCACCCAGTTCCCCCGCCCTGTCCCAGTGTCTTCCCTTCCTCCCCACTCTCTTGCTCCTCCCCTTTCCCTTCCTCCCCACTCTTGCTCCTCCCCTTTCCCTTCCTCCCCACTCTCTTGCTCCTCCCCTTTCCCTTCCTGTCTTCTTGCGATTCTATCCAACTTGCCCAGCAAAGTCCACCATGGATCTCCCACTGCCCGTCCTCCTCTCCGGAACTCACTCTGGCTGCCAACTCACAGCCCCAGCCCCCAGCAGGCTCTCACCTGGACACGGTCCTTTCGCCCTCAGAGGCCCCTGCAGCCCCGCCACCCGCACACCTGCCCAGCCCTTCTCCTCCCTTCACTGCCCAGGTGTTCTCAGCGCGTCCTCGCTGCCCTGGCTCCTGCCTTGGGCCTTGGTCCATCCTCCAAACTGCCTTCCCTGAGGTCCGCAGCCACTGCGCATGCACTGAGGCCCTAAACCCACTCTCCTGAGGGAGCCTGGCCCCTCTACGTGCTACTGACCCCAGATCTCGCCCTCCAGCTCAGCCCTCTCTCTTCCAGGTGGGGTCCTTTTGGACACCCCAGGCACTTCAAATCCACATGTCCTAAGGGGACCCTCACTTTCCCTACCCAGTCCCTGTGATTGGGTAGTAAACGACCTCCCACCCTCACTCAGAAACATGCCCTTCCCCCCCACCCCCGCATCCAATCAAGAGCTAAGCCCTGTTCCTTCCACCTCCTAGACGCTTGCTACTCAGTGTGGCTCATGGACCAGCAGCATCAGCAGCTCCTGGGGGTGGGTTAGAAAGGCCCTCAGGCCTCGAATCTCATCACCATCCAGGAGACTCCTCACATGCCTGAGAAACCCTGGCCTGCCATCCCCTCAGCCCCATCCCGCGGCTCCCCTGGCTCCTGGCCTTCACCACCCAACCTTCCTGCTCCCTGGGACATCCCTAATCCGACCTCTAACCTCTATATCAGCGGCCATGAAGTGCTTGAGTAGGACACAGATGCGATACAGTCCCTTTCCTGCTGGTCCCTGCTCCAGCCCCAGCACCCCCTTCCCACCTCCATTACCCATGCCCTGCACCTGGCCCCAGCACCCAATCTCACCTCCCTCACCCAGCCCCAGCACCCCATCCCACCTGCATCACCCACCCCAGCATCCAGCCCAAGCACCCCATCCCACCTCCATCACCCACCCAGCACCCAGCCCCAGAACCCCATTCCACAGCCATCACCCAGCCCCTGCACCCAGCCCCAGCACCCCATCCCACCTCCATCACCCAGCCCCTGCACCCAACACCAGCACCCCATCCCACCTCCCTCACCCAGCCCCTGCACCCAGCCCCAGAACCCCATCCCACCTCCCTCACCCAGCCCCTGCACCCAGCCCCAGAACCCCATCCCACCTCCCTCACCCAGCCCCTGCACCCAGCCCCAGCACCCCATCCCACCTCCCACACCCAGCCCCTGCACCCAGCCCCAGCACCCCATCCCACCTCCATCACCCAGCTCCTGCACCCAGCCCCAGCACACCATCCCACCTTCCTTACCCAGCCCCTGCACCCAGCCCCAGCACCCCATCCCACCTCCATCACCCAGCTCCTGCACCCAGCCCCAGCACCCCATCCCACCTCCATCACCCACCCCCTGCACTCAGCCCCAGCACACCATCACCTCCCTCACCCAGCCCCTGCACCCAGCCCCAGCACCCCATCTCACCTCCCTCACCCAGCCCCTGCACCCAGCCCCAGCACCCCATCCCCCCTCCATCACCCAGCCTCTGCACCCAGCCCTAGCACCCCATCCCACCTCCATCACCCAGCCTCTGCACCCAGCCCTAGCACCCCATCCCACCTCCATCACCCACCCCCTGCACTCAGCCCCAGCACACCATCACCTCCCTCACCCAGCCACTGCACTCAGCCCCAGCACACCATCACCTCCCTCACCCAGCTCCTGCACCCAACACCAGCACCCCATCCCACCTCCCTCACCCAGCCCCTTCACCCAGCCCCAGCACCCTATCCCACCTCCCTCACCCAGCCCCTGCACCCAACCCCAGCACCCCATCCTACCTCCCTCACCCAGCCTCTGCACCCAGCCCCAGCACCCCATCCCACCTCCATCACCCAGCTCCTGCACCCAGCCCCAGCACCCCATCCCACCTGCATCACCCACCCCCTGCACTCAGCCCCAGCACACCATCACCTCCCTCACCCAGCCCCTGCACCCAGCCCCAGCACCCCATCCCACCTCCCTCACCCAGCCCCTGCACCCAGCTCCAGCACCCCATCCCACCTCCATCACCCACCCCCTGCACTCAGCCCCAGCACACCATCACCTCCCTCACCCAGCCCCTGCACTCAGCCCCAGCACACCATCACCTCCTTCACCCAGCCACTGCACCCAACACCAGCACCCCATCCCACCTCCCTCACCCAGCCCCTGCACCCAACCCCAGCACCCCATCCCACCTCCCTCACCCAGCCCCTGCACCCAACCCCAGCACCCCATCCTACCTCCCTCACCCAGCCTCTGCACCCAGCCCCAGCACCCCATCCCACCTCCATCACCCAGCCTCTGCACCCAGCCCTAGCACCCCATCCCACCTCCATCACCCAGCCCCTGCACCCAGCCCCAGCACCCCATCCCACCTCCCTCACCCAGCCCCTGCACCCAGCCCCAGCACCCCATCCACCTCCCTCACCCACCACCTGCACCCAGCCCCAGCACCCCATCCCACCTCCATCACCCACCACCTGCACCCAGCCCCAGCACCCCATCCACCTCCATCACCCACCCCAGCACCCAGTCCCAGCACCCCATCCACCTCCATCACCCACCACCTGCACCCAGCCCCAGCACCCCATCCCACCTCCATCACCCACCACCTGCACCCAGCCCCAGCACCCCATCCACCTCCATCACCCACCCCAGCACCCAGCCCCAGCACCCCATCCACCTCCATCACCCACCACCTGCACCCAGCCCCAGCACCCCATCCCACCTCCATCACCCACCACCTGCACCCAGCCCCAGCACCCCATCCACCTCCATCACCCACCCCAGCACCCAGCCCCAGCACCCCATCCACCTCCATCACCCACCCCAGCACCCAGCCCCAGCACCCCATCCCACCTCCATCACCCACCACCTGCACCCAGCCCCAGCACCCCATCCACCTCCATCACCCACCCCAGCACCCAGCCCCAGCACCCCATCCACCTCCATCACCCACCACCTGCACCCAGCCCCAGCACCCCATCCCACCTCCATCACCCACCCCAGCACCCAGCCCCAGCACCCCATCCACCTCCATCACCCACCACCTGCACCCAGCCCCAGCACCCCATCCCACCTCCATCACCCACCCCAGCACCCAGCCCCAGCACCCCATCCACCTCCATCACCCACCACCTGCACCCAGCCCCAGCACCCCATCCCACCTCCATCACCCAGCCCCAGCACTGCCTTCCCTCCTGTGGGCCTGGCCTTTTTTCTCCTACCTGCCTCGGCACCACAGTTCCTTAGTCTGTGGCAACCTCCTACCACCACCCTCATCCAGTTTGCCAGCTGAGTCCAGCTGTCTCTCAGTTCAGTTTTCTCTTCTCTGATGTCCCAGGGAGGGCAGCTTCTGTATCGTTCACTGCTATATCTCTAGTCCCTGAGTGAGGAACCTGGCATCCCCTCCCCCAGCCCAGGGAGCCCCTCCTGCAGACCAGGGTGGCCGTAGCCCTTGCCCCACCTCCCCACCTCACTGCTGATCAGGAGAGAAGGCCTGTGTCTATGCTGGCGTCCAAACTCAACACTGGAGACCCAAGACAGGGACCGCGGCTCCTGCCGGGGCTGACAGAGGCCCAAAGCCACACAGCTGTCCGTGGCAGAAGGGACAAGTTCCGTACTTGTTGTCTGTGATGCTGTACACCTCAGCGGAACTGGTCAGCCCTGTGTCGGTGACCCCAGCTGCCACAACAATGCGGCCGTCGTGGACAGTGGCCCCGAAGAGTGAGCGGGCGGTGTGCATGGGTGCCAGCTCCTTCCACTCGAACTTCTTGGGGTCATAGACACACATCTTGTTCAGGCACTTCCTGTGGGGTGGAGGGCGGGAGTGAGTGGGGACGCAGCCCAGCCACCCTCGCTGCAGGCGCCTCCAGGGCAGCCAGGACAAACCCCTGACAGTCTCTGGGGGATCCTGCCTCTGCTCCGTGGACTCGATCCAGGCCCAGCCTCACCTGTCGCTGCCTTTGCCACCAATGACGTAGACAAGGTCCATGTGAGACAGCACCGCGTGGCCGTACACTGCGTAGGGCAGCGGGTCCGACTCGCCCCATTTGAATGACCTGGAGGAGACAGAGTGGGGGTGGGCATGCACCCCAGCTCAGCTCAGTCCCCCTCTCTGCACCCATCCACCCATCCACCTAACACATATTGGAGCTGCGTCAGCCATTGCTGGAACTTCCCTGGCCTCTCAGTTCTGTGCTCCCACCCCGCCTCCCAACTGTCCGCCCCTACCCAAGCCCAGCTTTACCTACGCCTGAGGTTCTGGCTCCAACTCCCACCCCAAGCCCTAGACCAAGGTGGCCACCATGCCCTGCCCACCCCTGCGGTGCTCAGCGCTGCCCCTGCCGCACTCACAGCCGGTCGTAGCACATGACGGAGTCCAGGCAGCGCTCACCGTCCTTGATCTCTCTGCCACCGACCACGTAGATGGAGTTGAGAGCCTCTCCCAGGCCAAAGAGGCAGCGGGGCGAGGGCAGCGGTGGCATCCCCAGCCACTCTGAGTCCAGGTGGTCAAACTGCGGGCCGGGTGTGCAGTCAGCTATCACCCCCAGATCCCCTGGCCTCAGTCCAGCCCCACAAAGTCCCACTGCCCCAGGTAGGGCCAGTGCCCCTCCTGCCAACAGGCTGAGAGCCGATGAGCATCCTCCAAGCCCAGGCAGGCTCCCGGCAGCCACCTTTATAGCAGGCGGTAGGGCTCACAGCGTGGAAATGAGGGGCAGCCCTGCAAGGGAGGTCCAGCTGTGGCCTTACTTCCCCAGGCACTGAGGCCTGCCCCCACCCTGCTCTCCACCCCATCCCACTGTTCAGGAAACTTCCAAATGCAGCCCTGCCTTTCACCCTATAAAACCTACAGTCCACGGCCTCGTCCACCTCCACAGCCTGTAATAAAGATATTAATTCTAGGGGCTCATCTTTTGGAAAGTTTTCTGGGGGCTGGGCACTGTGCTGAGTACTTTATCATGACCTTATCATGCAGGAAGAATAATATCCCCACTTACAAACAGAGGCCCAGAGAGAACAAGCAATGTCCCCACCCTGCTGAGCCTGTAGCTGGTGACGCTGCCCTCAGCTCCCCGTGCAACTGAACACAGGGCTTTGTGAGCTGAACCTCGGCCCAAGTGCCTGTCGCCCGTCTTGCTGGTCAGCCTCCCTGAGCACGCCGCTCACCAGGCTCAGCCCCCGTTCTGTCCCTTGTCTATGGGTTCCTGGCGGAAACATGGCCACTTCCCCTTCACATCTCCAAGTCCCACGCCACTGGCAAGGCTCAAACTGACATGGCCAGTCTCCAGGAAACTGTCTGTGCCCTCTGAGATCTCACAGTCACACCCCAACTTAGACCTAGCCCTTCACCCTACTGATCCCTGCTGGGTCTCGGCTTCCTCATCTGTTAAATGGGAGGGCCAGACAGGATGGTGCCCTTGTCTGGGACACTGCTCTGAGCTCCAGGCCAGGACCCTGACACAGACCTTGATCCTCCTCACTGTGCAGGGCCAGGGCCTCCAACATAAGCCAACTTGGGGCAACCACACCCCTGAGACTGAGACTCCAGTTATGCTGCTTTTTGGCAGCTGCCTATTAAATGCCTTCAACCTTCCAGCAGGTGGCAATCAGCCAGTCCATCTCACCCTAGACCCAACGGCGTTCCCTGTGTAGACACAAGACTGCCCCCACCCCGCCCCAGTGCCCAGAGCCCCTAGGGCTGGTCAGGCACCTGAAGGAAGTATGCGCTCATGGGGTCCTCTTTGTTGTCTTCGTTGTAGAAGAGGCCTCCAGCCACGAAGACCTGGTTCTCCTTGGTAACCAGGCTGACGTGGTTCTTGGGGACCTGGCTGGAGAGGGAGGCGCAGTAGCACTCATTGGCTGCGGGGTCGTAGGCCACCGCGCCCTCCTCGCTGACCATGAAGATGAGGTCCTGCAGGAACATGCCGAAACGCAGGGTGTCGTTGAGGATCCCGGGTAGGATGCGCTCAGCCTCCTCCTCGTCCTCCGCTTTGGCTTCGCCCGCGCCCTTCTCGGCCTCCTTGGCAGCGTCCCTCCCCTTCTTCTTCTTGCGCAGCGTGGTGAGGCGGCCCTCGTGCGCGTCTTTCACCATCTGCACCTTGCGCAGCAGCTCGGGCTGGGCGCGCACGAGAGGGTGGCGCTCCACGCGGCTCTCCAGGAAGGCGCGCGGCAGCAGGCGGCAGCGCACGCTCTCGAAGACGGTGGGCAGAGCACGCTGGCGCTCTGCCTGCGCCTCGGCCTCGCCGCTGCCCGCCCAGCGCATGACCGCCTCGAACACCGCCTCCTCCTTCTCCACGTTCAGGCCGTCGCTGGAGATGATGGCGATGAGCTCGTCGGCCGAGAGTCCCAGGAAGTCGGCGTCGCGTGCCACCAGCGTGAAGTGCGCGCAGATGAAGTCGCGGGCGGCCACGGCCAGGCGCGCGCAGTCCAGCAGGAGCCCCAGGCGGAACACGGCCAGGCAGTTGGAGAGGCACAGGCGCTTCTGCAGGAAGGACACGCAGATGGTGAAGATGGACGGGATCTGGAAGCGGTGCGCCGCGGCGAACAGGTCCTGCACGCTGGCCTCGTCCAGCGCGATCTCCGACGTGTACAGGTAGTGCAGCACCTGCGCCACCACGTCCGCCGACACCTCCTCCAGCTGCAGTTCGCCCGCGCTCTCGGGCGCGGCCAGGAAGCGCGCGCGGAAGTAGGGGCTGCAGGCGGCCAGCACCAGGCGGTGGCACGGGAACTTGCGCTCTCCCGCGCGCACCACGCAGTCCAGGAACTTGCCATGGTCCAGCATGTCCTTGAGCCCGTCCTGCAGGAGCGTCTGCTGGTACAGCCGCTGCTCCTCCGCCTGCTCCAAGCCCAGCGCCATGGTGGGGGCCTAGGGTGGGGGGGTGAAAGTGGGGGCCTAGGGTGGGTGGCGGGGCCAAGGGGCTCCTCTCTGCGCCCCTGCTTTCCTGCGGGGCTCGCTCGGACTGCGCAGCTGTCTTCGAAGGGCTATATATAGAGGTGGCCCGGGCCCTGTAAGGCGAGCCGCCTGGCCTCCTGCACATGACGCACAGGGGGACAGCTGGGTAGAGGCCCCCTCCGGGAGAAGCCTTGGCTCAGCCCCGGGGCTCATGGGACATGGTGGGGTGTCCGGGCCCCTTTGAAAGATGAGGGCCTGGCTGCCTCATTTCTAAATGGAGCACGGGGAGGCCGTGACTCCGGATGCTTTGGTCAGGAGAGCCCCTATGGGAGGGGGTGGCCTAAGCATTGGAGCCGGTCTTCCGGGGTCTCCCTCCGTTCCTGCTGCCTGGGTCCATCTGCCCTGGTGCCCCCCGTCTCCCTCCCCGAAATGTACCTCACTTGAGCCCCCGGAGCCTTGGGTTTTCTGTCAGAACTTAGGACATGCTGTTTGCTCTTTACTGGCCCCTTTGCCCTGCCTTTATTTTATTTTTATTTATTTATTTAGAGACTGAGTCTCCCTCTGTTGCTCAGGCTGGAGTGCAGTGTCGTGATCTCAGCTCACTACAACCTCCACCTCCCAGGGTCAAGCCATCCTCTGCCTCAGCCTCCCGAGTCGCTGGGATTACAGGGCCTGCCACCACGCCTGGCTAATTTATTTTTGTATTTTTAGTAGAGATGGGGTTTCACCATCTTGTCCAGGTTGGTCTTGAACTCCTGACCTCATGATCCAATAGGATCAGCCTAAGCCTCCAATAGTGCTGGGATTACAGGTGTGAGCCACTGCACCCAGCCTATTTTATTTTCTAAGAGGCAGGGTCTCACTATGTTGCCCAGGCTGGACTTGAACTCCTGGGCTCAAGCCATCCTTCTGCCTCAGCCTCCCTAGTAGCTGGCACCACAGATATAAGACACCGCTGGCGCTGCCTTACCTTTAAAATGGGAAGAACTTTTCCTCTGTCTGCCCTGCTCTGAGACCCTCCTTCTTGCAAGAAAGCAAGAAGATACCTTAGGTAAAGAAGGTTACCACTTTTCTGTGGGGCCTGGGGCAGGGCAGGTCTCTTCGTTAAGCCTCGGTTTCCCTTCCTACACAATGAGGATGGGGCGAATTCAGACAGTAAGGGCCTCCATTCACCTGTGTTGCTGGAGGTTCAGAAGCACCAGGTGCTGTGTTCCTGGGATACACCTTAGAGGGCTCTCACATTTCTAAGTGTTGGACGTGCTAGAAAATGAATTTCTTAGGATTCTACTCTTCTAGGTATTTAACCCCCAGGGTTTTAACATTCTAGGGAGTGACATTCTGAATTCTAGTGTTTAAAAAGTAACACTGAAAGTTGAATATTTCAGGACTTCAGTTGTCTGTACTCACTGTTCCCGGTGCATCTGAGGCAAGGCCTGAGCTGCCTGGCCATGGGGCCCCGCACCTTGTCTGTGATCTGAGGGACCAGGCTTGAAGCCCAGGTTGACAGCCAGTCTCAATGCCTACCTTGTTCTGGACTCTTGACCCCCTCCCAGCTCCCTTCCCCCCACCCCCGCCCATCACCAGACACACACGCACATTAGCCTCAGTCACCAAGATTAACTTGTTCCCAAAGTGCCAGCGGCTGCAGCTGTGTGTTAAATTTAGCCCCCAGGACACTGGGATGAACTATTATGAGGCACACCCCATCATTCCTCTGAGTCACTTGTTTATAACGTCAGGCCTGGGGGGCACGGGAGAAATGACAGCTGGCTGGGCTAGGGCTGAGTCACCTCCCTTTTGTGATCTCAGCAATATCACTCTGTCCCTTTTTCTTTTTCTTCTTTTGAGACAGAACCTCATTCTGTTGCCCAGGCTGGAGTGCAATGGCACGATCTTGGCTCACTGCAACCTCCACCTCCCGGGTTCAAATGATCCTCCTGCCTCAGTCTCCCGGTAGCTGGGATTACAGGTGCCTGCCATCATGTCCAGCTAATTTTTTTTTCTTTAGTAGAGATGGGGTTTTACTGTGTTGGCCAGGCTGCTCTCAAACTTCTGATCTCAGGTGATCCGCCTGCCTCGGCCTCCCAAAGTGCTGGGATTACAGGCGTGAGCCACCGCGCCCGGCCTCTGTCCCTCTTCAATGGTGCAACTGACCATCACTCACTCACCCCACCAGCAGGTCCCAAAGGGACACAGCACCTGGGCAGGCTCTGGAGGTGATCAGTCCCTGTTGCTGAAAAGACAAGGGCTCACTCAGACAAGGCAGGTGGTGGGCTTTCAGCCCAGTCCGGGACTGCAGGGCATTGTGGCAAGCACAGCCACTGAGGAGACTCGGCTTGAGGGCTGGGCACCTTGGCCAAGTCACAGAGCGGGCATGGGGCGGTGCCAGGATCTGAAACAGATCTGCCCTCCTCCAAAGACTGTGGCAACCCTTCCCTACCTTGCCACTTCCCAAGAATTAACAAAAATGTCATTAATCGTAGTCTCATTTCAAAGACCAGGACAGAAAATACTGGCCAGTTAACTTAGATTTATCAAATGACTTGATGAAATATTTTTAGATGGTGATGGATCCCATAGCTGTCACTCTACCAAGCATTCCAGTAGAACATGTGTATATGGCTCATTCATTCATCATCAAGCACCAGCTGTGCACTGCTTTAAATGCTGAAGAGTCAGCAATCAGGCGTCACGGGACTTACATTTGCCAGGGGGTCGGGGCGAGGGTGGTGGGGGAGACAGAAATACATCAATAGTTATTCAGGGCATTGGACGATGCTCATGGCTGTGCAGACAAGGGGAACAGGGAAGGCGCATGGGAAGTGGCAGGAGGAGGTGGGAACGATTTTAAACGGAGCAGTCAGGATGGACTCACCAAGAGGATCACATTGAGTTGAGTCAGAGGATTCCCGGTGGGGGCGCAGCTGGAGCCAAGTTCCTGAGGCAAGAGAGTGCCTGGCATGTTCCTGGAACAGCTTGGAGAGCGACCGGGCTGGAGCAGTGAATGAGGAGGCAAGTAGGAGGCAAGGGGAGAGGTGAGTGTGGGGACCGTGGGCCCATCAGGACTTCGGTTTTCCTCTGAGTTGAAAGGGGAAACACTGTTATTTATTTATTTATTTTTTGAGATGGCATCTTGCTCTGTTGCCCAGGCTGGAGTGCGGTGGCGTGGGCTCAGCTCACTGCAACTTCTGCCTCCTGGGTTCAAGCGATTCTCCTGTTTCAGCCTCCCAAGTATCTGGGACTATAGGCACCCGCCACCACGCCTGGCTACTTTTTGTATTTTTGGTAGAGATGGGGTTTCCCCATATTGGCCAGGCTACTCTCCAATTTCTGACCTTGTGATCCGCCCACCTTGGCCTCCTAAAGTGCTGGGATTACAGGTTTGAGCCACTGCGCCCAGCCTTATTTTTTGAGGCAGGGTCTTGCCCTGTTGCCCAGTCTGGACCTCCTGGGCTCAAGTGATCCTTCACCTCAGTCTCCTCAGTGGCTGCGACTACAGGCGCCCCGTCCCCACCACACCCAACTAATTTCTAAAATTTTTGTGCTGATGGGGTCTCACTATTTTGCCCAGGCTGGTCTGGAACTCCTGGCCTCAAGGGATCCTCCCACCTTGGCCTCCCAAAGTGTTGGGATTATAGGTGTGAGCCACCATGCCTGGCCTCACTGTTTTTTTAATTATTATTGTGGAAAATACAAATATGTACAAAAGTAGAGAGGATAATATCCTGAGCTCCCATGGACCCATCTCCCCACTTCGATAATTGTCAGGTCTTTGAGTCATGGCCAACCCCGTTTCATCTCTACCGCACCCACTCTATTACTCACCCCCGGAGGTCCCCAGGGATTGTATGTGGGTGTAGAAAAAGAGGGGAGAAAGGGTGACTCCAAGGCTTTTAGCTGAACCAAAGGGAAGATGTCATCTCATTTCATCCTTTCAATTTTTACTGATTTAATCTCCACACCAAAATTATGAGGTAGGTATTATTTTTCCCATTTTACAGAAATTGAAATTCCAATGGCCAGCAAATGGGAAGCAGTCTAATGTTTTAAAAACAGCTCTAATGAGGCATAAGTAGCATGTGACAAACCACACGTATTTAAAGTGTACAATTTGATAAGTTTTGACATATGTATATATACCCGTGAAACCCCCAGCACCACAATCAAGACGGGAACACACCTGTCACCCACGAACCCTTCCTCATCCCCTTTAAAATCTCTCCTCCATCTCTTCCCACACACCCCCCATCACTGATCTGTTGTCACCATGATTCATTTGCATTACCTGCAGTTTTACGTAAGAAGAATCGTGCAGTATGCACTCTTTTTGATTTTTTGTCTGACATTATTCACTCAGTGTAATTATTTTAAGCTTCATCTAGGCTGTCTACTCATATGTTTAACTGGAAGCTCTGCCTTCATTAGGAATCTTAGCATATCCCAGGGTCATTTAAGAGAAGCACTAAGTGTGCCGGGTGCTGTGGCTCACCTGCACTCCCAGCACTTTGGGGGACTAGGGCAGTGGGTGGATCACCTGAGGTCAGGAGTTCGAGACCAGTCTCACCAATACGGTGAAACTCCATCTCTACTAAACTACGAAAATTAGCCGGGTGTGGTGGCATGCACCTGTAGTCCCAGCTGCTCAGGAGGCTGAGACAGGAGGCTTGAACTCAGGACATTTGGGTGGCCACACTTGGTGGCCTTCCTGCATCTCCTAAATAGTCTTCCTATGTTTTGGACAGTTCGCACGTAAGTAGAACTTCTTCTCTGTGGTAGAAAACAGAATTTATTTAAAATCCCAGCTTCCCCAGGAAAACAGACATGCCACTGAGCTCAACCCATCGTATGTGCCGTCCCAAACTTCAGCTCAGATCAGGAAGCAGGGACACGCAGCATCCATGTTTTGACGAAGATGGCTGATGGAAAGCGGTGTCGGAACTTCTGGAGTCGGCTTCCCACTGTCCACGTGCAAGCGGAGGGATCTGTCCCTGCTGGCGCTGGTTTGGCCACGACCTGGGCTATGCAGCCTGTGACCCTGACTGCAGCACTCCTGAAGGTTCTGTCTGATGCCACAGCAGCCAGTGAGGCTTCCATGGTCTGCTGCTAAGAGGACTGTGCGATGTTGAAATTCATTTCAGGAGTATCCTGGCAGCAGGTGCGCACGGCGGAGCCAACGCAGTCGAGAGCATCTCCGATGGCCTGCTCGCCTGCTCACTGACTTCTGGGTTACAGGAGGCCTGTGATGCAAGGAGTCGAGATGCTGCAGATGCTCTTACGTGACAAAGGGACCCAAAGACGGGAGCCCCGAATGCTGGAGTGGACCCATCCCCCGTGTCTGCTGAGAGGGCTGAGAGGACACCTCGCCCATCATTGAGGACCTTGTTGGTGAGGTATGCCGGCGACTTTAACCTGTCAGGGCTGAGTGGGAGCCTTTGCCTTTGAAGTGGCCTCCCTGCTTTCAGGGAGGATAATGGGATCTTAGCATTGACAGTGGCCAAGTAATGGTTCATAAGCTCCAAAGGTAAAATGGGCACGGCCACTGCAATCAGCAGCAGGGCTGGAGCGGGGGGTCGTCAGAGGGGACGGAGGGCTGGAGCGGGGGTCGTCAGAGGGGCCGGAGGGCTGGAGCGGGGGTCGTCAGAGGGGCCGGAGGGCTGGAGCGGGGGTCGTCAGAGGGGCCGGAGGGCTGGAGCGGGGGTCGTCAGAGGGGCCGGAGGGCTGGAGTGGTGGTCGTCAGAGGGGCCGTAGGGCTGGAGCGGGGGTCGTCATAGGGGCTGGAGGGCTGGAGCGGGGGTCGTCAGAGGGGCCGGAGGGCTGGAGCGGGGGTCGTCATAGGGGCTGGAGGGCTGGAGCGGGGGTCGTCAGAGGGGCCGGAGGGCTGGAGTGGTGGTCGTCAGAGGGGCCGGAGGGCTGGAGCGGGGGTCGTCATAGGGGCTGGAGGGCTGGAGCGGGGGTCGTCAGAGGGGCCGGAGGGCTGGAGCGGGGGTCGTCAGAGGGGCCGGAGGGCTGGAGCGGGGGTCGTCAGAGGGGCCGGAGGGCTGGAGTGGTGGTCGTCAGAGGGGCCGGAGGGCTGGAGCGGGGGTCGTCATAGGGGCTGGAGGGCTGGAGCGGGGGTCGTCAGAGGGGCCGGAGGGCTGGAGTGGTGGTCGTCAGAGGGGCCGGAGGGCTGGAGCGGGGGTCGTCATAGGGGCCGGAGGGCTGGAGCGGGGGTCGTCAGAGGGGCCGGAGGGCTGGAGCGGGGGTCGTCATAGGGGCTGGAGGGCTGGAGCGGGGGTCGTCAGAGGGGCCGGAGGGCTGGAGTGGTGGTCGTCAGAGGGGCCGGAGGGCTGGAGCGGGGGTCGTCAGAGGGGCCGGAGGGCTGGAGCGGGGGTCGTCAGAGGGGCCGGAGGGCTGGAGCGGGGGTCGTCAGAGGGGCCGGAGGGCTGGAGTGGTGGTCGTCAGAGGGGCCGGAGGGCTGGAGCGGGGGTCGTCATAGGGGCTGGAGGGCTGGAGCGGGGGTCGTCAGAGGGGCCGGAGGGCTGGAGTGGTGGTCGTCAGAGGGGCCGGAGGGCTGGAGCGGGGGGTCGTCAGAGGGGACGGAGGGCTGGAGTGGTGGTCGTCAGAGGGGCCGGAGGGCTGGAGCGGGGGTCGTCAGAGGGGCCGGAGGGCTGGAGCGGGGGTCGTCAGAGGGGCCGGAGGGCTGGAGCGGGGGTCGTCAGAGGGGCCGGAGGGCTGGAGCGGGGGTCGTCAGAGGGGCCGGAGGGCTGGAGTGGTGGTCGTCAGAGGGGCCGGAGGGCTGGAGCGGGGGTCGTCATAGGGGCTGGAGGGCTGGAGCGGGGGTCGTCAGAGGGGCCGGAGGGCTGGAGCGGTGGTCATCTTAGGGGCTGGAGGGCTGGAGCGGGGGTCGTGAGAGGGTCTGACCCCCAGGGGCCCTTGGGAGTGACTAATGGAGTGTGTGTTTCCTAGCAACGGAAACAGATCGTTTTTCTAACGTTTTACTGATACATATTCTGAATCTGGGTTTGCCTTCCCAGCCTGCCACATTTCTGCTGCTCCCTCCAGCCACAGATTTCATGCCTTTTTCATTTTCATGGAACCAAATTCAACCCTGCTTCTGATCCAGGATCTCATTTTGTAGCAAGAGAAGTGAGGCAAGCCTTCCAGTGAATGATGGCAGATAAAACACATGCTTTTTTGAGCTTCCTTTTGAAAGCTTACTATAACTGAAGTAGAGGGTTAAGAGAAATAAAATATGTAAACTCCCAGGAACATGGTATCAGCATACTCTGCAGGGACAGAGCAGCACAGCCGCAGACTCTGGAAAGCAGGAGAGGTGTGATAAGCAGCGTGGCAGTCCTGATTCTGCATCTGCGATGAGAAGGCCAGAATCCACAGAGAAGGCCCAGAATTGGCAGCACCAGGTACCTTTAAACATACAGGAGAATCAACCACCACCTGGTAGAAGCCAGCGGTTTCATTTCCAAAGAAGACAAACTGGAGGGCTCTTGACTAAGACTCTCAGCAGAGGAAACGGCAGTGCTGCAGTGTGAGCACTGGGCGATGAAGAGCAACTCCATATTCTAAATGGAAAACCCTACTCCCACTCAGCTCCCAGAAAGCTGACAGGCCAGCTATGACCTCCAAACAGGGAACTAAAATTGGGGGATCTGACAGCCCAAGAGAAAAAAAAGATATTAATGAGCCTGGTCAGATCATGGACAGTGAAGCCCACTAATTAACAAGGCCCTTCACACGTGCTGAGTTTCCAATACGCTTTTTGATGGAAATGGTTTGGTTGTGTCCCCACCCAAATCTCATCTTGAACTGTGGCTCCCACAATTCCCACATGTGATGAGAGGGGCCCAGCGGGAGGTAACCAAATCATGGGGGCGGGCTTCCGCCTTGCTGTTCTCATGATAGTGAGTAAGTCTCACAAGACCTGATGGTTTTGTAGAGGAGTTTCCCTGCACAAGCTCTTTGCCTGCGCCATCCATGGAAGACATGCCGTCACCCCTCCTTGCTTTCCACCACAAGGTGAGGCCTCCCCAGCCATGTGGAACTGTGAGTCCAATAAACCTCTTTCCTTTCTGAGTTACCCAGTCTCAGGTATAGCTTTATCAGCAGGATGAAAACGGACTCATACAGCGATCTACTTTTTTAAAGGCTTGAAAATACGACTTCTGGCCTGGACAAAATGCTGTGAGCTTGTTTCTACCTGCTCCTTCCTGTCAAGTACAGCTATAAACTATGAACACAATGCAAGAGGCAATCGGAGGACAACTCTGAAAGCTGGCAAGGGAATTAATTATGCATTAGTTCAGGACCCCAAAAATAAAGGAACAACTCAGTGTCAGGATATCTTATGTACCCCTACTCAATGGAAGAAGAGGACCCAGGCCAGGCGTTTCCTGACCCCCAACCTGTCAACAGAAGGCAGCCAAAGCAGGCTCAGTGCTCTCACAATTTGGAGAGGAGTACCTCTGACTCCCCAGGAGCCCGGCAGCACGGGAGGGGACATTACTCAGGTGCCCAACCAACAATCAGCAGGTGGGGATGCCTTCTCCTTTCACACCGGACCTGAAACTCACCTCCCTGCCAAGAGGCGCTGGGCAGCCTGATCTGGGAACATCCCTTGGGCCCTCTCAGGCAGTACCAGCAGGAGCTCCGGCAGCACCAAAGAAACCAGGTACGAAAAGAACACCACAAAGGCTCTGAAAATCAAACTGTCGTTGGAACCTCAGCCCTCAGACCAGGAACTGCATGGTGAATGTGAACCAGGTGACTGAGCGAGCCACCAAGGAACTCAGGGGGCCCAGAGTCTCCTGACATGACAGCCAGAGTATCTGGGGTGCAACTGAGACTCACCTGTCACACCAACAACGAGGAACATCACAACTTGAGTGTGAAAAGTATCAACTGGAGCCACCGCGGGGACTAACCAGTTGTTAGAATTATCTGGCGAGGATTTTAAAGAGGCCACCATAATAATGCTTTAACAATTGCACATTTTATTGGAACTAATAAAAAAATTAAAAATATCAGCAAAGAAGAAGTTATATAGAAGGACCAAACGAAAATTATAGAACTGAAAAACATAACCACAAGAATAAAAGCCTACTGGGTAGCCTCAGGAGGAGAGGGGAGATGACAGAAGATAAAATCAGGGCTTGATTGAGGACAGAGCGATAGAATTTACCCAGTCTGAACAACAAAGAGATAATATAGTGGGAACAAATTGTGTGTGTGTGTGTGTGTGTGTGTGTGTGTGTATGAGAGAGAGTGTGTGTGTGTCAGTCTCAGGGACCTATAAGACAATAACAAAAAATCCACATTTGTATCACTGCATATCATTGCAGTCTCAGAAGGAGAAGAGGAAGAATGAGGCTGAGAGAATAACTAAAGTAATGCCCGAAGACTCCCAAAATTTGGTGAAGACACAAACCAGCACATTCAAGAAGCTGAGAAAACCCCAAACAAAATAAACCCAAAGAAATCCATGTCGAGACACATCATAATTAAACTTTTGCAAATTAAAGACAAAAAGAAATCTCAAAAGCAGCCACAGAGAAACAGCACATCACCTGTAGCTGAATGCCAATTCAAATGGCAGTGGATTTTCATCTGAAACTATGGAGGCCGTTTGGGAGGCTGAAGCACGCGGATCACTTGAGGTCAGGAGTTCAAGACCATCGTGGCCAACATGGTGAAACCCTGTCTCTACTAAAAATACAAAAATTAGCCAGGTGTGGTGGTGTGCACCTGTAGTCCCAGCTACTTGGGAGGCAGAGGAAGGAGAATCGCTTAAACCCAGGAGGTGGAGGTTATGGTGAGCCAAGATCATGCCAGTGTACGCCAGCCTGGACTCCAGCACTCACTGGACACAGTGAGACTCCATCTCTAAAAAAAGCAAAACTATGGAGGCCAGAAGGAAGTGATACAACATATTTCAAGTGCTGATGGAACCATCAGCTGTGAATTTTATATCCAATTAAACTGTCTGTCAGGAATGAAGGAGAAGTAATCCCAGGAAATGCCCACAAAAAGCTTACAGGGACTAATACATGAGTTCAGCAACATTGGAGGCTGTAAGATCAACACACAAACGTTAATTGCATTTCTGTTTACTAACAAGGAACATGTAGAAACTGAAATTTAAAACGTAATGCCATGCACCGTCACTCAAAAGAAAATGACCTATTTAGGCAAAACACACACAGGCTGTGTATGTCAAAAACTGCAGAACGCTGATTAAAGAGGTAATGGAAGAGCTAAATAAATGGAGAGACAGAGTGTGTTCATGGATTGGGAGACTTGACATCGTAAAGATGTCACTTCTCCCCAAATGGAACTAGAGGTTTTATTCAATGCCTATCAAAATTCCAGCAACGTTTTTAATAGATTTAGACAAGTTTATCCTAAAATTTATATGGAAAGTTACAGACCCTCGAATAGTTAGAATGATCTTGACAAAGGAGAATGGAGTGAGAGGAATCACTCTCCTGTTACTGTCTTCATATACAGCTCCAGTAGTCGAGATCATATGGTGTTGGCAGAGGGATAAACATACAGATCAATAGACCCAAACAGAGAACGCAGAAATACATTCAAATAGGCTCAACCAATCTTTGACAAAGATGCAAAAGCAATTCAATGGAGGAAGGATAGACTTTTCAACAAATAGAGCTGGAGAAATTAGGCATCCATAGGGGGAAAAAAATAACCTCAATCTAATCTCACACCTTATGCAAAAATTAACTCAAAATAGATTGTGGATTTAACATGTAAAACATCTAAAACAACCTTGAGCCAGGTGTGGTGGCTCGTGCCTGCAGTCCCAGACACTTGGGAGGCTGAGATAGGAGGAGGATTGCTTGTCCCCAGGAGTTCTGGGCTGTAGTGTGCAGTGCTGATAGGGTGTCCACACTAAGTTCGGCATCAATATGGTGACCTCCAAGTTGCCTAATGAGAAGTAAACCAACCCAGGTTGCAAATGGAGCAGGTCAAAACTCCCATGCTGATCAGTAGTAGGATTGTGAACAGCCTGTGAATAGCCACTATCCTCCAGCCTGGGCAAAACAGCAAGACTCTTGTCTCAAAAAAAAATCCTGAAAAAGAAGAAAGCTAATGGTCTCCCACTTCCTGAATTCAAAACTTACTACAAAGCTACAGTAATCAAAACAGTGTGGCACTGGCATAAAGGTAGATATATAGACAGTGATAGCTAATTTTTTTTTTTTTTTTGAGACGGAGTTTCGCTCTTGTTACCCAGGCTGGAGTGCAATGGCGCGATCTCGGCTCACTGCAACCTCTGCCTCCTGGGTTCAGGCAATTCTCCTGCTTCAGCCTCCTGAGCAGCTGGGATTATGGGCACGCGCCACCACGCCCAGCTAATTTTTGTATTTTTAGTAGAGACGGGGTTTCACCATGTTGACCAGGATGGTCTCGATCTCTTGACCTCATGATCCACCCACCTCGGCCTCCCAAAGTGCTGGGATTACAGGTGTGAGCCACCGCGCCCAGCGATAGTTGATTTTAAATGTCAGTTTGGCTGGGCTAATGGATGTCCAGCTATCTGATAGAACATTATTTCCAGTGTGTCTGTGAGGGTGTCTCTGGAACAGATGAGCATTTCAATCAGTTGTGCATTGTTGGTGGGAATGTAAAATGCTAGAGCTGCTGTGGAAAACAGTATGGTAGTTCCTCAAAAAATTAATAATTAAATTACCATATGATCTAGCAATTCTGCATTTGAGTATATACCCCCAAAAATTGAAAGCAGGGTCTTGAAGAGATATTGATACACCCATGTTCATAGCAGCATTATTTGCAATTCCCAAAAGATAGAAGCAACCCAAGTGTCCATTGATGAATTAATTAATAAGCTAACTGTGGCATATACATAAAATAGACTATTAGCCTGAAAGAGGAAGGAAATTCTGACACATGCTGCAACATGGATGGAGTGTGAGGAGGTGATGCTGAATGAAATGAGCCAGTCAAAAAAGACAAAGATTGTATTATTCCACCTACATGTTAAATGTGCAGAGACAGAAAGTAGAATGGCGATTACTAAGAGCTGGGGGCGAGAGAGACCAGGGAGCTCCTGTTCAGTAGATACAGAGTTTCAGTTTGGAATGATCAGAAGAGTTCTGTGGATGGATGTCGTGATGGCTGCACAGGGTGGGAATGTACTTAGTGCCACTGAACTGTACATTTAAACATGGTTAAGAAAGTAAATTTTACGTTATGTTTATTTTACCATAATATATATTTTTTGAGATGGACTCTCACTCTGTCACCCGGGCTGGAGTGCAGTGGCGTGATCTCAGCTCACTGCAACCTCCACCTCCCGGGTTCAAGTGATTCATCTGCTTCAGCCTCCCAAGTAGCTGAGACTACAGGCACGCGCCACCACGCTCAGCTAATTTTTGTATTTTTAATAGAGACAGGGTTTCACCATGTTGGCCAGGCTGGTGTCGATCTCCTGATCTTGTGATCCACCTGCCTTGGCCTCCCAAAGTGCTGGGATTACAGGCGTGAGTCACCGCTCCTGGCCTCCTAATTTTTTTAAAAAGAACACAGAGACCCGTGGCAATCTCAGTGCTGGACTTGACTCAGAGAATAAGAAATTGAGCATCTTATAAAAAGATTTAAAACCAAAGTATAAAACTTCTAGGAAAAAAACCCAGGAGAATATTTTAGCATTTAGGGCTAGGAATAAGCTTTTACACTTAACACCAAAAACATGATATATAAAAGGAAAATGTGATCATCCAGATCTTACCAAAATAAAAACCTTTTGCTCAGCAAAACCCCATGTGAAGAGAATAAAAAGACGAGCCACAGATTGGGAAAAATATTTGCAATCTGTAGACACAAAGAATTCTCAAAATTCTAAAACATACAAACAATTGAATAAGAAAACGGGCAAAAGGCAGGAACCAATGTTCCACCAAAAAGGTGCCCAGATGGGGAATGATTTAATGAAAGGGTGTTCAGCATCATTAGTCATCAGGGAATTACAAATGAAAAGCAAGTGACAGATCACCACACTTCTCTCAGTTGCTAAGATTTAAAACAATGACGGCACCAAAATACTTGTGAGAATGCAGAGAACCTGGATCACTCACATTGCTACTGGGAGGTAAAATAGTGCCGTCACTGAAGAAGACACGTTGGCAGCTTCTCAAAAAACCCAACATGCATCTACACCATAGGGCGTAGCAACTGCCCTCTCGGGCACGTTTCCCACAAGAGTGGAAACTTCTGTTCACGCAGAACCCAAACACAAGTGCTCATAGCGGTTACATTTGTAAGACTGAAAAAGTAGAAGCAGCCCTGCTCTGGGGAGGGATAACATGAGGAGAAATGCCAGATGTAGGTAACGGGGGGATGGAGGCAGCAAACCACACTGCCATGTATGTACCTATGCAACAATCCTGCATGTTCTGCACAGGTACCCCAGAACCTAGAGTGCAGTTAAAAAATAATTATATATATATAAACCATTTGCCCACAGCAGTTGAGCAGGGCTGTTTCTTTATGTATATTATATATATGATAATGTATATTAGACATAAACAGCCCTGCTCCAATATATATTATTCCTAAAGAAACAGCCCTGCTCAACTTCCATGGGCAAATGGTTGAACCAGCCAGTACACACCAGCTATGGAACACCACCCAGCAGAAACAAAACCAAAAACGAATGAACCCTTGGTACACGCAACGACTCGGATCAATCTTCAGGGAATCAGACTGAGCGAGCACAAAGACTGGCCCTTACCAGCCATGTTTCTATGAACATTCTGCTATGACCACCTTGGTCATCTCTAAGAAGACTGAGGCTTTCTACAGCTGCCTTCTGAGCCCTCACCAGAATAGCGTTCACAGTCCGTTCATGCCAACATAGGGATCTTTTCCTAGCCTGCTCCTCCAAACTCCGCTCTGCCCAGCTCCAAAAAGCTGCTTTCACTTTTTTTTTTTTTTAAGATGAAGTGTTGCTCTGTCGCCAGACTGGAGTGCAGTGGTGCAATCTTGGCTCACTGCAACCTCTGCCTCCCAGTTCAAGGGATTCCCCTGCCTCAGCCTCCTGAGTAGCTGAGACAGACATACACCACCATGCCCAGCTAATTTTTTGTATTTTAGTAGAGACAGGGTTTCACCATGTTTACAAGGATGGTCTCGGTCTCCGGACCTCATGAACCGCCTGCCTCAGCCTCCCAAAGTGCTGGGATTACAGGCCTGAGCCACCGCGCCCAGCTGCTGCTTTCACAGTTTAAAATGTTTGTTATAGGAACATTCCCACTTGGTACCAATTTCTGTCTTAGTCTGTTCAGGCTGCTGTAACAAAATACCTTTAACTGGGTAATTTATAAACAATAGAAATGTATTGCTCACCATTCTGAAAGCTGAGAGTCCAAGGTCAAGGCACCAGGAGCTTTGGGGTCTGGTGACAGCTCTGTCGTCTTCACAGATGGCACCTTCTATTGCCTGCTTATGGCAGAAGGAGCCAGCTCAGTGTCCTTGCATGGTGAAAGGCCTAGGTAGCTCAGTTCAACCTCTTCTCTAAGGGCCGGTAATCCCATTCATGAGGCAGAGCTTCCCGACTTACTCACTTCCCAGAAAACCCCACCTCTTCATACTGCGGCACTGTGTTTTAGGTTCCAAGAGGTGAATCTGGGGGTCAGTGGGGGGACAGCAGCATCCAGACAGTAGCACCATCTTGACCTCATGACCCGTGGCTAAGCAGGATGGAATATCTTCCTGTCTTGCCTTCCTTGATGTGTATATTAATATGTCAGGGTTCTGCAGAGAAATAATCAATAAAATAAAGACATATAAGAGGGGTGTGTCATGGGCATTGGCTCATGTCATTATGGAGGCCAAGGAGTTCCACAGTCTGTCCTCTGCAGGTTGGAGACCCAGGAAAGCTGCCGACGTCATTCAGTTTGAATCTGAAGGCCTGAGATCAAGAGGACGTAATGATGTAACTGTCAGTGCAAGGCCAAATGCGGGGGAACCTGGAGTTCTGACGTATGGGCGCAGGAGGCAAGGCATGCCCCGGCTCCAGAAGAGTGAACTCACCTCTCCCCTGCCTGTTTGTCCCATCCAGGCCCTCAACAGACTGGAAGGTGCCCACTCACATTGGATGAGGGTGGATCATCCTCAGTTGACTGACTCAAATGCTCATCTCGTCCCAAAACACCCTCGTAGAAGCACCCAGAGATCATGCTTTTCCAGCTCTCTGGGTGTCCTTGCACTCAGTTACCAGTACACCTGAAACTAACCATCACACTGGGAAAGATGTAAGCACGTATGTTGATTCCTCTCCCCTCTCAGCCCCCTTCTGTTTTATAAAGAGACTGTTTAGAGTCCATACATTCGGAACACTGGGTGGGACCGCAGGAGAGGAGCAGCTGTCACCAGCAGATCCTGGCTTTAGATGCAGCCAGCGCTGACAAGTCACAGCGTCCCCTTTTGGGAAGAGGATGAGTCCGTTTTCATTTGTAGGAGGAGGGTGAATGGGTAGCATTTTGTTGCTCCTGCTGTATGGAAGAGGGCGGAGCTGCTGCTGGGCCGTGAGAGGCTGGATTGTGGGTATGCTTGTTGTGCAAAGCCTTTTCCTGATTGGGAATAAGTGAATGGTACGTTCCACCCACCCAATGCAGAGAACACAACCTGCTTCCCCAGCCTCCCTTGCAGCTAGTAAGGTAGGAGGTGGGGCTCAACTCTGGGGGCGGGACTTGGACACCAGACCTAATGAGGACTAGCTAAAACAGGGATGGGGTGCAAGGGGCAGTGTTCCATAAGACACACCCACAAGTGTGCCATGCCAGTTTACCATTGCCATGTCAACACCTGAAAGATACTGCCCCTTTCCATGGAAATTTATGCATAAGCCCCTCCTTAATTTGCATATAAGTAAAAGTGGGTGTGAGTGCAGCCCTGCCTCCAAGCACCCTGCCTGTGGAGTGGCCCTGCCGTGGGGTGGCTCTGCCGTGGGGTAGCCGTGGGGTGGCCCTGCTCCCCAGGAGCGTACCTCTGCAGCTGCTGTACACTGCCACTGCAATGAAAGTCGCTTACGCCTCTGGCTCAGCCTTGAATTCTTTCCTAGGTGAAGCCAAAGCCCTACCTGCCTAAGCCCCAATTCTGGGACTCACCTGTCCTGCGCCACTAGGGCACAGACATGACGGATCTGCCACTTAGACACGCCCACATGAGACTTTGATTCAGGTGAGAGGGAAGCAGAAAACATACTGCACAGACGTGGTCTCTGAGGGTGGCCGAGAGCTTAGGTTTGGAGGGAGAGGCAGTCGAGACAGAGCTTCTTACGAGCAGACTTCAGCACTGTGAGCTCCAAGTGGGGCGGCAGTCGCACTGCCCTGGGGTACATGGTGCAGCGCAGTCTGGGTTTGTTTTTGGTGCATAACCCCAGAGGCTGAGTCTGTGGTTCTCCCAGAGATTTAACTGGCACTGTTTGCAACCAGCAGCCCCGGTCCACCACCCACTGCCACGTTCTCCTGAATGCCACCATGCACCAAGTTCTGTGCTGAGCGGAGGGGACACAGCTTTGTTAGCGCTTAGAGAACGTGGCTTTGGGATCGGACACGCTTAGGTTTGAATCTGGCTCCACTGCTTTCTGGCTGTGTGTGCAAGTGGCTTTACCTCTCTGAGCTCCTCTGTTCAGGTTACTCAGCAGCCTCAGAAGGTTATGGGGTGAGGAGCGACCAGTGTCCTCAGCACGAGAGTTACAGTGTTAGGCCACAGCTCCACAGATGCACAGGGGTACGTGTGGCCATAGGGATTTCCAGAGGCCCTGGCTGGAGACAGGCAGGAGTGAGGGGAAGTTCAAGGTGGGGTCCTGCTGAGCTGCTTTTCCTTCCCTGGAGGTGTGGGATTCCATCCTCTTCCCCACTCTCCACAGGTCCCAAGGCTGTCATCTGCAGTGACAGGAGGTTCATCCCCACTGCAGCCAGTGGAACCTTGGGAGACACTGCTCCTCTATTTTATTGCTGACCCTCCAGAGACTTTAGAAAGCAGCTCCACAGGCTGGATAGCTCTCAACCTGATCTCTGGAGTACACAAGCTCTAAGTGTAGGAGAGGCTCTGGCTACTCACCAATCTTTTTTTTTTCTTTGAGACAGAATCTTGCTGTGTCACCCAGGCTGGAGTGCAGTGGCATGATCTCGGCTCACTGCAACCTCTGCTTCTCAGGCTGATCCTCCTGCCTCAGCCTCTGGAGTAGCTGAGATTACAAGTGCATGCCACCACGCCTGGCTAATTTTTTTTTTTTTTGTATAGATGGGATTTCACCATGTTGGCCAGGCTGGTCTTGAACTCCTGACCTCAACTGATCCACCCGCCTCGGCCTCCCAAAGTGCTGGGATTACAGGCGTGAGCCACTGTGCCTGGCGGCTACTCACCAATCTCTCCTGCTCTCCTCTCCTTCCTGCCACACAGGAGGGTTCTGTGTCCACACCCCCCGGAAGTAAGGCATGATGGCAGAACTTGCTTTGGATGATGACACAGAAAGCAATACACCACTTCTGCGTGGCAGCACTGCAGAGCCAAGGCGCGATTCTCCACCCCACCTTTTCCCTGGCTGTGGTCAGTCTGGAAGCCCATGTGGATGTGGAAGTGCCCCAAGGTCAAAGCCTGGAATTCTGGGCCACCACATGGAGAATGACTGCCCTGAAGCATTCTCCCGGAGACACAGATGCTGAGTCACTGAGGTCAGGAGGCGGTTTGTTATTGCAGCAGAACTCAGCCAACCCTGACTTACTCACAGTCCTGGTTCTAGAAAGCTACATCATCAGGGGGTAGGTAGGCCCAAGAGTGCCACTAAGCCAGAGTGCCTCACTTCCTCTCACTGACCCTTCAGGAGGAAGGAAACTCAGCCTCACTTCCTCTCTCTCACTGACCTTCAGGAGGAAGGAAACTCTGCCTCACTTCCTCACACTGACCTTCAGAAGGAAGGAAAATCTGCCTCACTTCCTCTCACTGACCCTTCAGGAGGAAGGAAACTCAGCCTCACTTCTCTCTCTCACTGACCTTCAGGAGGAAGGAAACTCTGCCTCACTTCCTCACACTGACCCTTCAGGAGGAAGGAAAGTCGGCCTCACTTCCCCTCACTGACCCTTCAGGAGGAAGGAAAATCTGCCTCACTTCCCCTCACTGACCCTTCAGGAGGAAGGAAAGTCGGCCTCACTTCCCCTCACTGACCCTTCAGGAGGAAGGAAAGTCGGCCTCACTTCCCCTCACTGACCCTTCAGGAGGAAGGAAAGTCTGCCTCACTTCCCCTCACTGACCCTTCAGGAGGAAGGAAAGTTGTCCTCACTTCCTCTCACTGACCCTTCAGGAGGAAGAAAAGTCGGCCTCACTTCCTCTCACTGACCCTTCAGGAGGAAGGAAAGTCGGCCTCACTTCCCCTCACTGACCCTTCAGGAGGAAGGAAAGTCGGCCTCACTTCCCCTCACTGACCCTTCAGGAGGAAGGAAAGTCTGCCTCACTTCCCCTCACTGACCCTTCAGGAGGAAGGAAAGTTGTCCTCACTTCCTCTCACTGACCCTTCAGGAGGAAGAAAAGTCGGCCTCACTTCCTCTCACTGACCCTTCAGGAGGAAGGAAAGTCGGCCTCACTTCCCCTCACTGACCCTTCAGGAGGAAGGAAAGTCGGCCTCACTTCCCCTCACTGACCCTTCAGGAGGAAGGAAAGTCTGCCTCACTTCCCCTCACTGACCCTTCAGGAGGAAGGAAAGTTGTCCTCACTTCCTCTCACTGACCCTTCAGGAGGAAGAAAAGTCGGCCTCACTTCCTCTCACTGACCCTTCAGGAGGAAGGAAAGTCGGCCTCACTTCCTCTCACTGACCCTTCAGGAGGAAGGAAACTCTGCCTCACTTCCCCTCTCACTGACCTTCAGGAGGAAGGCATGTCTGGCTTTCCCCAGCAGGGCAGTGCTCCTCTGACCTATGCGTGCTTCAGGACATGAGATGTTAGTGAGCCGCTTGGTCCCAAAGAGCAAGATCAGGGAAAGTGAGTGCTCCAGAGATGCCAATCATGGTGCCCATCATCCCACAGCCACCCAGAGGCTTCTGCCCCAGAGCCCAAGACTCTGGAGTGTGAAGGTGGAAATGCTGTGAGAATGAGGGAGGTGGGGGGTGGCTGGAGGAAAAAGGGGTGGCATGCAACCTGATGCAGCAGGAGCGGAACAGTGCGGAATCTGCACAAGAGCTGGGGAAGCAGCCAGGCCCCCTGGCCCGTCAGCCAGCCTGTTTCAGGGTGTGTCGAGCAAGTCCGTGCTTCTTCCAGTTACACAGTCAGACTGTGCAGAAAGGCAGTGCCAACATCCCAGGAACCTACCCCTTTTTTCTGGCCTGTCAGCAAATCCGCCCATGAGACTTCTCTCCCGGCCCCTCCCACTCCTAGGAGGTCCCATCGGACCCCTCTCTACGGACGCAGAGGTAAGTGCCACAAGGAGCCTCATTTTGCACATGTCCCCAGGGCCTGGAATTCCATGTGGCATGGAGTGAGTGCTCTTTGTATATACTACTTGTGCCATAAAATAATTCTCAGAGTTCCCCAGGGAGAGCCATCTGCTCCTCTGGAGGTCACCACCTGTCTTCCATCTGCACTTTCGTCTTCCCAGGTGCCTGAGTCAGCATCTCTGTTCTGGCCCCTTCTGACCTCCCCTACCTGCTGAGGGAGGGATGAGTCCATGCTGCTCATCACAGTATCCCCACGGGCTCAGCATATGAATGGGAGCACTGGTCCCTGCTGTCCTGGAGCTCCTGTGGCTCCACGCCTGGGGCTCATGGGAAACTGCAGCTGCACAGGCTCTGGTCTCCTGTGGCCACTACCCTCAGGGCCTCACCTGCCGCAGCCCCAGAACCTCCCTTCTTTCGTGCCCCTCTGCATCTGACCCAAGACCCACCTACTTGCATGCCTCCACCCCTCCACTGCCCTTGTCTCAGCTCCTGACTCTGCATGGTCCCCAAGGCTCAGCTCCTTGCTCTGGTCCGAGAGACAAGGCAGGCCAAGTGCAAATAACAGCCTGGGCAAGGGACAGGAGTTGTACTGACTTTATTCCCCTTTGCTCTTCTCACTTGCATGCCTTGATGCCCACACTCTGGGGCTGTGGGCCGCCTGTACACGACCAGATGTCAATGGTCTCAGCACATGCTGAGAATGGCACGGCCATTCTGCCACCACCAAGTCCTCTGTGAAGGGCACCGGGGAGACTGTGGGAGCGTGAGCCAGGGTCGAAGGCTCCCAGAACTGTGGCCATAGGGCTTGAGTTCACCACTCTTGCCACCCATCCCCAACTGGCCTGAGACTAGAGAGCCCCAAGGAGCTGGGGAGGGGGCAAGCCCAGACTTCAGTCATGAGTTCTGGCCAAATGGACCGTGGGACCCCCACAGTCTCCTTGAGAGGGGATGATCCTGTGTTCCCCTTTCCCAGCCCTGGGAAGTGGGGATGGTGCCCCAGTCGCCTCATTCTGACATCTGGGGGCACACTGTTTAAAGTAAAAAGGAGATATAAAAGCTGGAAAACAGGAACCCCCATCCATACCGGCACTGCTGAGGTGCCATTATTGCTTCTGGCCTTGTGATCTGGCCAGAAAGGAACCCCCACCAGCAACTGCCCGAGTGAAGTGTTTAGCACCAGGGACGCGGGCTCCTATCCCAGTGGGACAGGGGTCTCCCAGGAGAGGGGCTGGTTGTGCCCACCTGGAGCTCCCGTGACCATCTTGACCAGTCCCTGGCCAGCTGTCTGGACCCCTCACCTGCTGCCAGAGAGGAAGTGTACAAGAACAGGAAACCCGAGTCCCGGGACAGGGTTTCATTACCAGATCCCCACAGCTGTCTCTGACCCCTGCTTGTCAGTATGGCCCGACAGGTCTCAGCCTGGCCAGGGACACTCAGGCCCACTCAGGCTGTAGTGGGGCCAGCAGGTGATGATGCCACCAGCCCCTATGGGAGACCCTGGTGCCAGTGACGGGGGGCTGGAAACCCATGGAGGTTCCTGCCTACAGCCCACTGGGAGATCAACTTTTTTTGGAAAAATGTGAGCCAGCTCCGAAGAGCTGCCAGGCACTGGGACCAGAGGTTAGAAACAACAACGGGAGGGAGGGGACCCTGAGGACATCACAGAAACCCAGAGATAAGGAGTGCAAGGAAGAAAAAGAGCTACAGCAAAGCAGCAGCCTGGCGTCCCCAGCCTCGGGGCAGGGGACCTGACCGGAAGCCTTCCTCCTCAGGGACAGCGGGGGGGTGGAGCCTAAGTCTACAGCCACATCAGTGGGGCAGGGAAGCTGCTGGCACTGTCCCCTCCAAGCCCAGAGGACAACCAGGGTGCTGTGGCTTGGATTATAAATCCTCAGATCACTCGGGCACCTTGGGCCTGCCCAAATCTGTACAGAATAAAGTGCTTCGTTTATTGATGATTAAAATGTCCCCAGCTCCCTGCCCCAGCGCCATGGGCCTCACAAGGAGGTCAGAGGAGTTCAGTCCCCTGACCGTTCCTGGCGGCCCAAGCCTCTTCCCACTCCAGCCATGCTGGGAAGGCAATAGTGTCGGGAGTGGTGGGGGATTAAGGTGCAAAGAGTGTAACAAACAAAACTTATAAACACAATAGGAAAGAGCTTAACCAGGAACATGTAGCTTATGGAACCTTCCTTCCCATATTAAAGGCAGGAATAAAGACGTTAAATGACAACAAAAAAGGGGTTCCTATTAGTGCTAGCCTCATGGGGGCAAGCAGTGGGTCTAGGCTGCGCCTTCTAGCCCCCCGGCCCCCCAGGGGCCTCAACAGGCAGGATCCTTTACCGGCAGTGTCGTGGGCGCCCCACCCGCCGGTGCAGAGGCCCCGGAGGGGCGAGGATGCTGGAGCCAGCCAGGGACAGGCTTCGGCAGGGCCTAGAGTGGCCTTTGGGGAGCAGAGACAGACACAGCCACACTAGTTCCTCCTGGTGTGGGATATATGGCCAGGGCAGCTGGTGAGGGAACTAGGGTGCTCTGTGAGCAGCTGCCCTGCCCCCGCCTCACTAATAGCACCTTGAAACCAAGACCGTCCGAGCCTCCTCCCAGGATTCTGACCCCAGAGCCGGTGCCAGCCAGCCTGTCTGCCCACCCAGGGGCCTGGCTGACAGTGCTGAGGGGCAGCCGCTTCTGCGGACATCACCAGGGCTCAGGGCCCTTGGTGCCACCTGGTGTGAGTCAGGGATCCCTGGGCCTGCAGGCAGGGGGTGGGTGGGGAGGGCAAGTCCCTGGGGTCCAGCCCCTGCCTGCCCCGCTCCACACAGTGCAGCGCCGGTCCGTAGCCTCCAAACCTCACCACCCCAACCCCACACGGTCGCCCGGGTCCAGTCTCAGGCCCTGCCTCGTGCTTGCGGCCCTCAGACTGGGTTTGCAACTCCGCAAGGGTTGAGGGGGTGGTACACCAACTCCTCCCCAAACCCTCCAAGAGGAAGCAAATTAGGGGCATAGGGGACACGCGGAGAGGCCACGGAGGCCGACCCAGGCTCCACCTGGCCAACCCCTCTGGCTCAGGCCTTGGCAGAGGGACTGACCACGCCTGCTGCCCAGGCCCCTTTCTTTCTGCTGCGGGCCTCCAGCACCCCCTCACCTGGAGGGAGATGCCGCAGTCTCCTTCCTTCACTTCCAAAAAAAAGAAAAGCAGTCAAGGCTTGGAGTCACAGGAAGGGGGGCACTTGGGAGTGAGGTGCCCTCCAGCAGCTCGGGCGCCAGCCTGCACGGCCCCCACGGTCGGGGCCTCGGCAGGACACACCCAGCCGCTCTGGAAGCTGGGCAGGGCCCGGAGGACTCATCCAGCCGCTCTGGGGGCGGGGCAGGGCCCGGCCGCGCTGCTGCGCTCCCGGGAAGGCGGCGCGCCCCTCCCGGTCCGGCCCCGGCTCCAGGCCCCGCGGGCGCAGGGGTGACGGTCCGCAGCTAGTTGTTGGCGCTCATCCGCCCGCCCGGGCTGGCGGCGGTGGGGAAGAGCGGGGGCGGCGGCGGCAGGCGCGGCGGCGGCAGGGGCGGGGGCAGCCCCGCGAGCAGGGGCAGCGCGTGCGCCGGGGGCTGCGCCGGGGGCAGGGCTGGGGCCGCGGGGGCGCCGTCGCCGGGAGGCGGGTGGCTGACCCGGAAGCACTTCTCCTTGTGCGCCTTGAGCATGTTGGAGAACCGGAAGCGCTGGCCGCACACGTCGCACGGGTATGGCTTCTCGCCCGTGTGCGTGCGCCGGTGCCGCTTCATGTTGGGCCGGCTGGTGAAGCTCTTGCCGCAGATCTCGCAGATGTAGGGCTTCTCTCCTGGGGGCCGGGGTGGGCAGCAGGGATCAGCGGGGGGGCCGCCGCAGCCCAGTCTGGGCCAGCCTCGTCTCCCATGGAGCCATAGCGGGGCCCTGCCCTGGCGCGCTCAGCTCCTCCCGCCCTGGGCATGGCGTGCCAGCCTCACCCGACCCTGGGAAGGATGGGTAAACTGAGGCCCGGCCTTGCGAAGGGGTGTGGCCGGCCGTGCCGGGCGCCCTGAGCTGGAGCCCGCCCCGGCCCCGCACCTGTGTGGGTCTTCATGTGCTCGTCGAAGTACTGCTTCATGTTGAAGTCCTTGCCGCACCACTGGCACATGAACTGCTTGTGGCCGATGTGGATGCTCATGTGTGACCGCAGCTGGTACTTGTACTGGAAGCGCTCATTGCAGTTCTGGGGGTGGGGTGTGGGGGTGAGGCCCAGGCGCACAGCAGAAGAGCAGCCTTTGCGGAGGGAGCAGCTCCCCTGTGGCCACTCAGAGGCTCCTGGGCAAGGAGGTGCTTGCCGAGGTGCTTCCGGTGAGCAGTGCATGGGCACAAGAGGAGAGGCCACAAGCACCCAAGGCGTGGGGGGGTTGGGGGTCAGGAAGTGGGGAAAAGCCAGAGAGTGGAGGGAGCCCCATCTTGAGGCACCAGGTCCCTCATCCTTCCTCCTGATCAGAAGCCCAGCCCCTGCCCCCACCTCCCCTCGTACAGCTCTGCCGTCTCATCTCTGAGCTCCCAGCCTGAGAAGCTCCTGAATCCACCTCCCCAGAAAGCCTGCCCGCCCACCCCCACGCACGGTTACCACCCTGGGTGTGTGGGACTGGACTGTGGGCGGGAAGGGCAGGATGGGGATGGGCGGAGAAGAGTAGGGGCTGGTTGGGAGTGGGAGGCAGGGGCCGCAGACCTCAGAGGGCGGCCTCTTTCTTTCTGGACCCCACATTCCGCTCCCACCCCCTTGTTTTTCAGCATTTGCTCTCCCTGATTCTTGCCCCTTCCCCTGGTCCCTCTGGCAGCCGGGCAGGAGACAAGCTTACCTCACACCTGAACGGCTTCTCCCCGGAGTGCTGCAGCGAGTGCACCTTGAGAGACATGCTGCGCTTGAACGACTTCCCGCAGGTCTCACACGTGAAGGGCATGTCCTTGGTGTGGGCTGCAAGGCAGGCACCAGGGCCGGCATGGCTTATGGGCCCATCCAGGCACCGCCACACTGGGCCCTAGCCCTGCCTCCTGGGGCAGCCCTGTGCCACCACCGTCCCCTGGGGCCAGCCTTGTCCCCTGTCCCAGGACAGGGCTGACTCCCAGGAAAGGGCCCCTGCCTCCATGGCTGGGTCTCCTGTCTTCTCTGAAGGTCAGCCTCAGACATGCAGGGGCCCTGTAGTTCTTTAGCCTCTGGGCAGGGGAAGTTGCCGAGGCTGCCTTGCCCCCAAAGCTTCAGGGAAGGATGGACGGTCCCTGAGTGGACCTAGCCTCAGCTCAGATCCCAGCCCGACAACTGACGCAGCTTCCCGCTGGGTCTCTGTGGGCCTCAGCTTCCTCCTCTATAAAAAGGGACTCATAGTGGTCCTGAGCTTCAGGGTGGTGGGCTTTATAGGGACCAGATACAGAAAGGCTCTGGCCCCAGGCCCCCACCAGCAGTCTGAAGGAAGTTGCTGCACTGCCCCCAGCACCCATGGACAGGTGAGGACCAAAAAAATCTGCAAGGATCTGATAGGAGGCTCCCTTCCAAGCTCACACATGCCAGTCCTAGTCTACCCAGCATGCTCCTGGCTGAGACATAGGCCGCAGGTTCCCAGCTTCCAGTCAGTCCATGCTGGAGGCCCCCAACACTGTCCAACGGAGAAAGGGTTAGGACCTGGTCAGGGACTCACCGTCTGCCTTGGCTACCCCTCCTGCTCAAGGCCCAGACGGGGCAGGCAAGGCAGGAAAGGCTGTAGGGACATGAGAGTCTGTCAGGCCCACGTACAGCAGGTGGGCAGTCTTGCCCTGTGCAGTGGAGTGGCCAAAACATACTTGGGGGACCTCCTTACTGTGTCCAGGCATGAACCCTAGGGGGAGGCTGCATTCAGAGAGGCCTGTAGCCGCCCATGCAGTACTCTGTATAATTAGAAGGTATTCCTTTTCCTGGGTGGACACGAGCCCATGCCAGGGTGCACAGCCTGCTTGGCAGTGTGCCAGCTTGATTCCGGTTCCCACCTGCCATCTTGTCCAGGCACCCTTGTGCAGTGTGCAGCCTGCCCCACTGTATGTGCCAGCCCTGGCCCCAGGGCCTGTCCGCTGCAACCAACTTCCCCAGGCCTCCCCACTGAGAGGGGCTTCCTCGACCCATCACATTGCCCTTGGATGTGAAGTCTTTCCCACCCAGCAGCCAAAAGCTGGTCCAGCTCTGTCCTCCGGCTCCATCCCCCGGGCCAGACTCACCAACCATGTGCTTGCGCACGTGTGCCATGGTGTGGAACTTCTTCTCACAGATCTCACAGGAGAACTTCTTCTCTGCGTAGCCGTGCACAGTCTTGTTGTGCTCGTGGAGGGACCAGAGCTTCTTGAAAGCTTTGCCACACGCCACACACTGCAAAGTAAGGGGGCGTGAGGCTGGGGTCCTGAGTCCCCGGGGCCTTGGGCTGGGCAAGCGACTGTCCCCTCTGGCTCAGTATTCCCACTGGAAGTGTGCTGGGGGGCCCTTGATGCTCCTAAGGTTGCAGATGAAAACTCCTGAAACACCCCCAAATGCACAGCGTGGGGTCCTCCTTCATCCTGAGTTAACCAGGGTCAGGGGTCACCTCTTCCAGGAAATTCCCTCCTCTGGGCTCATTTCAACAAGGGCTCCCAAAGGCACCACGCTTTGTCTGTCTATGGAGGTGAGACGACCAGCTAGCTGAAGGGCCACCTCTGGTATGGAGGCCACACACAGATGACGGGTCCCACGGGGTGAGCCATTATCCCCACTGCTGCCTCTTGCTGGGACCTGTGCCATGACACCATGGAGATCCCCAAGAGGATGGGTCCCCAAGGCGGTGGCTGAGGAGGGCAGCAGAAGGCTCAAGTCCCATCAGGCACAGAGAGTCATGGGGATGTTGGGGACCACATCCGCCCTTGTTCTCCTGGACACTGGTCCTGCCCACCCATGCAGGATACCCCACAGGGAGGCTAGGCTAGGGCTCGGGCAGAAACTGGGCGGGATGCCCAGGTTGGATGGCACAGAAGCTTCTTTCTCCTTCAGGAGGGTTACTCAGGTGTGCAGCAGGTGGGGCATCAGAGGGCAGCCCAGTAGGTGGGCAAGTGGGCACAGGTGTGTAAGGAAAGGGCAGGGTAACACTCTCTCCACAGGGCACTGCAATTAGCAGTTAGCTCAGGCAATTAGCACCCGCCTACCTGCTACCTTTCCCCCTTCTCCTGGGCCAGAAGAGGTGAAAACCACCCGTGGGAGCCTGGCTGGCCCTGTGCCACTGCACTCTGAGAGGCAAGGCTGACACAGACTCAGGCTGGCTCAAGGCCCAGCAGCCAGCTCAGCTCCCCTGCTTAACCCCAGCAGCCTCTGCTCTTCCCAGATTTCTCACCCAGTCCATTTTCGCCAGGCCCACGAGAGCTGGCCTCCAAAGATCTGAAAGCAGGGGCTGCCTCCTGCTCTCTACAGCACTTCTGTGGGAGGTGGAGGATGGCATCCCACTGGGCAACCCCCGCCATCATGTGCTTGTTTGTTGCAGTGCACAACCTGTGAAACTACACAGTGGCCTTGCTAGCCTTCCTGCAGCCCTAGTGTTTGTTAAAACCCATCTGACTCATCCCGTCCAGAGTGGGCCGTCCTCTGGCCTCAGACAACTCTCCACTTTCACCCTCCCAGGTCACACGTCCCCTCTGTCCCTCTGGCCAAGGGTACTGTTTGTTCCGATCCTCTGCACTCTCTCCACGCACCCAACTCTATCCACCACTCCCAGGAAACTCAGGTTGATGTTATTCCCTGAGCGGTAACCATCCTAACTGCCTGGGTTGGCCTGTCTGGGGGCTAAGTCTGGTTACAGATCATCTAGGCAATGCAGTCGCAAGATGCCCAGGTCTGGCCTCGCCCCACCTGCCCCACCCCGCGGCCCACCTGGACGGCCCCTGCCCCGCCCCACGGCCCAGCTGGACGGCCCCTGCCCCGCCCCGCGGCCCACCTGGACTGCCCCTGCCCCGCCCCGCGGCCCACCTGGATGTTGCGCTCACAGTCCGTCTGCCTGTGCAGCAGCAGCTCACTCTCCAGCAGGAAGCGCTTGCCGCACTGGTCGCAGATCTGCATGCGGCTGTGGGTCACGTTCATATGTTTCTCCAGGTACCAGCGGTTGTTGAAAACTCGTGGGCACTTCTGGCACGGATGGTGCTGCTTCTCCTCCAGCTTCACCTTGGCCCCCAGCCCATCAGTAGCTGGCGGCCCGCGGGCCGGTGCAGAGGCCACTCCGGAGGGGGGCTTTGGCCGCTTCCCACCCCGCCGCCCAGATTCCTCAGGTTCAGGGGTGCCCTGGCGCCGGGCATTCTCCCGGGACCGCGTGGCCATGTGACTGTGGGGAGGGGGGTCTGCCCGGCTGCCTCGGCTTCCCCGTGGACCCTGTTTGGCCCCAGCCTCCCCCTCATCCCCCTCTTCCTCCTCAGAGCTCTCTTGATCCTGCTCACTGTGCCCCTCCTCCTCCTCCTCTTCCTCCTGCTCACTGTGCCCCTCCTCCTCCTCTTCCTCCTCTCCCTGACTGCCGCCCTCCTCCTCCTCCTCCTCCTCCTCCCCTCCACTGCCACCGCCTTCCTCTTCCTCCTCTTCCTCCTCCTCTTCCTCATCGTCGTCCTCCTCCTCTGAGTGTCTCTGCAGCCCGTCCTCCCGTCCCAGCACCATGGTGGCTGGGCTTGGCCCGGCACCTGGCTTCCCCTCTGGCCCTGTGGACACGTGCAGTGTCTGGTTGTTGAGGTTCACCTCCACAATGATCTGGGACTGCTCCCTGCGGCTGTAGGTGCCGGAACCCCCAAGCTCTTCCTCCAACTCCTCCCCACCCTCCAGCTTGCACAGGCTGGCGGGGGGCCCGCCGGCCTCCTCAACACCACCCTCCTTCTCCTCCTTGAAGAAAGGCTGGGCTGGCCCAATGATGGCGGGGCCTGTGCTGCCAGCAGCCCCTGCCCCGTCCTCAACACGAACAGAGAAAGGGTCGGGGCCCTCTCGGGCGAAGATCTTGGGCAGGCCTGGGGTGTCGGCCTCCTGCTTGATGTCACAGTAGTAGGGTGGTGCAGCTGGGGTGCAGCTGGCGGCCGGCTGGGCCAGGGCCACAGTGCCGGGGCCTGGTGGGCCTAGAGAGCGGGCATCCAGCAGCTCCTGGCAGGACGCAGCAATGTCAGCCATCTGCAGCAGTGAGGCGGCGCTCAGCACCTCGTGGACGTTGGCTGCGTTGACCAGCAGCTTGGACGTGTAGATGAAGTTGAGGATCTGCTGCAGGCCCCCAGGTGCCAGTGCCTCCAGGGACAGCTCCACACGCTGCAGCTGCTTGTTCTGGGTGAAGAGCGAGTGGAAGAACTGGCTGTAGGCGGCCAGCACGCCCTTGTGTGCTGGGAAGACGCTGCGCTGGGGCACCAGCACCAAGTCCACGTCGCAGAGGTCGGGCTGGAAGAGGCGCTGCTCGTTGAGGCGGCCCATCAAGCAGGCGAAGTGCAGCGCCACGTCCTCCACCAGTGAGAACTCAGCCGCCGGAGAGTCGGCCGTCTTCTCAACCAGCAACTGCGGGGACAGAAGGCACAGGAGTGGGTCAAGGCCAGCGGGCCCCTGCCTACCCTTCCCCCGGCGCCACCCCCAGTGTGGCCCGCCGTCCGGGAGGCACCCCATCACCCGTGGCTCTGCTTTACAGCCACAGCGCCACAGCTCTAGCAAGGAAGGGACTCAAGCCCACGGGAGCTGCCCTCTGAGCTCAGACCACCCGCCACCCTCTGAGGCTGAAGGTCAGCTCCTGCCACTTTTCTGGGCCTCTGGGTCACCTGTGAAATGGGAAAAGTCATCCCAGAAAGGGAAAGAGAAGGAAAGGGGACAGAATAGGAACCACAGTGACCCACCATCCACGTTTGCCAGGGACCTGGGCCTTTTCTGGGGTACAGGGCTTTCAGTGCTGGAACCAGGACCATGGCAGGCACACGGGGACTAGGGTCACCCCAGGAGGGCCACAGACATTGCAGCAATTCCTGAACCATGTGGATTCTCTCCGCAGATTCACTCACACAGACCAATACCAGCTGCAAACACTTCAAGGACAGAAGTCACGCTCGCCGCTCACTGCCTGGCCTCTGGCTACAGCACCTGAGGGGACCCCTCATTGCAACGGTGCTGTGGCTGCTGCAGAAGTTGAAAGCTGTGAAGAAATCCACACCCTTGACCAATACCTTCTCCCTGCTCTCCCCTGCTGCGCTGCATGGTGAGGCCTGGCCAGACCCTCCTCACGGCCCCTGCCTTCAGCCTCAGGCCTAGCTCCCAGCAGCTTTCTCACCCAGGGGCTCTGCAGGGGTGGAAGGCCACAGCTGTGGAACCTGCCTACCATGCTTGCAGGCAGGAGGCCTCCAAGGCCACCCCAGACCCTTGTCCTGTAGGCCCCCGGACCCCAAGTCAGGTTCGGTCCATGTCACAGGCTCTGGGAAAGCCCTGGCTTGGAGGCCACGCCACTGGGGGCCTCCGGAGCCCTAGGGGAGGCCCTCAAAGTTTGATGGGTCAGACTCTCAGCCCTGTAGGCCACATTCAGCACCTGCGATTGCCTGGAATAGAGACTGGCTCAGTCACCCCCAGCTCTACCACAGCAGCTTCCCCAGCAGATAGGCTGCGGCCCAGTCCCTGCACGAGGCCAGCACACAGCCATGCACAGATGTTGACATCCGCCAACCACCTGCCCAGCTGGACCATCCCCCTGATTATGCCCAGCCAGGTCTGAGCCTCCTGCATTTGGGAGGTACATGGTCACAATATTTTGATGGCCACAAAACCATCAGCTACATCGCTGCCAGCACCTCCCTGGGGGCCCTGGGATAAATCCTGGCCCCATCCATCCACAGCCTACCCACACCCCCATGCCAGACCTCCATCTCCAGGACAGCAGTGGGTTGGGTGGGACCAGGTACGGGTGGTGGTGGTGGAGCTCCCCTCCTCAGTCACCTGAAGGAGGACCTACCCTGGGCCTCAGGATGAGCCTCCCTGAGCCACCAGGGGCCACCTGTCTCCAGGCCTGCCCTGGACCCTGCCTCTACAGTCAGCAGGGCAGAATGTGCTCTCTCACAGCTTCCTTGAGTTCTCCACCATGCCCCTTACCCCAGCCAAGAAGCCACCCATCTGCCCCCTCTCTGTCCCAAGCTGGCCAGGCCTGGCAGTCTAACTGGGACATGGCACCAAGCCCCTCCCATCTCCCTCTGAGTCATTCTGATTCATCTTCTGGGACTAACCCCTATACATAGATGGAGAAACCGAGGCTCAGAATGAAAGAGTTCCAGGGTCCAGAGCCCCTGGACTCCCAGTTCTGCTAAGGCCACCCCTTCCTTGCTAGACAGGACACCACGCCACATGGCTGGGTTTCTGAGCCTTTAATGACTTAAAAGAGGAGAACAGCCCTGCACCTGGAGGCCAGCTGTGCTTCCCCAGACCCACCACTACTCCCTCTTCCTGCTTCCTCCTCCCCAGAGCCACTGCACCTGCAGGTCAGTGAAGAGTCAGGGTGCAACTTGGGTTACCGCACAGGCTCCTTAGGGCCTCCAGGGGCCAAACAGTGGCAGGAGAAGAGGCTTGGATAAGGGCTTGCCAAAGCCAGGCCTTTTGGGGGAAGTCCACCCCAGGCAACAGAACCCCAGATCTCTCTGCTCTCCCTTTATGGAACCCCTTCCACTGCCCATCTGTGCCCATCCGCCACAGAGAAAGGGCAACCTTCCCATGTATACTTTGGCCTTTCGGCCAAATGAGGCCTGACTTCGGTCCTCTGGCCCCTCAGCAGGAAAGGAGGGGAGCACTGCCCAGTCCATTGCTAAGGCAGCGCCCCAGCCAAGCCAGCGCCCCAGCCAAGCCAGCGCCATCCGTGGTCCTCGGGTGCCTAAACCTCACTACCCGATTGGACTCCCTTGACTGGGCACAGAGATGCTGCCCGAGTCCAGCACTGGCAGCCCCTCAGCAGGGTGCAGCCCCCCCCCACACACAGTGGCCACCAGCTGTGCTGGCCCGCACAGTCAGAGGTGTAGCTGTGCCAGCTACAGTCCAGGCCCCTCCAGCCTAGCTAAGATCGGGACCAGGGAGGCGGCCAGGCACTCTGGCTGCCAGGGGGTTTCATTTCCTTTCCTCAAACCCTCGCCCCAAGTCAGGCTGGGGATTCGCCAGGTGCCAGGGACATCTCTCCAGGCTGCCCACCCAAGTCATAGACTTCTGCACCTGAGGGGCACCTCGCCTCACTGACGCAAAGCCTCATCTCCCTACCCTGCCTCAGAGCCTTCCTGGAAGGGCCCGTGATGAAACCTGGGGAGTCCACCTGTGCCCCCTCCCCTGTGAATCCTTTCTTCGCTGGGCAGCAGTGGGTGGGCCCAGACTGAGCAAGGGGGCAGAGGCTCATGACCTCTGGGCTCCTCCTTTTGGGGAGGGAATGTCTGTATCAGCCTCCTCTGTGCTCACACCTCCCCTCTTTCCCTTGGAAATAGACCCAGAGAGGGCAGGGGACCTGCCCAAGGTCACACAGCAGTTGGCACGAGCTGCAGGTGTCCTCCGACACCCCCTTGGCCGGGTTCACCCCGAATCCCCAGGCAGGGCGGCTCCAGCGCCCACGTGGCCCAAGGCCCAGGCGGGAATCCGACTCCCTCTTCCCCTCAGGACCCAGCCCGAGGGCGGCGCCGTCCCGGCGCAGGGGAGCGCCCCCCTTCGCCGGTGCCCGGGAGACCTCGGCCTCGCGTCGGCGCCCCCACCCCCAGGAATTTAACCCCTCCCCACCGCATTCCCGGCCCGCGGGACCCGGTGATGGAGTCGGGAGACCCGGCGTGGAGGAAGGTCCTTCCAGAGCCTCCCCCGAGCCGCGGGCCGTGCGCCTGGGAGGCCGGAGCCCGCAGGTGGGCGGATAAGCGGGGGGACAGGCAGGGCCCTGCGTACCATGGTGCCGCGGCGCGGGGGGGCTCACAGGGCCCCGCGGGATCGCGCTGCCCCCGGCGGCCGGGCCGGGGCCGCTCCATGAAGCGCCGCGCTGGGGGCCGCCCCCGCGCAGGGCCCCGCGACCATGGCCCCCGGGGGCGCGGCCGGGCGGGCGGAGGCGCAGGGCCGCGGCGAGTCCAGCGCCGAGCAGCTGCGGCCCCGGAGCCTCGGGCGCGGCGGGCGGGGGGCGCGGGGCGCCGATTGGAGCCCGCGCGTCAGCTGGGGCCGCCGTCTGGACGCTTAAAGGGCCAGGCCGCGCTGCGTGCCGGCGGGGGGCGCGGACACGCGTGGTGAGCGCCGCCCCCGCCCCAGCCCGAGCGCGCTGAGCCTCCTTCTGCCGGGAAGTCCGTCCGTCCGGGACTCAGACATCGGTGCCCTCCGGAGGCTGCCGTGAAATCGGGAAGCCGAGCGCGCCGGGCCCGGATCCCACCAGAACAGGCTTCCACCCGCCCTCCTGGGCGACCCCGCGCTCAGGGACTGCACCCTGCACCCCTCGCCTGGGCTGCTCTGACCTGGGGGTGAGTGTGGGGTCCCCAGCCGGCCCAGCCCCCAGCCCTGTCCCAGGGCGGCGCAGGGCTCAGGTTCTCCGGGCCTCCAGGGGGCCCGAACTTGCCTGGCGGCGTCATGCTGCATCGGGCCACCCAGGCCCGCAGAGCAAGACCCAGGACTCCAGCTGCAGCGATCAGATCCTCCCAGGTGACTGGCCCGGGACCAGAAGCCCAGGCCCCACTGCGCCCCTCTAGTCGCGTGGCCTGACCACTGCTGAGTGGCCCCCTGCTCGGCCTCTGCTGGGGAGATGCAGCCAGGCTTGCGGAATGCTGCTCTGGCACGGACACCCGTGGGGGCAGGGGGCTGGCTCTGTTGGCAGGAGGCTGTGAAGGAACGCCGCCAGGCTGAGCAGGCAGCAGGGTGGGGACCGCGGGGCACTGGGCCACCATTGCAGGGGAGAGGCCTCTGTGGGCATCCCCTACTCCTACCCCAAACTGACTGCTGCCCATCCCAGGTCACTCCCACGTCGCCCCCATGCTGATATCCCACACCCCTCCCACACATGTGCTCTTGTGTTTACATGCAGGTCCACGTCCAGCTGCAGCAGTGACCCCTGGGTGTGCTGCCCTACTCATGAGTGGGCAGGAATTCTGGCGCCGGCTCAGGGCGACTTGGTTCTAGGTGCCGGAGGAGGAAATGGAGGAGACGCAGGGTCTTAGGCAGGGGCCGCGAAGTAGCCTGACGGTCTGGCCCATAAGATTGCAAGGGCCTCCTCCCTACCCCCACTCTCCGCCAGAATACAGGGGCCTCGGGACAAGGCTATCCCAGAGCCAGGGAGAAGGTATCTCAGGGGCCAAACCTGCGGCATCTGGACGCCCTTCGCAGCTGCTGCAGACGTCCTGCACCTGCATGGGTGCACAGACACCTGGCTCAGCTCCCATACCTCAAGCTAAGCCCAGGCCAGAGCAACTGATGGGCTTCTGAGCAGCCAGTCCCGAGGGCTACCTTCTGCCTCTTCCTCCCAGCCCCCTTCCTTATCTGACTCATGGTGGGTCCTAGCACTGGCCCAGGAGGTGGCAAGGGAGGGGCTGCATGCCCATTGGTTGGATAAGGACTCCGAGGCTCATTTAGGCATCAGCTTCAGGAGCCAGGGGAAAGGGACATGGGGAGAGGGGACCCCTCCACGGGGTGGAAGGAGCCTGGCAGAGAGAGCTGCATAGACACCGCTAGGCCCGCTGCCAAGCCAAAGCTTGACAGAGGGTGTGGCCAGTGTGACTGAGGCAGTGATGCCGGTCCTATGGGGTCCTGTTGGGGCCATGGCTGCAGGAGGGCCTGGAGGTTGGGTGAGAAGGGAGGGGACGGGTGGTGAGGAGTCACTCAGTCTCCCTGAGGGCCTCAGCTGCAGCTCATTGGCTGGGGAGTCCCAGCGCAGAGCCTGAGCTCCGTGAGCAGCTCTGTGAGCAGCTGTGGGCACCTGGTCACACTGGACCTGGCAGGAAGGAGTGGTTTGAAGAGCTGTCTGGTGGACCCAGAGGCCTGCTCAGAGCTGAGGCTTGAACTTGAACATTAACTAGAGCAATGAGGCAGTGGAAGGGCTTCCCAGGCAAAGACAGCCCTTGCCAAGGCCAGGAGGTGCGGTCGGTTTAGCACCTGCAGGGAACCGGAGGGGATTTGGTGAGTGGAGTCCAGATTCCTGTGGGACCAGAGCGTCTGTTTGGTGGGAGTGAACAGAGGCTGCATTTCCCTCTTGGTCCTGATGAGGGGCACGCAGCAGGAGCTTCACTTCAGGGGAGGTCAGGGCAGGCTTGCTGGAATGAGGGAGGGACGCAGTTACTGGGGAGGTGACCCCTAGGCCGCTGCGTGCCCCAGGGGCCAGTCAGAAGTCTGGAGACGGCTCACCAGCAAGGGCAGAGTCGAGTGATCCTTCACACATTTGGGATTAGGTCTTGGCAAGGTCAGCAAAGCCATGCCCCTGCCTCTAGAGGACAGCTCATGCGCTTTCTCTCAGTTGCCCTGAGTGTCTGCCCTCCATGCTGCGTGTTCCCCAGGCTTGGTTGGGGAAACCAGATTCAACCCGACTGAAGCTGGGAGGAGCAGCCCAGGCTGTGGGTGAGCACGTGTAGGGGAGCAAGGCTGGCTTGAGTCTGCCCAGAGGGCATGGAGCTGTGTGTAGTTGAGCCTGGGGAAGAGGGAGAGCAGAGTGGGCCATGCCAGACAACACAGGCCATGCAACTCAACTCGCACAGCATGGGGCCGGTGGGGTGCCAGGGAAGTTCAAAGCTCCCCACTAGGTGCTGACCCAAGGCCCTGCATCCTCCGGGTGTGGGCTGGGGTGGGGTAAGCGTGGAGGCTGCACCTGAATTCTGCCTCCACTGAGCCCAGCACTAATAGGTCACAGCTGCCCTGGGTTGGGGGCCTCATGCAAACTGGCAGGTTGCCTGGTTCCCTCTCACAGCATCGACATCATGGCTTTGCCATTTCAGGTCTCCCTCAAAGCTTCCCGGATCCTCTCCTGCCCTGTTGGTTCTGGGCACCTCGGCCTCTCACTAGTGACTGAGCCTGGCCCTACATGTGAACGCTCTGCACCCCTTCACTTCTCCTAGAGACACCCTCAGGGGCCACCACCTCTGAACCACTGGTACACGCTTGGTTTTCTAAACAGTTACTACAACACAGTTCTAGCAGGGAGGAATCCCTAGCATCCATTTTTCAGATAAGCTGAATTTTAGAGATCAAGCAAATTATCCTCTTCGGCTACCCAGCTGGGAAGTGGCGGAGTGGAACTCGAACCCAGGCAGTCTGGGTCTGGCCCAGAGTCCTTAAGGACTGTACCGTAGAATCGTTGCCCTTAGAAGTCCTCCTGTTTCGGCCGGGCGTGGTGGCTCAAGCCTGTAATCCCAGCACTTTGGGAGGCCGAGGCGGGTGGATCACAAGGTCAAGAGATCGAGACCATCCTGGTCAACATGGTGAAACCCCGTCTCTACTAAAAATACAAAAAAAATTAGCTGGGCATGGTGGCGTGTGCCTGTAATCCCAGCTACTCGGGAGGCTGAGGCAGGAGAATTGCCTGAACCCAGGAGGCGGAGGTTGCAGTGAGCTGAGATCGCGCCATTGCACTCCAGCCTGGGTAACAAGAGCGAAACTCCGTCTCAAAAAAAAAAAAAAAAGTCCTCCTGTTTCTTCAAAATAAAATCAAATTAGGCTGGAGGCATTGAGGTCAGTGGGGACTCTTCAGCCTTTCTCTGGGAACCTGGACTGATGAGAGATTTTAGTTGCTAGAGGTCCTAGGGAACCAGGGGCTGGGGCAGTGCCAGCCTAGACACCCAACCCGTGGGCCGGGTCCACTGGGAGGCAGACTTGTCTGCAGGCCGTGAAGAGGTGAGTTCCCTGGTTGGGTGTCATGTCTGGGTGCGCCAGTCATATGCACCCTCTTTCAGGGTTTAGGAGCCACAGGAGGCCCAGGAGCAGGGCTCAGGACGCGGAAAGCAGGTGTTTGTCCTGAAACCTCAGGTCACTCTTTTTGTTCTTAGGGTCTTGCTCTGTTGCCCAAGCTGGGCAGCTGCAGTCATGGCTGACTGCCATCTCCACCTCCTGGGCTCCAGCAACCCTCCCACCTCAGCCCTGAGTAGCTGGGACTCTAGCTGTGTGCCACCACGCCCAGCTACTTTTTTGTTGTTCTGCTCTGTTGTCCAGACTGGTCTTGAACTCTTGGCCTGAAAAAATCCTGCCTTGGCTTCCCAAAGCACTAGAAATACAGGTGGCCACTCCTTTTACCCTGATGTACTCACGGCTCTTGGCTGAAGAGATGCAACCCTCTCCAAGCTAGCCTGTGAAGCTAGGGAGCGGGAGCTTGATGGGCTGTAGTTAGTAAGTGGTAAGTCTGGGGTCTCCAAGAGGCAGCAGGCCCACCTGAGGTCTTCTGATTCGCAGTGAGGAGGGGGTCAGCAGCAAGGGAGCACTCCCTCTACCTTGTCCTGAAACTCCGAAAGAGAACAAGACCACTCAAGCCTCCTACCCCTGTGTGTATGTGGCCAGGGCGGGCTCTCCTTGCCCGCACTTACCCAGCACTGACAAGCTTCCCAGTCTGTCCTGAGGTGAACAGGTGTTCTTTCAGAGGACCCAGCTCCTCCTCTGACCACCCCCCCACCGGACTCCTGAGAGGCTTTTACAGCATCAAGGAACTTCTCCCTGTTCTCTTCCCAGCTCATTCCAAAATGGGCCTGCAGACTCTCACCTCACTGTGGGCAGCAGCAGTCAATTCTGTTCCCAAAACCAGTCCTCTGGAAATCTGAACCCAGTCCCTTCCACCTGGCGAGGCGTGGCTCCACATCCTCTCACCTGACCACACTGGTTTGCAATACTCCTTCAAGGCTCAGCATTTGCCTTGAGAAAGTGAGCAGAGCCCCTTGTTTTAAGTAGTGATGGGTCTTCACCATGTTGGACAGGCTGGTCTCAAACTCCCGACCTGAAGTGATCCACTTGCCTCGGCCTCCCAAAGCGCTGAGATTACAGGCGTGAGCCACCATGCCCGGCCACCTCCTGTCTCTTCTAAACAATGATACCCAGTTAGTATCCATAGTCTCTTGCAAGAGGGGCATTTTCCTTGAATTCTCTTCCTACCTATTTAATAACCAGCTAATTCAGAAGTCAAGACCAAAGTCCTTGGCACATCTCCCCCAGTACTGCCCAACTGATCAAGCTTACCACTAACAGGACTTGATCCTGCAGTTTCTTTACATTTAAAAGAATGCATCCAGATCTGACAAATTTCGGGAGTTGCCCAACTAAGGAGTGTTAACTCAGTTTAAAAAGTGAGATCTGCAAGTGAGAAGTTACCTACAATGAAGAGCTATGCTACTCACTAAGGAAATACACATTCCTTTCAGTTCGGAGACAAAAGTTAATTGTACTTCCCTTGCAAATTCTTATGTGTATGCTAAAAATATCACTGAGTGTTTTCTCTGGGAGGCGTGGTATGTGCTGCCTGCTATGAGGGAGGGAAGGGTAGAGGCTGCAGGTGAATGGACTGTCTCCAGGCACCACTCACAGATGGGATGTGACACATCCCGCCCGCCCCCCCCCCCCAGCAGACACCTTTATGCAGGCCGCTTTAGCTGGATGACAACAGTGTAGAGGAAATCTGGAGTTTCCAGGGCAGGAAGACCAACACCATCAATGCCTACCTGTGTAGGCCAGCACCTCTGCCTGGCGTCCTCTCTGGCTCCACCCATCACTAATGCTCAGCTAGGAGAAGAAAAGGAGCTGTCAAGGGAGATGAGGTGTTTTCACCGGCCGGGCCGGCAGAGAGATGAAACAGGCACAGACTTGGACTTAGACTAAGTATATGTTTTAATTTCTACAAGGTCCCCTTCTCCAGTTTTAGGGAAGTTTAACTGAAGTGTATACAAATTAGACATTGCTAACATGTACAAAAGTGTTTTATAGAGTTTCTGAGCAATTCCAGCAATAAACAGGATGGTACAAAAACAGTCCAATAATGCATTTCCTAAGAAGCACAATACACAACATAATTCAATTTTATTAAAAAATAACCTCAAAATATACAACAACCCCCTTTCAGAAGAAGAGCTATTTTTGTAGTTCACTCTGTCAGTAAACATACAAGTTGAATGCGGCAGCAGAGCGCTGTCCTTTTCCATGGAGAAAAGAAATGAGGCTTCTAGGGACTATCTTTTCTGGATAAAATTCCACCCACCACTGAGACGGGCAGTTACTGCCTGTGGCAGGCAGAATTGGAAAGTGCCCCTCCCCGTTTCAGTGAGCTAATCTCTGGAACCCGTGAACACAATGAGATAGCAGTCCTATGTGCAATTATGTTCTATGCACAATCCACCTTAAAACGTATCTGTGGGCTTGAGCTAATCACATGCCCCTCAAACAGAGGGTGGGAGAGAGATAGGAAGCACGAGAAACAAGCAGGACACGAAGGCTGGTTGGAAGCTGGAGGGACCACACGAGGAGGAATGCAGGCAGCCTTGAGGAGGTGAGCGGGGCCCCGGCTGAGCCAGCCAGGAACTGGATTCTGCCAACAACCTAAATGGGCCTGGAAGCAGACTCTTCCCCAGAGCTGCCATGAAGGAACACTGTCCTGCCAACCCGAGACTTCAGCCCCCCGAGACCCTGAGCAGAGAATCAGCCACACTGCGCCAGACCCACAAGCTACAGAACTGCTGAATGGGTGGTGCTTTAAACTGCTAAATTTGGGGTGATGTGTCACGCAGCAACAGACAAGCCTAATTAGATCTGGCAGTTTCTGCTTGGGCTCTGAATGCATTTCTTCCTGCTGAGTAGCAGTAATACAGTCCTTTGCAGGCAACCTTTCATATAAATCACACTGTTCTGTATTCAGTATCTAGAACTGTTTGTTTGGCCTCAGTCCTGTTTTCTTACGCACTTCTGTCTACTGACCTGGCAAACAACTGACCACCTGACCCTGTTTTCACAACTTCTTTGGGTGATAATTTTAATACATCCAGGGCACCCTTCCTCCACCAAGAGTTGTCAGCTCCCTCCACCTGAGGGCTCTTTCCCACTTCCCAAGCACAGCAGACAAGGCCTGTGGTGGGGCGGCGCCAGTTTCTACATCAGGCATCCAATATGAATTTCTTCTGCATAAGTGGATTAAACTGGCACTAAGGGGATTAAGTACACTTGGGGAACAAATTCAAAGTAAAGTTTAAAAAAAAACCCACAGACTAGTTTTTACAGGTCAAATTATTTTTGGAGGAACCACCCAAAGCCATGAAAATACGTAATTGATGCCATCCCCTCTATCTCCCTTCCCCTCTCTTGCACCTGGGTCGGGTTAGGCAAGGCTTCGTGGAGTCAGCTGCAGGTCACAGTGGAAACAGGAAAAACAGCTGGTTATGACAGGTCAGCGGCTGTCGTAATGTCCTGTAGGTGCAGGACCTGAAAGCCCTGCAAAGGTCTCCCGGATGGTGGCGGGCAGATTTTGGTGTTACTTTTGAAGTCCGTTCTTCACTCTTCCAGAGGCACACACACGCAGTACACCTGAGTGGCCAACATCTCCTTTTGCCAATCCTGTCTGCTCTAGGGGACCCCAACCCCCATCTGTACTTGAGAGAAGCCCCCCAAATAGTCAAAGTGAAGACAGCTCAGAATAAACCATTTTTGGTGCCAGTGATTTTTTTTTGAATTTCATTTTTATCTTTTATGCTGTTCTAATATAAGAGTGATGCTTAAAGAGGCACCAAAAGTTACCAAGCACCAAAGCATGAAGTGGAATAGAATTGTTTTTATAACCTAGACTTCTGATCAGTATTGATTAAAAAGAACGCAGAACAGTAAGTCCTTAGAGACAGTGCAGCTATTTACAGTTAAGGCTGATTGATTCTTCTTAACCTTGCCCACAAGCCTGAAGTAATACAGGCTGTGTGGGATGTATGATGACCACTTTCCTCATCCTGCGAAATATCAAAGAAGTTAGGAATGAATTAAGAACCCCAGAGCCACTGCCTTCTCCTCCTGGCTACCCACAGTATCAATTCTGGGTGGTTTGTTTTTAGAGCACATACGTACAAGACTCGACGTAATCAGTATATAAATATTTGGCCGCCTTTAACAGTTCCCCTTCACAGTTCTATGCTTGGCAGCATATATGCTAAAACCGGAAAAACAGGCAAAAAGGATCTGTATTCTGAGGAATACGTGAGATAGAAATAGTCTTAAAATAATATTGTAAATTATACTTAGATAAATTTCACGATTTCTTGATTCAAGAAAATGAAGTTCATTTCCATAGCTGGCTACTGTAAAATGTGGCATAAAAATATTTTTAGGAGACCTGTCTGTATTTTAAATTCTTCTGCACACATGTAAATGAACGAGTAACAGTTAAGAAGTGTCTACTTTTGAAATTCATCTCTGATATTGAAATAGAACAACAGACTGTTTTTAAGTTTCTTAAGCTTTTAAGTTGCCAGATATTTACAAATAAGCTATAACCTGTATCCAAAACAAGGACCTTTCAACTGTATCTGCTGCTTTCACTGGGGCTCCGGTGATGGGAGTAACTTCGGTCAGTTTCACTGTCAGAGCCGTCAGATCTACAACTCCTGTAATAACAATACAAAACATACAAAACCTTGTAACTATAAAACCTGTCAATCCCTCTTATGGCTTTTTTGATATGAGTGGCTTGAAAGCACTATTGATGTTTTCAAGCCGCTCGTACTGACGCAGATCAGTAGGTACCGACTACGGCAACACGATGGACTTTTCAAAGATGTTTTAAATGACAAGTTGTAGTAATACCAAGATAAAATAAACACCACATCTTAGGAACTTTGTGTGAAATTCATTCATTCATACAAATGCTGGGACCACCAAAAAAAAAAAAAAAGAAACCAATGAGCAGAATAGTTTCCCATGTTACCTAAAATGAGTATCAATATTTGAATAGATTACCCTAGAGAGTAATGGGGAAAAGGTGCACAAATCGCTTCATTAAAGAAACGAAAACCTAACCAAAGAGGGGCGGGAGTGGCCCTGGGCATGAACACATTCAGTTATTCTGAAAAAACATTCACTGAGAGCCAGGAACTTTGCAAGATGCGGGGAAAACACACACACACACGAACGAATGAAACCAAGTACAGTTCTCTGGGGTTCAAGGATAGAATAAATATTGGGCAAGACAAATAATTTAGGGACAAGGAGAGCCGCAGGAGGAACAAAGCCTGTCTTGGAGGCACACGGGAGGGACCATATCCCAGGATTAGGCATCAGGGAGGGCTGTCCAGGGACAGTGGAGACCTGCAGGGTAGAGGAGAACTGGCCATTTCAAGAGGCAAAAGGGGAGATGGCGAAGAGGGTACGTGTGTCTCCAGGAAGAAGGAAAGGTCCTGGCACTTTTAAGGAGAGAAGCCAGAAAGAATCTGAGCTGCAGTTGATGCTGAGGAGGCTGGACCTGTTAAGAGGAAGTGTCCAGATCATACTGATATTTACAAGGATCACTGTAGTCATGTTGGATAGGAGAAGGCAAGATCAGAGGCCACCAGAAAGGGATAGTATAAAACAAACAATAAGACCTTTGTAGAAGCCAAAATACATTAAACATAGTATGCAATACATAAAAAAGGTATTTTACTCAATAACTGGCAATATATAAACCTCAATCCTGATGCTGAAGCAAATGATATTATGTTTTTTTTTTTAATTAAAAAATAATGAGCAAGTAGTTCTATGTAAGCAAGTGGCCACTGTGTGGGTGACCTTCTTTCCAAAAGAAAGGTGTGTCCAAGATATGTGGATACATAAAAGCCCTTCTTAGATTCAAACACGAACAATAACCAACAAATATTACCTGGCAACTCTTAATATAAAAGCCACCTGTAGTGGCTGCTTGCGGCTGCTCAGATTTAAGAGGAAGTACTTCTGTCTTGGAAGGTTACAGCACTTACTCTTCCACTGGCAACCACCGCCTCGCACATCAGGTGCCCACAGTGGCTGCAGTGCTCAGGGAGAGACACCCACCTGGACCGCCGATTGTAACTTCTGCCTCGGCGGTAACTGTCGCTTCTCTGGCTTCTACTTCGACTCCGACTCCTGCTATCGTAACTGTCGTAGGTGTAGGACCTGCTTTAACGCCAACGACACACACTGAATTTTCCCGCTCAAATACTCATATGTTCCTACTTCTTTTTAGGGTCTTAAGAATGTTCTAGCTTAGAACATGGGCACCAGGTGACAGCGAAGAACACAGTTCCAAAACAAGTACTAGAAACATTTAACAATCGCCCCAAATGAGACTCACCATCACTAAAGAGAAAAACATTAATTTCTTTTCTGCACTGAAAAATATCACACCATTAACAGTTAGTTTGAATCTGGTGGCTCTTTATAGGCAACTAGATTCAATAAACACCTGCCATTACAGTTGGGCGCTGTCATTTCCGACACTGGACACCAACGGGTCCACACATAAAACTTGTCAAAAAGGCCTTGTTTAGAAAGGTGTGGTTTCAGGAGACAAATACATGCATTCAGTTATTCAACAAAACACCACTTGGAATGGAGAGTTTATCAAACAAAACCTTTCAGCTCTGCCCCACTGCTGCTTTCCCAGTCTCTGTTCCTACCTGGACCGACTGTGGGGATCATATGAGCTGCTCCTGGATCTGCTCCTGCTGGACGTCCTAATATTAATCACATGAAGGACCATTGTCTTATCAATCAGGGCAGGACAAGCTATGCCACACATTTACATCTAGACATTTATTTGCCCATCAAGGTGAAAATACAGTGAAATCCCACAGCTGTATTTTTGTTTTGTTTTCACATCAAAAGTATACTGGATTTTTAAAGAAGCCTATTGGATTTCATAAGATGCAGTTTTTCTCTGAGATGCATATCACATCACTAGGGAGGCTGAAACCGGGTGCAGTAAGCGGAGAGGTCTGCACAGGTAGGACTTTTGTAAGTAAAGTGACGCGGCAGCAGCAGAAAACACCCCAGAGGCAAAGAGGGAAAGAAGCTAGAACTGGAAGTCTGGGGCCACCCTTCCCCCAGTACATGTACTTCTTCCTCTCGGTCCCCTCTCTGCAATCTTCCTATCCTAATCTCTAACCATGTCAAGAGGTGAATGCAGATGTAAACTTAGGTTAGGGAAGATCTACGTGGGGAGGCAGAGGCAGGAATCAGGGCTTCCTAAATATTTCTGCTGCTTCTCTTGCCTCACTCTGATAAGATCACAACAGAGGAATAGTCAAGAATTCCACAGCTCTTTCACAGGAAGAAAATAGGCCAGTGATATATTCAGTAATGACATGATTCTTCTCAACAACCACCCGCCTCTGCCTATGTAGCCTTAAAAAGTGGACACGATGGAGACCACACTGCAGGATGAGATCACAAGCTCACCTGTGACTTTTGTAACTGCGGTAGGAACTGCTCCGGCTTCTGGTCCGGCCTCTGCTGTACCAGCCTCTGCTCCGACTTCTAGAGTAGCTTCTTGATCTACAATCAGAGCAATGAAAAAACATGTTGTTATGTTAACTCACCATGGTATTACAATTAATTACTGGTAGGGCAAGAAGGGGAAAACACAACAAGAAGAAAGGCCTCTCACAAACCGTTCACAGTGGATGACAGTGACAGCTAATGAGGCAATCTCAAAACAACAATGATTAAAACCAAACAGAATAAAATGAAGGAAAACAAGAAAAGGCTGGCACAAGTATGTTCATAGGAGCCTGATTTATAACACCAGTAACACTGAGAAGAAAATAAGCCAAATCTCCATTAATGGTAGAATGGGTTAAAAAAATTCAGGTAGAGACAAAGAATGAAATATTCTGAAGTAAGAAAATGAATGAACTATAGCTACATGTAATCAGCAAGGATATATCTCTAGAACACAAGGTTGAATGAAAAAGACAAATGTACAACATCTACATATATAAAAGGATTTTATTTATAAAAGGTGCAAACATAACATTGTATAAAGATAGAAACTATAAAGAAAGACAATATTATAACCAGAGTTTAGAGTAACGGTTAACTTTGGGACAGGAGCTCTGGTGCTGTCTAGGATGGCTCTGGTGCATCAAAGCTCTATTCTCTAAGCTAGATGGCAGGTAGGTGAATATGTGTCATATGGCTTTTTATCCTTCAATCATTTTTTTTAATACTCTTTACATCTCTTTAATACCCAGTAAAACAAGCAGAAGCAATTCTGCCCCTCCGCATTCACTTGGCTCCCCGCTTTTCCCCTACTGTAAGCCTGTCATTCAAGAACAGAACAATGCCTCTGTGTCTAGGTGACGTTATGCAATATCACCATGGGTTTTATTCAGTATGCAGTTATGTTTTGGAAGACATGACCTGCTTCCAGTTTATCTGCAAGAAAATGAATACATCATGTTCTTTTTTTTTTTTTCAGACGGGAGTCTTACTCTGTCGCCAGGCTGGAGTGCAGTGACGCAATCTCGGCTCACTGCAACCTCCGCCTGGGTTCAAGCGATTCTTCCGCCTCAGCCTCCCGAGTAGCTGGGACCACAGGCGTGTGCCACCACGCCCGGCTAATTTTTGCATTTTTAGCCAAGGCGGGCGGATCACCATGGCCAGGATGGTCTCGATCTCTTGACCTCGTGATCCGCCCGCCTTGGCCTCCCAAAGTACATCATGTTCTAATAAGATTGTAGTCATTTATTCAACCAAAAATTATAAAGCAACACCCTGTGAGGTGACTGAACGATGAGTAAGACATAGCTCCTGACTTCACAGAGTTCATACCCTAGTGGGGAAGTCAGGCCAGGCAGGTATCCAAAACAGGGAGGCAGGGCAGCACCCAGGCCTCTCCACCTCAGTCCACTACCTGTTAGCTGCACAGCCTAGAACAAGTCCCTGAGCCTTTCTATGCTTTGCTGTCTTCTTTACAAAATGATATGCTGCCAACTCCAAGGCCGAGGTGGGAAGGTAAATGAGGAGAGCGGCCAGCATCACCAACAGCTCAGAGCTGTCTCTGTGTAAATGGTAAGGCAGACCCCTAAGCAGACAGGAAGCTGGCGTCACTGAACAGGCAACTGCATCTAGCAGAGAACTAAGAGAGAAAAGGCCACGAGGAGGCAGAGAAGCCTCCATCAGCAGGATGAACCGGCTGAGTGGGAGAAGGAGAGCTAGCAGAGGGCTCCAAAAATGAGGCTGAAAACATGCCATGGCACTGGCCATCAGAACACCTGAAACCTTCACCAGTAAACTAAGAGACGCGGGCAGGGGAAGGCATGGAAGACAGCAGGCGCGCAACCCAGGGCAAAAGGGCGTGAGCACAGGAGCCTGTGGCGGCTCCGTGTTTAGGAAGAAGTCTGGGCAGGCGAGGGAAGAAAGACTGATGAATAACCAGAAAGAAAAAAAGTCACAGATTCGTACACTATTTTCAGTTCACATGATGAACATCAAGCACAATATCATAAGGGCTATCAGTAATCAAGAGACAGGTAAAACCATAAAATATTTACAAGGAAAAGAAAACAATGCAACACGACTGCTTATTAACTTCTTACCATCACAGTATTTTTCCGTTTTTAATTCTCATCTGTGTTGTCCACTCTATGCTGACAACAAATGTTATGACGTAATTTATAACAATGACAAAAACCTTTTCATGAAGGTACAGAGTGACAAAGATGAGATAAAGTTGGTTTAAATTCTTTTGCTGCCTTTCAAACAACAATTAAAAATCTAAAGATGGCCGGGCGCGGTGGCTCACGCCTGTAATCCCAGCACTTTGGGAGGCCGAGGCAGGTGGATCACGAGGTCAAGAGATCAAGACCATCCTGGTCAACATGGTGAAACCCCATCTCTACTAAAAATACAAAAATTAGCTGCTCATGGTGGCGCGTGCCTGTAATCCCAGCTGCTCAGGAGGCTGAGGCAGGAGAATTGCCTGAACCCAGGAGGCGGAGGTTGCGGTGAGCCGAGACCGCGCCATTGCACTCCAGCCTGGGTAACAAGAGCAAAACTCCGTCTCAAAAAAATAAAATAAATAAAAATCTAAAGATGATCGTTTTTATCATTTTTACCCCTACCCCACCCCTATCTAAACTAAGATGCATGTCTTGGGCAGGTAGCCGCCTCTCCGGCCCTCGCCTTCCACATATCTAAATTGAAAGGTTAGGGTAATGATCTGCAAACTGTGTACATTCTGTCCATTTAGGATTCCATTCCTAGGCACTGCACACTGGTAAGAGCAGCCTCACATCTTTAAAGATGGAGAACTTACAACCCATCACGAGAACTCATTTCCACTGACAGAGAGCTTTAAATTGACAGTAACAGTTTTGTAAACTGAGCCCAAATTTCTCCTCCTGAAATTCCCTCTCCCTATGTCCTCAATTCTGAATCACATAAGACTTCTTATTCCTTTCAAGATATTTGGAAACAGTGTTTCTGTCCCTAATTCTGATATTCTTCCAAGCTAAACAATAACAGACCCTCTTTGGGAGGAAAAAAAGAGAATACTGCTCACCGATAAGAAGACGTGGAACTTCTCGACCGACTTCTTGAGTGACTATAGGAGGCAGACCTTGCTCTGTGCCTTGATTTGGTTTCGGATTTGCTTCGAGATCTACTCGGACTCCTGGACTGGCTCTCACCGTCCCGACTAGGCGTCTGCTCATCACTTGAGCTTTCCTGATTTCTTGGTCTACGGTTTAAGCGCGCGGTCTTTCTTACTTCATCAAAGAGAGACCCAGGCCGGACTTTATTTTTGCTTTTAATTTCTATTCTCAAGCCTTGTGGTTTCACTTCGGCCACAGTGGTCAACGCCTTAACTCCCACAGCACCAGATGTGGCAGCCGTGGGTGCTGCCAGGTTCCCCACACCTTGCAGGGGCTTCCATTTCTTATCAATGAGGTTGACCTGGCTCTTGTCAGCCACCTCCTTCTTCCCAGAACTTTCTCCAGCACTAGCCAAGCTAGCAGAGCCACTGTCCTGTTTCCCCACTTCACCCAACGCTTTACTTTCAGACATGCTGCTTTCCTGTTCCTGTTTTACTACCACTGCTTCAGAATGTTCTGCTGCCATATCCTGCTTCAGAACGACGTTTGTATCTGGGGTAGCAAGGTGTGCATTTCCCAGAGGGGAAGCCTCCTCTACCTTTGCTGGGGAACTCCTGTCAGGGGTACAGATCTCCATGTTGTCATCTGTTTGAAGCACATCTTCCCCTCCACTGGGAACACGTTCTTCAACATGCCGAATGCTTTGCGAACAGGCCACATTTTCCTCAGTATTTAAAGCTGTGGGAGAAAGGCTGAGTTTATTATCATCTTTAGTAAACTGATCAAAACCTGATGAAACAGTCACTGTATCATGTTTACCTGAAAGGCTGCCCTCTTCACATGATTTCTCTGTTTCTGGAATATTATCTTTCACGGTTTCACTGTTTTCAGAAACCTTTTTCTCTTCTGACTCCTGAGCAACCTGCTTGTCATCAATCTCCTCCTCCTCCTCTTCACCAAATTCTAGTGGAGGCTGCCAGTGAAACGCTTGCTTTCGCTTTGGAGCCTTGTGCTTCTTGTCTTTCTTCCCTTTCAATTTCTCTTTCACTTTTTTGGTGTGTTCTCTTTTAAGATTTTCCTTTGACCCATGTTTGTGCTTCTGTGGCTTTCCTCTATTGTTTTCAGAATTGGAACAAGAGCCCTCGGAATTGGAGGTTGATGTGCGCCGTTTGCTTGATTTCCAAGCGCCCTTGTCACCAGGCAGTGAAGAATGTGCGGACGCCTTTGTTGTGGGTTTGACTTTGATGTGAATTTCACTGCCCTCTGATTCGGAATCGGATGTGGCCTCACCTTCCTCCTTGTCAGACGATAGCTGCGAGTCATTTCTACTGTTTTTAGCTACATCTCGTTCTGAATTTGACTCAGAGTCCCATTTACTCCCAGCATAATTCTTCTTTCTGGGCTTACTGCCATTTCTAAAGCGATCAGAAAGAGTCTCTTTCAAAGTTCTTTTCTTTGAATGAGGGCATTCCCGTTCAGGCCTGGATTTCTCTTCACCTCTGTTTTTTTCTTGTTTAATATGTGTTCTTCCCATTTGGCCCTGCTTCTCTCTTTCCTGGGCTGGCTGTGTAGCCCGAACACTTGACTGCTCACTGTCTGAAGAATAATCCAAAGATGATCTGCTCTCGCTATACCTTCTCTGACATGAAGACCTGTCTCCACCTTTCACGTATTTACTGTGAACTGTCTTTTCAGAGCTGCTGCTGTGCCTTTTATGGGAAACGCTGTTTTTTTTCCTACTGGATCTAAGTTTCCTCTTAGCTCGTCTTCCATCATCACTGCTAACTGAAGTATATGAAGATGATCTACTACACTGTGAATGATCACTGTATTTATTTCGGGAATGAGATCTAGATGATGGAGACCTAGACCTTAAATGTGAACTAGCTAGACTACGTGATCTTGTATATGATCTGGAATAAGATCTACTCCTAGAAGATCTGCTCCTTGACCTTGGTGAGCTTTCTGAACTTCTATCACTGTATTTTGAATAAGTGCTCTGATCACTTTCTGAATTCTTTTCTCTTTTACGGTAGGATGATGAGCTACCAGTCTCTTTAATATTTGCTAAACTGTAAGTGCTTTGGATGGGCAGCAAGTGGGTTGTTTTAGCTTTCATTTCCTGAATTCGCTCATAAGAGGGCTTCCAAGGTTTCTGTCCAGGCTTCCATCTTGAAGGGGGGGGACTGTCACTCAGTGGTATTACAGGAATATTTTCTGCTACAACGGGTTGTACTACTACATTCTCATTTTGGGCCATGGTTGCTCTTAAAGGTTCTGTTTTAATTGGTTTATTTTCGCTTAACTGAGAAGCTGTTCTTCTTGGTGATTTTGATGCTCTCTTTTGGTGCTCAGACTTGGAACTAGATCTGGACTTCGATCTACTTCGAGAATGTGAGGACTTTGATGCCGTCTTTGATCTTGAGCTTCCTCTAGAATACGACCGTGAGTGAGATTTCGATCTGTATGAGTCTCTGCTGGAATGGGTTAAAGAGCTCTGAACATCCTTATCAGATTTAGACCAGTCTCTCTTTGATGAGTGATGAGACGATATTGAGGAAGAACGAGAACTCCTTTCTCTATCACAAGAGGATTTCATTCTCCGAGTGGAAGATTTTGAGGATTCTATGTCAGACGGCATAAGAATCCTTCTCTTCCTAGTTTGTTTGTGTCTTCTGCAATGTTTTTGCTTTTTCCCTTTCTTTTTATGCTTAACTTTTTTCTCTTTTCTGCGTTTCCTATGGTGGCCATCAGAGTGTCTTGCTGTACTAAGGTCTGAATAATATCCATTATAGGACCATGACCTTGATCTCTGGGACAAGCTTCTTTCATCCCATCGGCTTGAACAGGGGTCACTTAACCTACAGAAAGGACATAATATTCATGCAGTGATTTATAAGCATGTTTTCTATGCCTTAAAATACAGCTTTGTTAAGCACACACAGGAAGCATGAATCAAAGAGTTAAAGGCCTGGTCTTGTTATACTTTCAGAGACACACTGAGAACTACTAACGGATTCACTTACGAAAGGATTTTTTTTTTTAAGCTAAGCAAAGAATCTTACATTTGTTGGGAAAACGTTTTTGAAAATCAAGTAATCACAAGAACATTACTGAATAACTCAATCGCAAGAGTTCCTGGCTGTTACCTGCTAACAACCCTCTGCCTCTAGGAACAATTTTTGAGGGCATGTCAAAACAAGGTCCCAAACAATTTTGTTGATATTTTAAAGATGCAGGACAGCTGCTTGAAACCAGCATGAATCTTGTTTTTTCTCCACCTCACAGAAGTAATCCAGATTTCCCCTAAGACTGTAAACTACTTAAAACAGAAACTGAGGAAAAAGTACACAAAAACAGATACAGGCTTTACAGTCTCAGTGGTAACAGCAAGGCTCAGTCCTTGGTACCACTGTGTCTGAGCCACTTTTACACAGCAGATGCATTCCTTTTCCTCCTTTTCCCAGTTCCAAACCACTCTGCAGGATGTCCACAGAGAGCGAGAGAGAGAGAATTCTACCATGAAGAATTAAACAGGGTTCCATCAGTACATTTTTCACTAGCTATTCTGGGGTCTGTCCCCTTCCTAAAATAAATATTCCCCTGTGGGACATAACTGAAGGTAAGAGATACGTATACTGCTAAAGAAGCAACAGTCCCTGAGATCAAAAGTCAATGTGCACACTGAGTGCAGGTGTTCCTATCTACAAATGAACTCATCAGTGACCTGGCTGGCTAGAAGAGAATCTGCTACATAATTTCTAAGTCCTAGTCATTTCTAAAATTGACTAAGAGGTCATTAAAAGCTACAGGCTTATAGTTTTTGTTAAGGAAAACAGGATTTTGACTTAAAAGCCCAACTAGTTAAGAGTACCACTTTCACCAAGAAGTCCCAAATGTATTTCCTTTGGTCAGAGTCTAATTTTGACTGTGAATCTTTAATGAAATGTCCAGAATTTTATCTAATCCCTTTTAACACTTAAAATACAACAGACCCAGGACTGCGCTTATACTCCAAGTTCTTACTTATCTCCTTTGCTCCATTTTTCCCCACTAGGTGGTCTGTATGCTCGCAATCTCTGCATCTCCTCCTTCCAGTGAGGAGGTGTTTCACTGCTGTCATCATCATCTGACTCAGAACAGGATCTGGATCTTGGAGGTGTGTGATAACGCTTTCAAAACAGAGAGAATACTATTTTTAAAAATGCATCTCGACAGTCTGCTATAGGACAGAGTCAAGTAAAAGACCCAATCTCAGATCATCTAATCAAAGGCAATGATTTAGGTTACCAAAAGGTTGGACTAAAGTTATTTCTTTTTCTTTTTTTTCTTTTTAACTTTTATTTTAGGTTCGGTTGAAGTTATTTCAAACAAGGCATTAAAAAAAGATGGGCAAGGCTGAGATTCACCTGTAATGCACATAAACTTTTCCTCGTCAAAGTCTTAATGAATACATTCATTAGCCTAGATTATTCAACATGCCAGATTTCTCAGCATACTCACTGATGGTTTTACATGTCCCTCTTTTCACACTCAATTAAACCCATTCAAACACATTAGTATACTTTGATCTCACAGCAATACCTTCCCATAGCTATGGAAAATAAAATTAGTTCCTTGAATAGATTTTGTATTATATCTAAATTAAAGCTAGGATTTTGATGATAGGGAAACATTTTTTCCTATTTAGATACGTAATTTCAAAAAAAGTCTTATTACACATACAATTGTGCCCCGTCCTTTAATCTTCCGTCCAGACTTTGATACAGATGGTTTCTGATCACTTACAATGGGTGCAACATCAGGAATCTTCCTAGGAAAAGAAGATGGTGATGAAAATTAAAAATAAGCAAAGGGGAAGCATTTTTCTCAATGTTTAAATACAGAATTTATGTCCCTATAATACTAAAACACTTCATTTATCCAACACTTGTAGAATGAGACATTCCACATAACCTTATTTTGTAAGCAAACCATTTAAATGACAAACTTAAAGAAAAGAAAAACAAAATCAATTGGGTAAAAATACATGTTACTGACACTAGTAGCTCTCCTTTTAAGCACAGTACTATCTTACTTTTTTTTTCTTTTGAGGCAGAGCCTTGCTCTGTGGCCAGGTTGGAGGGCAGTGGTGCAATCTCTGCTCACTGCAACCTCCGACTTCCTGGTTTGAGCGATTCTCCTGCCTCAGCCTCCTGAGTAGCTGGGATTACAGGCACGTGCCACCACGCCCAGCTAATTTTTGTATTTTTAGTAGAGATGGGGTTTTACCATGTTGGCCACGATGGTCTCAATCTCCTGACCTCGTGATCCGCCCTTGTAGGCCTCCCAAAGTGCTGGGATTACAGGCATGAGCCACAGCGTCCAGTATCATCTTTAAAGAAAATCCTTTTTTATTTTTCTCCTGTCAAACCAGTGATGTTCTTAAGGGAACCCTGATGAGGTGTTGCCCACTCTGATGCTTAATTGTGCTTCGGTCATTTTTTAATAGTTTGTCTCTCCTACTCTACTCTAAGCTGCCCCTTCATCTTAAATGCTTTGAATCTGCTGCCTCATTACATCACATATACTATAAAAGCATAGTTTCTGTGACACCAACAGTCTTCCATGCACGAGGTCTTTTCACACCTCAGTTCATTTTGTGTCTGCTACTATTAACATAACGGCTAGTTTCTACTGGGCAATGACTGTGTCAGGCATTGTATTAATAAGCATTTAAGAAACGCTTTTTAAGAGATGTCTATACACACACACACACACACACACACACACATAGATATACATATGTGACATAAAAGTTGTCATTTTTAGCACTCTAAATGTACAGTTCCGTGGCATCAGTTACATTTACAATGCTGTGCAAGCATCACCACTGTTCTTTCAAAACTTTTTCATCACCCCAAACAGAAGCTCTACCCATTAATCCCTAGCTCCCCATTCCCTGCTCTCAGCAGCAGCCCCTGGAAACCTCTATTCTGCTCTCCATTTCTATGAATTTGACTATTCTAGGAACCAAGTAGCATATGGTTCCATTTATATGAGGAATAGCCAACACTTTGGGTATTTGTCTTTTTTGTGACTGGCTAATTTCAAGAAAGAAAACAAATTTCCACAAATGTTCTGTTGACTAAACTCAAAATACTATAACAACGACTGAGTATCATTTTTTGTAATAAAGGTCTACTAATGGGAAGAAGGCAATTCATTTTTGGGAGGTGGAGTAACTTTGCTTAACTAGGACTCAAAGTTAGTATTGTCTATTAAAACAAATAACGTTAAAAATTGGCTGGGGGTGGTGGCGAGGCACCTGTAGTAGTAGCTACTCCAGATGATGAGGCAGGAGGATCACTCGGGCCTAGGAGGTTGGGGCTGCAGTGAGCCATGATCTTGCCACTGCACTCTAGCCTGGGCAACAGAGCAACAGAGCAAGTCCCTGTCTCAAAAAAAAAAAAAAATACAAGAAAATACAAAAAACTCCCAGATAAGGTTAATGCTCATCTGTAATGAGATTTTATGTATTTTATCTTTAAAAATATCTCTTCACACAGACGGCTCGTATGTGTAGCAGCTGAAATTCTGGTGAGTTACGGCTTTTTCACTGTGATTTGTAGTGCACCTCTTGGCACGTAAAGGCGTGAGAGCGCTACATACAAACTCTGTTGCAACAGAGCAAATGTAAACAAATGAATGAGGTCGTGTTTCAGTGAAACTTTATTTTTAGATAGAATTTCACCTAATTTTCATGTCACAAAATATCCCTTTTTTGACTTCCTCTAAGAAACATTTAAACACATAAAAAACACACTTAACTCATGGTTTGTACAAAAACAACCAGTAGGCCAAATTTAGTCCATGAATCATAGACTGCTGACACCTATCATATAACAATGAAGTTGATCTTTCAAGTTTCCTACCTTCTGAAAGCCAAATGGATTTGATCAGTGAACTTGGTGTCTTATAAAGAAGAAAAGTTCTACTATAAAATATGTTCACAAGCTAGAATTTTTAATAATGAAAACATAATATGTTAAGTTATTAATTCAAAGATACATGCCATTTTGCAACAGCTTTTTAAAACAAGACAGTATCAGGTTTAAAAATTTTTTAATTAACTAAATAACTTTATGCAGAGACCTAATTATAAACAAGGACTCTTCTACTTTTCAGCTTTCAAAATAACTCTTCATAGGGAACGTATCAATTATACCAGCCATTATGGTATTTCCATTTCTTTTCATGAAAACATTTTCTTTTAAGAATTCTAAACTTAAATCTAATACACAAAATACATTACTATTTTCTCAGACCAAATCTAAAACTACACATTCACTTTTCCAATGCAGAGAAGTAATCGTGGAACAAGTTAACAAAAGTAACTTATTTATGATACTAAATTATATTTCCAATCATCGTGTAATTAATTATGCACTATTCAAATTGGAACGTATGCTTCATCACTCAAATGGATCCAAAGAATTCATCTAACTCATTACTCTGATAACTAAAATCTCACCCCTCTAATGAAAGGCAAAGGCAGTAGACCAGGAATGAAATCTTTCCAGACCACCAAGAGCTTCCCTGACCAACTGGCCCAACCTCCTCTCCCTGAGAGAATGTGAATTCTGAAAGGTAGTGCACTTAACGGTCATTAATCTGGTATCTCCCGTATTTCCTAGTTATCACTCACTAGTCTGATCCTCCTACAGTATCTTTCAATGTGCTTCCAACGTGAGTCGTTCCATACATGAGTGCAGAGCTGCAGTGAGCTGACAGAATTGTCTCTCCGAGAAATAAAGACATACAGTTTAGTCATCCTACTTACGGTTCAGGTTCCGCAGTCGCAACAGGCATATCTCTTCTCAGTAAAAATCGGTTCTCAGGCACTGGAGGAATTTCTTCTGGACGGACCACAGGCTTTTCCCTTTTAGCATTGGCATCAACTGACCTTTTTTCATTGGTATCACTCCTCTCAGAGTGACTTAGAGAGAACAAATCAAGTCACTGGTTAAAATGTGTAACGTTTGCATTTCATAATAAAAGCACATAGAACTAGATATTAAAACAGCAGCATAATTAACGATAGCATACAGGTCTCACTCAGAAGAGTTATATCATTTTCACAAAGAGAACATATTATCAACCCAGTGAAAACCCCAGAGGCTAAAATTTTGATAGGAAAATTGTCAAATGATCCTAACATTTTTATGTTAAGAGTTCCAGGAAGCTAGGTATTGTGGCTAACACCTGTAATCCCAGTACTTTAGGGGTCTTACATGGGAGGATTGCTTGAGGCCAGGAGTCAGAGACCAGCCTGGTCAACACAGTGAAAGACCCTGTCTCTACAAAAACGTGAAAAATTAGCCAGGCATAGTGGTACACTCCTGTAGTCCTAGCTCCTCAGGAGGCTGAAGCAGAAGGATCTCTTGAGCCCAGGAGGCTGAGGATGCAGTGAGCTATGATTGTGCCACTGTACTCCATCCAGCCTGGGTAACAGGGCAAGACCCTGTCTCTTAAAAAAAAAAACCAAAGTTCTTAGGACTATTTTCACCTGAAAACTGAAAACACACACAATCTTTGAAATGAGCTGCCTACACTACCAACTCCTAGATTTGGCAGATTTCTCAATTTAGATAAAGTTTAAAAAATACCATCCTTTTTCAGTAACAGCTAACAAAACTGAGTTTACAGAATTATACATATTCTTCCCTTTCCAGAGTGTGTGTTTTCAGGTAAGAGCACATTGGTGTTTTAACACGTACCCTTTGGGGCTCATTACATGTTCATTCCTTGGCTCTTCTGAACTGCTTGCTTCCTTTCTCCTCTTTTTAGAACGTTTAGCTTTTGGCCTCCTCTTACGTTTCCTCCTTCTGCTTCTCTCATGTTCAATTTCACTTTCCGAAGATGACTCTGAAGAGGAAGAGGAATTGGAAGAGGAATCCAAGTCTTCTGAATGAGCTGGTTTCTTCCTTTTTTTCTCAAAAACTTTTAAGAAACATCAATAAAACCATTAGTATTAAATTTCAGTGCCTACGCTTAGGAGTAAAAACTATGATTACTGATTATCAAAATATGCTTTATATACAGCAAACAAAAAATGAAATGTAGTTTTTTCAAGTTTATAATAAAATTACTGGCAAGATTGTAAGGTAATAAGTCCCCTGTCCATATGAAGCCTAATTTTAGCTAGGTTAAATAACAAGAAATAGGCCACACCCATAATAAAGGCAGTGGTTCACACCTGTAACCCCTGCACTGTGGGAGGCCAAGACAGGCGGATCACTTGAGGTCAGGAGTTTGAGACCAGCCTGGCCAACATGGTGAAACCCTGTCTCTACTAAAAATAATAAAAATTAGCCAGGCATGGTAGTGCATGCCTATAATCCCAGGTACTCCAGAGGCTGAGGCAGGAGAATCACTTGAACCCAGGAGGCGGAGGTTGCAGTTAGCTGAGACTGTGCCACTGCACTCCAGCCTGCGCAACAGAGCAAGAGTCTGTCTCAAAATAAATAAAAAGAAAGAAATAATTGCATCATATGACAAATGATAAGTGCTAAGACAGAAAAACAAAGCAGTGTAAAGGGAAAGGAAGATTAGGGATAGTTTAACATAACATCTGAACAGAGACCTACAGAAGCAAGGGAGGACGTCATGCAGGTATCTTAATGGAGGGTGTTCCAGTCAAAGAGAATAGGCAGCACAAAGTCCCTGAGTGTTGGCATTAAGTGTCTGAACAAAGGGCAATGTGCCTGGAAGGCAATGAATAAGGGAAAAGAATTCAGAGAGACAGCAGAGAGTCGGACCAGCCAGTGCGTTAGAGACCATGGTAAAGACTCAGGCTTTGGAAGACTGAGAAGGGAGCCCTTCGAGGGTTCTGAGCAGGCGTGACATGAACGCACACTACGGTTCAAAGGGATCACTCTGGTGGCTGTTACAGACAGACCATAGCGGTCCTAGGACATTAGCAATAGGACCAGTTAGGAAGCCACTGCTGCTGACCAAAGATTATAGGACAGAGGAAAGGTAAACAGCTGTGAGGCTACTGTAGTAATCCAGACACAAATGCTGCTGGTGTGGATCAGGCTGGTGGCAAGAAAAAGGATGAGGAGGTAAGATTTGACGAGATATGCTAAAGATTAAGTGTGTGGGTGTGATTCGGAGGCACCAAGGGCTACTGTTATACCACTAGTTCCGCCACTCGAATCTAGTTAGTCTGTGTCTTAGCTTCGTCTACTGTCAAAAAAGTTCTTACCGTCTTTCACTGATTTTGTGGCAAGTACCCCACAGTCAATAACTCGCACATCTGCATACGGTCTGCTTGCAGCATCAGTTTTCAGATTTTCAATTTGTTCGATTACTTCAAAACCAGAAATAACCAGTCCAAAGACGACATGCACCCTGTCAAAACACAAATTCAAGAAACAACTGGTTTGATAATTAAGGTATAAACAATAATCAAGACAATTAACTGTAATCAATGACATGTCCACAGACCAGAAAATAAAACCAAACTGTTTGCTGTAAGAAGCAACTAGAAAGAATGAGAACTTGAAATCTGCTTCATAAAAGTAAACAATTATGCAAACTGGGCCTCGGTTTTCCGTCTTTAAAACAATGGTTCTTAACCATTTTAGATAAAGAGTTTCGTAACATTCAGACTTCACTTGTTACTCGGAAACCCTCCTTACAGGGACACTTGAAATTGTGCTGCTTACTATCTGGCCCATTTTGAAAACTTAAAAAAAAATGTATTGCTAAGAAGCCCATCCATGAGGACAGATTAATGACTCCTTCAGGGACATGAGAGCCGTGGGGTCTCAAAACGGCTCCATTTCATGACCCTAAGGAAGAGGCTGGCTGTGAGATTAACCCGACATCAACAGCGCTCCCTTGAGGGCTCAACCATGGTCCAATCTGTCTTTACGGCTGGCCACCCAAACGCTTCCCCAGGGTAGTAAGAATATAACTCTTACCCATCCAGGTGTGGAGCAGGCTTTGTGGTACTATGTAATAAACATCAACACAAAGATGGTGTCAAACACGGTGTGTTCAGGTGAAGAGAGCAGAAAGGGTTAAACACAGCAGGGAGAGAACAGAGAAGTAAAGATAAAAAGATAAGGGAAAAGTTAAACATGATATACATCTAACCTTAAACACCACAAAACAGCAATAGTAGCCATTTTACTAATTAAAAAAACCTCACAATCATCTCTATTAGACTATATGTGCATAATACATATGAAATAGGTTTGCCTTATACCCATAAATATATAGCATGAATACACATAAAAATTAAAGTTAACTCTCAAATCCAAAACAAAACAAAACACTTTTAAAAAACCCTCAAAATGTATCAGCATAATTAAATAAGAAAAGCACCTCTTATTTGCCCTACGGGAAGAAAGTGTGATTAACGTTTGCCCCACGCATGTATAAATGCTTTCCTATTTGTGATGTCTCATACTGAGTCAGTCTGCATTTTTAGGCAGGCAGACAGAGGTAGGCCTTGGAGCTCTGTTTCCAGAACTTCCTGCCCCTCTTCCTTCACCCAAGGTGAAGCTCTGACACAGCAACTGAAAATGTGATTGATAGGGAGAAAAGCTACAATCTGCCAACCCTTCTGAGAGCAAAGTAATGATGGCTAACATGACAGGCATTTTAAATTTCCATGGCCCGGAAAACACCCAACCGGCTTCTTCCACAGTTACCAACTGTTAGACAATCTACAGGATATATTTGGTTAAGATATTTTGAACCCAGGCTAGTTTTCCCATAGCATTTTCATAGATCTTCACATGATATGAATTGCAGTGGAAAAAATTCAAACGCAGATAATTAAGACTCAGAATTATACACCACAAGCATCTTGATTTATAAGAATAAAAAATAGATATTTAAGAGATAGAAAACAAATTTGAGAGAGAAAAAAAAATCACTAGATGTCAGGCCATGTTAAAGCAGTCAACTGTACTAGAAGATCCCACATAAATTTTTACAATCATTTTAAAGCAATTTTAAGACATGTAAGTGAACAAAACCCAGTTTTTAACCATAACAATGCTAAAAATCTTGTACAAGGATTTGTAATGCTTATACTTACATTAAGAATATTCAGTTCTGTAAGAGCACTACATAATTTAATTTTTAAAAAGTAAAATGTCAACTTAAGAAGTCCCAGAATTTTAAAGGAAATACGAAGTTTCAAAACCGCAAATAACAAATATTCCTTAGAAGAGTGAAAAGTGGAAATTCAGGCCAATGTAATTATAAAAATAAAAACAGGCAGCAAAAAAAAAAAAAAAAAAAAAAAAAAGAAAGAAAGCAAAAATGAATGAATTAGTGAGCCACTAGTGTTTAAACCATTAAACTAGCATCTAGAAACCACTTTGGATGGTAACTTTAAGACAGAAATGTGCTTTAATTATAAAGCTTTACCAAAGTACACTGAAGACAAGAAATTAGTACAGAAGCTAGACAGTGATTCCATTATATGAAAGAAGTACAGAGTACTTATTTATTTATTTATTTAGAGATGGAGTCTTGTTCTGTTGCACAGGCTGGAGTGTGATGGCACGATCTTGGCTCACTGCAACCTCTACCTCCCAGGTTCAAGTGATTCTCCTGCGTCAGCCCCCCAAGTAGCTGGGATTACAGGCATGTGCCACCATACCCGGCTAATTTTTATATTTTTAGTAGAGATGGGGTTTCACCATGTTGGCCAGGCTGGATCCGCCTGCCTCAGCCTCCTAAAGTGCTAGGATTACAGGCGTGAGCCACCACGCCCAGCCAAGAATGCTTTTAAGAAAGTAAAATTTTTCTACAATGTAAGGGATCAGCCCAAACATGTAGAAGTAAAAACAATGTATGGTTTCCTGATGAGATATATCCCTTCTCCTTCTCTGACCCTTTTTCCCATGACTCACAGATCTTGTAGTATTGGGGCAAGCCTACACATTTTTCTGAAACATGAAGAGCCCAATTTGATGTGCCACCTTGGCTAGGAGAAAGGCTGTAAAAACTACCTGATGGCAAACCTCTGGAGCACATGTGGAAATAAAACATCCGGAGTACTACAGTGATGCAGCAGCATACTACCTGAGGCTCGATTCATTATGACAGTAAAGTTTAGTTTTTAATTCGAATGAAACTTGGTCTTTTAAAGACAGAAATGACCTTTCTTTCAAGGACAACTCAGTCTGCCCACGGTGCCTAAACGTGATGTGAATGATTTAAGTCCATTACTTGGATCTGCAACTCAAGATACAGAAATATCAGTCTGCACGTACTTGAATTAGATTAGATTACATATGAAGAATACTAAATATTTAACAAAAAGAAGCCCTCTGGAGTTCTCTACCTACATTCCAGGAGTAGAAATCCCAATGTAAAGCAGGTTTACTGGCACTGGGCTAATCCATGGATGAACAGAGGACATTAGCCAAAGAGGCTTATAAAAGGGTGGGGAGAAATAATAGGCACCGTCTGGACTATTCAATTCTATTCAAAGAGGCAGAGAGCTCATCCCACGAACTCTTACTCTTTCAAAACTTTGAATTAAAAAAAAAATTGCACTGATCTTCAAAGCAGCTGTTTAAAGAGCTATGCAAGGCTGGCCCATGCTCAGTAAGTGAGGGCCAGAGGCTATCAGAAACGTTTAAATGTATATATGCTTATGAAAACACACCTAAAAAAGAGAAAAAACCACAAAGAACATTTCAGATTATAAAACCTTTCAATATGTATGCATTTCCATTTTCTCTTGTACTTAAGAGACAGTGATTTCTGTTTCCCCGACCCCTGAATCTACTTTAAAAAAACATGTGTCCAAGGTATTTAAGCCTTATAAATCCTAGAAATTGACAAGTGTCACTGCTACTCCAAAAACCATCTATAGTTTTATACCATTAGCAGAGAAGCTTTTGCCCTTAGACAGAAATGACTAATTCCACACTGAAATGAGAACTAAACCGTACTATAGACTATAACCCCACTCCCCACCAGAAGATGTGCAGGAACTTGGTGGAAACAAGCCACTGGAGTTAAAATATCGTTCCCAGGATTAACCATGAAAAATAAAAGGCATTTGTTTTACACGTACTGCTGCTATACAGATAAAGCAGAAAGTTTTTTTTCTTAAAATGTTTAATGCACATAACAATAGAATTAAAGAGATAAAGGCAAAGAAAGAAAGAGAGAGAGCCTTAGAGTAATGAGACATTACCTTTGGAGCGCACGGTGTAACACTCTTTCTGTAAATTTTACACAAAAATGGCAAGAAATAAATTGTAATACACTTTTAAGACAAGACTGAATCTATGTTTTAATATCAATATAACTTTGAAATTAAATATTTTCAAGTTTTATGCAAAGCAAGAAAGCTTTTTTAAATGGAGGGCTCTAAATTTTCTTTCATATGGGATATTTATATAGAGATGAATTATGCTTAAGAAAAGCACTGTATTGCGGCTAAGTGGGAATCTATTCAGAACCTTAGTATAAACACTAGAGTGCCAATAATAGCTAATTAACATACTACATTTCCTTTCACAAATCCCAGAAATTAGCTAAGACAACATTTTCTCAAGAGAATAGTGTATCTTGAATACACATATAAACATAAAAATCTGAATACCCAGGAGCAGTTACTACCAGTTAAAAGCAAAACTGTCATTAAAAAAACTGAGTTAAGATCATCCAAAACAAAATTTCAAGGAACTTTTAACTAATTCATGTCAAGTAGTTAAAGAACCTTTCATGCTTCTACATTTGAAACCTTTGTTTGGTGACATATCACACCGGCTACTTTCAGGAGCTAATGAAAATGTTTCAACTGTGGTTACTGTTCAGTGACATCACATACACGTTGAGTTAAAGTCACTGAACATAATGATAACGCAGCATAACTACAATTTTAGTGACCTTCTCAGAGGATAAGGCAAGAGAGATGAAAATGTAAGTGCAGTCAAATCTTAGCCACAGTATCTTCTTTTCCTGTCTAATCTCTGATTTTCTACATTATAAAGAATTTTTTTTCAGAGAACACACACTGACCAATATTTATTTGTACTTAAACTTAAATAAATCGATTACTACTCAGATCAAAATACTATTGTACCATGGACAAAATGCTTTATAAAAGCTCTGAACATAATAAATCTTGAAACATTTAGCAATAAGCTTAAATTTATCATAAAGGCATTGACAACATGAGTGTCAAAAAAGAACAAAATGTTTGAAATAATGTGGAGTTTTCAATGAATGTTGCAAAAAAAATAAGTGACTGTAGGTGTAAAGTAGTAGGGAAGAGAGAAGTAAAGAGAACTTCTGCCCAGTTTAGCTTTGAACATGCAGCGCTTTCCCTTCAACTCCTGTAACTATCCCGCTGTCACGGAAGAGGCACCAAACTGTACAGAATGCTAACACCTGTATAAGGACATGGAAACTAACCAAGCCACTTGACAATGCTCTACCCATGTGTTCCAAAAGTCACCAAAGTAGAAGTGCCTTCTAAAATTCAGCACTAATGTTAAGACAATACACACCAAACATTACCAAATACAAAGTGTCTTCTACATTGCTAGTATAATGTCACATAAACAGTAAGTTATTAAGCCTGACACTTAATAGTCAGAGAATTTGGTTTATGGCTAAGTTTCATGAACATCTTTGCTCACGAACATTCTGAGGTTAATATATGAAGGTATTACCCCCCAAAAAAGGAAGGAAAAAGCTAGAACTTCTCAAGTTAACACTTACTAGCATTTCTACCCCAAATCAAGTTTTACTACACAAAATGTCAACAGAGTTTTACAAACCCCTTAGAACCAACCACTCCTCAACTCTCCTGGCTCCACTACTTTGCAGTGATCAGCACTCCTCTCCCATTTAGGTACTTGCAAGGCGGATTCGTCAATGGCATCAAATATGTTCTAAAACTTCTTTTGTCCCTCACCCTCATTGTCTATTTATGACTGTTAAAATGTAGCAAACCGGTTTTGTTTAAAGTTCAAAATTGGACTCTTCTATATTATCTTGTTTTCTTACATTGTTATGATTATTAATGAGCACTGACAGTGGCCAGTGGCAGGAACTGTTCTTGTAAGCTCTGCAGATTTCTGCTCTATGGCTGCACAGACTAAGATGTTCTAACAGCAGCTGATGAAGAGACTTCTGTTGCTCTTGATTCAGGCAAATAAGCTCAATACTTCTTTAAGACATCTTTCAGATTAATAAAAACCAGGCAATTATGACTGTTTCCATTAGGCAAGACAATGTTTGCACATGTATCAGTCTACACATTCAGAAACTTAGGACTACCCTACAAAACACCTTCTTCCTTTTATATCCAAATTTCCATACCAATGTTTAAGTAAAGAAAAACTAACTCAAGGCACATGGGAGACTAAAATCAAGGTTTCCTGACAGCTGTATTAATGTCCTATCCCAGAAGTTATTTCCTACAAAGCCATACATTACTTAATCTTTTTCATGACTATTTTATGCAACATCTTTATCTTTTCAATTAATGTATATAAAGACAATGAAAATTACAGCCAGAATGAATAAGCTTTCACTAACAGCAAAAGGGGAAAGAATGTTTCCCCAACGTCATTTTGTTTTCCAGCAAAACGCTTGATACCTTTAATACTTAACTAAAATAAATTCAGAGCAGAGCGGTTAACAAAATTTTGAGCTTAAATATGCTTAAATTTATAGTAAAGGCATTACTAATATGAATAGGTGTGCAGCAAGCACTCTTTTTCTAGCTATCACTTTCTTCCAGATTATAAGTAAAATTACTATAATCTGGACTTTACATGGTTTTTCAAGAATTTAGCATAACCTACAGAATGAAAAGGTTGGACTAGATAATCTCTAAATCCCTTTCTAATCTATGACCTTATAATTCTAGCTTTTATTGGGGTTTCTTCCTACTCTTTAACCTAAAAAATAAATAAGAATACAAAGGACAAAATAAACACCAAATTAACTTGGTAACTTTAGTCCCGAGTCTTTAAATTCCTTCAAAAATGTTCGAAATAAAACCACTGTTTCCTTAGTGATTCATGGGGATGGTGCCATATGTCACCTCTTCCACGGTTCTTGAGCAGTACTACTCCAAAAGGAATCAAGTTTTCTTCTATATAGGCCCCCAAGAGCAAAATCACTATGACAAATACAGTAGTAGAAATAGTTACTGTAAAAATTACAAATAGATGTATAGAAGAAAATCTGATTTCCATCATGTATATAATTGTCCCAGCCAAAGAAAGTAATGTATGCAAAATTATGTTGGATAAAAATGACATATGCCTAAGGAAGGGTAAGTTTTTAAATGTGTAAGTAATAAAGACAGAAGTTAATGCACAAAACACAAGAATCCTTGAGGGATGTTTTGCAAATAGCCACACCAACAGCACCAAATCTACTCCTTAGGAATTGCAGAGTAATAGATTCATAACAAAACTACAAAAACAATTTTGCAAGGATGTATGTATTAGAAATCCTTATTGAGCCTATAAAGCAGGAACTACAAAGACAGTTTTTTAAATTTTACCACCATTCTTACACTATTCTTTCATTTTCAGATTCCAGAATTGCCACTCAAAGTGCCATACGAGGAGCTGTGGTAACAGTAAAAGGCAGGAGCCATCCTTCAGAAGCCATCAGCAAGCTCTGTGACCATCAGAGCTATTATCTGTGACCATATACATAACCTGAAGATAGTATATTATACTTTTTTACTACCTTCAACTTCAAAAGGATTTGGGCTTGTAAAACATAGTTTCAAAGATTTTTCTTTTATCAGCCACCATCTCCATTTTTACCTATCCCTCCAATAAATGCAAGGATATGTTTTATTCTGAAACATGAAAGTTAACTTGATTTTATCCTGCAACTCATCTTTCTAGCTAGCATAAATAAAGTATATAGGCACAAAAAACTACTTAGAAAAAAACTACTTAGAAAAAAAATACGAGGATTAAACACTCAATTACTTCCAAGACTGCCTACTCCTTTCCAAAGAGACTGCAAATCTCTTTCCAGAAGGAAATTTCAACTTCCATCAGAAGTTCACAATGATTTCAGTGCTATCTAAAGTAAGTTAACTTTGAAAATAAGTGTAACAATTCTAATTGTAATTTATTGATTTAAAATGTTTTATTTGGCATCCCTCTTCAAAAACAGTAGTCACATATAAAACCAGGCCGTGCAGAAATAGTAAAGGCCTCTACCAGATATTCCTAGAAATACTTAAGCAAGTACTAAACAACATAAGATTTTTTGAAGGGAGAATCTCATATACTGAATTTTAATTAGTGGATGTTTAACGATAGCATTTTAAATCAGTTTTAACACTACCATTTTATGAATAAGTAAATGTAGAAGCTGCTGCTACTTGATAAATCAAATTTTAACTGTGCTGATATAAAAAGGAAACCTAAAAGAAACTTTAGAGCCCTCAAATGGTAGCTTCTTGACCAATGAATCATTTTGTTTTTCATGTTCACAGTTCAGATAAGCTTAAAAATGGAAATGGAAAACCTCAATCAAAGAATTAACAATTTTTACATGAAGTTACTATTAAAAGGTTTCTGAAAATATTTCTTTCCACTTTGTATTGGCTCTTAAGAAGGTTAAGAATAGAAAAATCACACTATTAAAGAACAGTAATAACTATCATCTATGGGATCAAAACAAGATAAGAGAACAACTGTTGTAGGTCTTTTACCAGCATAATTCTAAGCATAATCATCTTTTGTAAGCTTTCCATTTTTAGGACATTCTTAGGAACAGAATGCCCCTTATCTGAACTTTACCAGATCATGTGGAAATATATTTTTCAGACAAATTTAACATTTGAGTTTTGTATGTGAGTAATACACTCCTTTAAAAACAGGGAAGCGCCATTCATACTCATTCATTCAGAAAGATGACAAAGAAAATTTTTCAATAAATCATCAATAAAATATTTCTGCAACTTACAAAGTACAATTGAGACTCACTTCCCATCAAAAGCATCGATCCTCCTGCTGGAAAGTTACCTTTCATATTTTATGTAATAGAATTATGATAAAAACAGGTTTTGAAGCAGCTTGAGGTAAGAATATAAAAGTAGGCCGGGCGTGGTGGCTCACGCCTGTAATCCAAGCACTTTGAAGGCCAACGCGGACAGATCATCTGAGGTCGGGAGTTCAAGACCAGCCTGACCAACATGGTGAAACCTTGTCTTTAAAAAAAAAAAAAGAATATAACTAAAAGTATGCCAAAGGATTTATTTATAATTTCCAGATGAGAAAAAGGTAAGTTTTTGATTGTGCAATGCACATACATGTAAAGATATTTGCTTTTTCAAAAGCAAATTTAGTATTCTTAAGTTTCCTGAGTGACAATCTCATAAATTTTGGTGGAAATGCCAGTGACATTGGATTAATTCAATTATGCATGGAGACTTCATAAAATCTGAGTCTTTAAAAATGCTGGCTCAACAGGTCACCTATCTCTATATAACATGAGAAAAATAATAGTATGTCTCTCAAAATGGCCTCAAAGAGTGACAGTAAGAGGACAACAACCATGCAATGGCTTACTCAACTTGCTCTGCTGCTGAGAGTGCACACCCGAATCCTCTACTATGAACAGTTTGCACATGTTCAATAGTTTATGTTCAAATCTCGTGTTGGTAAAGTAAGCACTCAAATTTAACAGGGGCTTAAATATGCCGTCATCTTTTCTGAAGATGACGGCATATTTTTTAAAACAATGTTTAAGTTTTAAGTTTTTTAAGTCCCATTCTCCTAATCCAAGATATATGCCGAATGCTGAGGCAGCTACAGACCTTACAAGTTACTAAGACATCAGAAATTAATAGTAAAAATCAAACTGACAGAATTTTAGGATTTAACTATACCATCTTTCTCATGAACAGCGCTTCTCTGTTTAAGAAAAGCTCATCTCTGAATTATGCCTACTCACATGAAAAACTGGGAACCATTGGTATGTTTCCCTCGATTAGCCATTGACAAAAGGAACGCTCTGTCATGTTTGAGAATAAAGTTTTCATCTGTTTGAAGAAAACACAAATTTGTCAGTCTCCAATTATAAGTCACTTTAAAGTAATGTTCAAGTAATAAATAGAAAGCAAAGGATGAAATTCCTCTTCTGGTCAGTACAGATACTTGACTGAATACTCAGAAAAAAAATTTAAGCTAATGAAATAAGAGAAGCATAAAAAGGCCAAAAGATACTAATTAAAGCCTTGAGGTAAAGAACATACATTTAATATTTATACAGAAGGCCTTAGAACAGTCACTTTTAGTGGTAACATACTTTGGCTAAATGATACCTAAGTTACTAACTTTCAGGGAAAACTAGTAACATTTTAGAAAAATTTCTAGCTCACTTCCTCCAAATTTCCAATTAGCTTGCCTAATGTACTATGCATGGAAGAAGTTTAATAATCTTCTTAGGTGCTTAATTTTTATAAAGTTAATTTATTATTCAACTGAATTAAGCTAGACTATGAGACCAAGAATAATTATGTTATAGCAAGTTACAGGAATATATCTAAATTAAGTATGATCATACTCAATTGTATCACAAAGTTATCTAAGGAAGAAAGTCCTGTGAAAACAAAAATTTAAATAGCAAAATACAATTTTAAGATACAAAAGTATCTACCACAAGGAACAACCACAAAGTGGCCTAGAACATTAGTTTTGAATTGCTACATAATAGAATCAGCTAAACAGCTGTTTCCTATTAGTTCAAAGGAAAAAAAAAATCTGTGATAAAGATCACTTAGAGTTATTTTAAATCCAGCAGAAATATCCTTGAAAACCAATTTAAATTTCCTTTTAACATTCATACAAACATATCTCCTTCAGAACAAACAGAAACATAGAAGACTTTAAAAAGTGATTACCTTGGGAACAGGCTTCTGAAAAAGAGTAGTAATCCATTTTCCCCCAAAGGAAATATAAAAGACTATTATAACACTGAAGCTATTACAGCGTTAAAACCTAGTAACAGTAGATCGCATCATAAATCTCTTCAACTGACTTTTCTAAGGCTTTTTGGGGCAAGTGCAATAGTTAAGATTTATGCAGATGCTACTATTGTAAGAATAAATACAGTCGTAGTTCTATTATACACAAAAGAAAACATACAAACCTTTGAAAAAGAAGGAAATACCAACTTTTATTCAAAGAAACGGCTTGTTTTGGGGGAAAAAAACCCACAACTAGATTCTTTTCCCTGATGTGAAATCAATAACCCATTGAGAAAAGAAAAAAGATACAGATGTATGTATGAAATAATACAGAGAATTTTCCAAGTCTTCAAGCAATACAGAAAGCCAGCCACAACCTGACCCAGACTGTCCATAAATTTATTAGGAAGGGTGCAAAGGAACAGAATCGGAGTTTGTGTTACTGAGCTTTGTTCTCTTACCTTTTCATTTTGCAAAAGACCACATTCTCTATAAACAAAAGAATATGTTGACAGTTTTAGGCAGGAAGATAGGAGTTTTCATGTATATAGTTGCCTAACCTCCATGCTGAAAGTCATGTTTAACCATAAAGTTAGCCTTAATTAATCTTGTCAATTAAAAATTATATATTCCAATATATTTATCCCCAAATTCATGCAAATAAAGTATTTTCATGCAGCATTAGTTTCATGCAAAAAGTGAACTATAAGTAAACCTCTTCTCATTAAAAGTATATGATCAAACTTGCTTTAATATCAGAACTGAAATGAAAGACCATAAAATATCAGGCCTTACCTTTAAAATATCCACCATAAATTGATTCTCCACCTTTTCCATTACCTGCAAATAATGAGCTACATTAAGCCATAATGAACGTTAAAAATATACTAACACATAAATCATTTTTGATGGCTTCAATTTTCTGAAGGAAACCTTGGAATGTTATAATTGCCATAGTAATCGAAATTCACAGAATCCTCAATTAACTTCACCTTTAAAACGTGTCAAATCCTATTACAATAAATACCATCAAGAAAGTGATCTTCACAACCCACTTATTTCAAACAGTAATACCACCAAAACATTCTCGAACAAAAGCAATCAGACAGCACTGTGGCATTCATTGTAAAGGAATTCACTAAGTAACTACGGTATTACTGAAATAAACTGCGTCTTACGTGGTACTTGCTTTTTCATACATTTTGGATCTGTAACATTCACTCATCCAACAACTATTCACTGACCACATTTTATATCATACTGTAATTGACACAGTAAGTACAACTAAAACAGTGAGATCATTTAAAAACTGACGGATGGAGTTATTAGGAACACAACTTTTAGCTCTACCTTCACTGAAGTCCCCACCCTGAATCATGAAGTTTTTAACCACACGATGGAACGTGGAGCCTTTATAACATAACTTCTTCCCGGTTGTTTTCCCAAGGCCTTTCTCTCCTGGAAAAAAAAAAAAAAGAGATGAATTTCAATATACATACATACTTCCATGGAAAGAACAAACCAATTTATCCTTTGTCAAAGTGTTCCTGTGTGCTGGGCACTGAAAGACAAAGAAATAGATGACATGACAATTTAACATACATACATGCATGTGAACCAAAATAAATAATACAAAGCAGCATACAAATGTGAAATTGTGTGGTACAGACGCTACATGCTATATAGGACATAAGAAATATTAGACACACTTATTACTCTAGTTAGAAAATGAGGCCAGGCACAGTGACTCATGCCTGTAATCCCCACATTTTGGGAGGCTGAGGTAGGCAGATCACTTGAGGTCAGAAGTTGAGACCAGCTCGGCCAACATGGTGAAACCCTGCCTCTCAAAAAAAAATTAGCTAGGTGTAGTGACACACACCTGTATTCCCAGCTATTATGGAGGCTGAGGCAGGAGAATCACTTGAATCTGGGAAGTGGAGGTTGTAGTGAGCCTCGATCATACCACTGCACTCCAGCCTGTTTTTGAGACAGAGCCAGACTCCGTCTCAAAAAAAAAAAAAAACCAAAATCAAGCAGTGCAAAAATTGCATATGTGTATCCAGGTACGGATTTAAAAATTTTAGTGTGTTCTAATTTTAAAGCAACATTATAGATGTTGCCTGCCCCAGGTTTTCTATTTATTTAAAATTTGTTGTAAAATTTGGAATGCTGTATTTTTTCAAAGTAGTGAAATTCATAAAATTCTACCAAGACAAATTGGTTTCAAATGTGTGCTATTATTTTATAAATTAAAATGTATAGGGAAGATTCCATTCCATAGATTCTTACTCTCTTTCATTTTTGAGATCATTCCTTTCTAATCTCTTTCCCTTAAGAAATGCTTCCCTGATTTCATATAAAAGTGAGTATACAGTAACTTTTTTTTATTCACAAAATTCATTCCACATCCATTATTCCAGGAAAATACTCTGTCCAGCAAGGTAAAACTGTAAGCCACAGCTTCTCATTAGAAATAATTTAATAATTCACTTACCTGAGCATAGGCAGAGGAAGTTTTTGCATGTTTTTGGACATATGTCTGAGAAGAGCTGAAACATAATGCGACCAACTGAAATAAAATACACAGGGAAAAAACTAGTAAGCAATTTAAATATATCGCATTTAAATGAGAGAGAAAAATAGGGCGAACAAATTAGAAAGTCTATTTTGTAACTCATTTTAATCTTTTAAAAGATATAATGGGAAAGCATTTAATTGGGTGATACCTATGAACAAGACCACCACTTTGTTATTGTTAAAATTTACATGCAGCCAAAGTGTTTCCAGACCCAAACTTAGAGATTTCAAGTGTGTTTTAAAGGAACTTTATATTATTAGATTCCTTGCAGTACTGTCCCCTATCAGAACTATGAATCTTCTTTGAAAATACTCTCAATCGTTGTTTGAGATATGCTTGAGCCCTTCCAGTGATGAGAGTATAACAAAAGATAGTCATTCTGGCCAGTATTGTTAAAAAGAAAGGTTTCTTCCTTTAAGCACAAACTGTTAAGAGCCACCTTTCTGAATTGCACCAGTTACACTTAAAACTCACATTTCAAGCTGGGCATGGTGGCTCACACCTATAATCCCAGCACTTTGGGAGGCTAAGGCCAGGAGTATTAACCGAGGTCAGGAGTTCGAGACCAGCCTGGGCAACACAGAAAGACCCCGGTCTCTACAAAAAAATTTTAAAAGTAGCTGAGCCTGTAGTCCCAGCTACGGGGGTTCACTTGAGTCTAGGACTTCAAGGCTGCAATGAGCCATGATCATGCAGTGAGCTTTGACTATGCCACTGGACTCTAGCCCAGGCGACAGAGCAAGACTCTTAAACACCACCTCAGATTCTATTCCCTGAGAGAGAAGAAAGAGAAGAGGTTATGGTTCCCTACAACATACCTGAAATTAAAAGGAACAAGTCTGCAACTTCAATTTAACTATGCCAGAGAGAAATGGTTCTCAAACTGTGGTCTCAGGACTCTTTTACACTCGTTATTGGACTTTTGTTTATATGGTTCATACCTATTGCTATACACTAATAAATGTCAAAGCTCAGAAATGTTTAAAACACAAGATTATATAAGCAGATGTTCCCTTAGCTGTCACAGAAGTGATATCATTACATATTAATATATCATCTCTGGAAAACTTGACCGTATATTCACAAGAGAATGAGAGCACAAAAGGCAAACCAAAATCTTAGTATTATTATAAAAATAGTTTTGACTTGATGGATCTGTTGAAAGTATATCAATAAAATAAGAAATGTACTTCTGATTTGCAATTAATGACTCTCTTGAGTTCCTTTTCCTTATATTCTACAAGCTCTTTTCCTTTATAAACATTTTTATTTATTAAAAAGGACTTACAGAATAAATAAACTGTGGACCATACATAAATCATGTTCAGAACAGATACAAAATGATTCTATGTGTCACTAAGATTTTAATGTATTCCTGGCCATATCGGTCAGTTCCTCTGAGGAGGAAACAAGGACACTGCATTATAGACATCATTAATGGGTAAAGCAGTATCATGTCAGAAGAACTTCCTGTGTCAACACTCTTAGCCTATAGCTTTAAAAGAGCCAAACTGTAAAGCAATCTCAAAACTTTGTAGGTGACATTAAAACCTAAAGGAATGAAGAAAAAGATGGAAAGAAAGCAAAAATGAGGACTCAAGACTTTCAAGTAAGGAGCAATGTATCTAAGTTCATTTCAGAATTAAATACGTATAATATCAGTGACAGTAACTATCACTGTTTGTATTTATATGGAAACATTTTACCAGTAGAATAAATCTATTTTCATCAGTCTTCAAAAATCCCTTGGAAATGGCTTAGGTGGTATCAAGTTCAAAATCAACCAGCTTTGCATACCAGAACAGACTGAGATCTTTGGAATCCCTGTAAGATGGCTACCTTCCAGGAAAAAAGACATAATCAAAATAATTAAAATGTAGGCCTTTGCTTTAGGATCACAGTAACCTCAACTCAACCTGTTGCTGAAATTACTATGCTGCTGCTGCTGTTTTTAAAAACTCGTAATGCCTCAAAATAAAAGCCAAAGTTTCAAATGCTTCTAGTTTCTCCTTAACAGATGATTAGAAATTGTGTATCCTCCAGTAGTACAATACACTTGAAAACGGTAGAAATGTGATTACATTACTATCCAATATTTGGAGAACAGCAAACTAAAGTGGCTTAAAAAAAAAAAATCTTGGCCGGGCACAGTGGCTCACACCTGTAATCCCAATACTTTGGGAGGCCGAGGTGGGCCAATCACCTGAGGAAGTGAGTTCGAGACCAGCCTGCCCAACATGTTGAAACCCCGTCTTTACCAAAAATACAAAAATTAGCCGGGCACAGTGGCAGGCACCTGTGATTCCAGCTATTCAGGAGGCTGAGGCAGGAGAATCACTTGAACCCAGGAGACCGAGGTTGCAGTGAGCTGACATCACGCCACTGCACTCCAACCTGGGTGACAGAGCAAGACTCCAACTCAAAAACAAAACAAAACAAAAAACAAGAAAAAAACTCGCCTCTAATATCTTACCCTCTTCTAGCTTGGTGCAGAAAAGAAAAAATTTCTTTTGCCCTCTCAACCTCATGGGACAAGGGATGGAGCAGAGGTTTTATCTCCTCTATGGCATTATGTTAAGAGCAAAAGAAAAAAGTAGAACAAAACTGAATTTGTTTTGGCCTCAATAACATAGTACAAGGTTAAACACTGGCACATCAGAAAAATAATCTTCAAATCCTGAAGAGCACACACTGACGCAATCAGGTTTGCAAGGCGTGACGAAGGCTCAACTATGGATATTCAGACATTAGCTGAGTCTACTTCCCTAAGTTAAAATGTTTGTATGTATGCGGTTTGAAGGCTTTGAAAACAAAAAGCAAGGCCAAAACAAACCGCAATGATGATTTCTACCTGTAAGAGACAACCTTGTATTCCCTTCAAACTGAACACCACAGGACACTGATCCACAAGTATTAACTTGAACTGAAGCTCATTAGCAAGATTAACAAGTTTTCAACTAGTATTTTAAATGGAATTGTATTATTTTACAGAAAACGGGCTACCATATGATGATTCTTTTATTTTGAAACTCAGACAATATTCTAAAGATATAGTCTTTAAAGAAAAAAAGCCAATGTGGTTCACTAGTCTAGTTATTAAATATTTTCAGTGATGGCAAGCATAAACTAGGAGTATAAAACATATTGAAAATAAAAAAATTAAACTGTGGTTACAATAAAGAAAAGACTTGGAATGAGTTTGCAGAAGACTCTCTGGCTCCCAAACTGATGAGAAAAATGAGTGTGACCGTAACCCCATCTCTGCAAAGAGTTAAGAACCCCTGCTTATGATGACTCTTTGGAAACTAATTGCTGCTGCTGAATGAATAAGATCTAAGAAAACTTTGTTACTCAACAAATACTACTTATAATCTGGTGAAATTTAGTCATCTTTTAGAATCAGTCGATACTGGCTGGGCACGCCTGTAATACCAGTGCCTTGGGAGGCAGAGGCCAGAGAATCTCTTGAAGCCAGGAGCTCAAGAATCAGTCAATACCGTTGATAATATTCTTATATATAGTTTTCCTCCACAGAATTAACGTTATGCCAATAAAAACACAGCTCTGTAATGGGAAGACTGAAATCTGTTAGTGTAAACATTAGTATGTTGCTTTTATACACAACTAAGGGCAAAAATTACACAGAGTAGGACAAGTTTCTAAATTTAATCTGAAAATACCAACATGTAGATCCTTGGGGAACAATATTAAGATTAATCAGGCAATATCGACACATGTCAAGCTTTGGCTACAGACGGGAGAAGCCAAGACGGGCCTATGTCATGCTGCAGATCCTGATTTGCCCACTAGGTGAAAGGAATAAAATCAGCAAGTACACAGAGGGAATAAAATCAACATCATCTTTGAATACTG